ACCTGAAAATGCGGTTGGTGTCACAAGATGCGGCTTGGATCAAAGGTCAGGTATGCCAAGTTTCAGCTCTCTATCGCCTGCGTGTTCGGAGCTATCGTGAAAAACCCTATAGGGAGGCGGCACCCGCCCTCCCCCCCCCCCCCCCCGGTCGGACGGCGAGGGTTAATGATACATGCAGTAGGTACCTGATAAGAGCATAAGGTTAACCCGCGCGGGGCTGGGGTCTCCAGCCGAACGCGCGGGGCTGGGGGGGGGGGGGTAAATTTTACCCCCCCCCCCCCTGTTATCTCCCGAACTAACGGTCCGATCTGGAAAATTCAAACACCAATCGAAAGCTCTCATCACGAACTACTAAAAACATGTACTTAATTTAAAGTTTGAGGTCAAGGTCAAGGTCAGGTCAAGGGTACAAATTGCAAGTTTCTACAGTATCGGCCTTGCACCGTAGTTGCCGAAGAATGGAGTCATGGACTGAGACTGATCGCCCAAAACGTGTTCTTAGGCTACCAAGACAATATTCGTTGCATACAATATCATTCAGAGGTCAAGGTCAAGGTCAGGTCAGGTCAGGTCAGGTCACCAAAAACAAAATATAGAAAAGGGCATGTGCGACACATGTTTTATGGGTCATTTTACTCATAGAATTCAATAGGCACACTCAATAAGTGATATGGACCACCTCTGGATGAATTTCAGGTCGAGGTCAAGTCAAGGTCAGGTCAAGTGAGGTCAAATTTTGAAGTTGGTTGTTAAGGCCTAAAAAGGTGTCTATCTGATGCAGTTTTTCACGGCGAATCGAATGGTGCTATTTTTGTTTCCGTACGAGGTCTAGAACTTCCAAAAAAGTCATTTTTCAAAAAATTTGTGTGTCGTGACGTCATAAAATTTTGAATAACTCCCACATTTTTGAACCGATTCTTCTAAAATTTGGTATGTAGGTGCACATAGACCACTTCTCTGACATATATTCCGGTTTTTTCGATAGATTCAAAATTTTGGATTTCATAATGATTTTCCCAAAAAAGTCAGTTTTTTGAAAAAATTTAGGCCAAAATCCAAAATTTTCAAAAAATCGAGATAGCCATTTGATAGACAAAGTAAAATTACGCATAACCTTTTTTGTTACGTCTTGATTCCTTTAAAAATGAAGATGTTAGCGGCGTTTGAACTTTTGCCGTTTTTGAGGCGAAAATGACGAACATGACGTCACTAAAACGTCAATTTCTCAAAAATTTCCGACGGATTTCGCTCAAATTTTCAGGGAACGTGTCAAATTGATGTAAGAAAAGGTACTGAAAGTTTGGCGGCGCTGCGCGCCGCCGTTTTTGAGATATCGCAAAAATTCGCGAGGGGGGGTAAAATTTACCCCCCCCCCAGCCCCGCGCGGGTTAAAACATGCCTTAATTTCATTTCAATAATAACGCTCGAAAGTGTCACAGCCAGGGTTGTGCTTGACTCATGAGTCGAGTCAAAAATTTGACTCAACTCTGACTCAAATGAGTCAGATTTGAGTCGAGTCGGATAAATTTTTGAGCTGTTGAGTTGAGTCAGAGTTGAGTCGGACAAAAATATTAAGGCGTTGAGTTGAGTCAGAGTTGATTCAGTAAAATAACTTTTGACATTGGGTTGAGTCAAACATTTAGGAACATGAGTCAGCTGACTCAACTTTCCAGAAACAAGCTTTTCATTCCCCACCCCCGCTTCCCTGACCCTGTTGCCGGACTTTTTCACCCCCCTCCCCCCGCTCAAGAGCTTTTTTATCTGAGTCAATTTTGAGTCAACTCACTTGACTCAACAAAAAATTTGCGTCAAGTTTGAGTCGACTCATATTTTCATTGAGCCGCTTGAGTCATGAGTCGAGTCAAGGGAAAAAAATCAGCTCCTTGTTTGAGTCAGAGTTGAGTCAGGGCTTTCTGAGGTTGAATGATGAGTCGAGTCGGCAAATTTTTTTGAGTCGAGCACAACCCTGGTCACAGCTAGACAAAAAAGAAAAACTACTTAAAAATAAGCGGATGTGAACACAATCTCCTTGACCGAATCCTTACAAAATGCAAGTCACGGGCCATGGCACCCCAGAAAACCTTGCTTAAAAAGACCCACTGAATCGCCACGAAATCAAGTGCTTTAACATAGGCGTGTCATCTCTATGTATATAAGATCTCTATGCTTCCTATTCACTTGGTGGGGCGCCTGCCCCACCAACTTGCCATTTTGCCCCACCAATAAGCGTTTTGCCCCACCAACTTAAGCCGATTTGCAGGACTTTACTGCTTAGCAAACCTATGTTCTTCGCATTGAGGAGCTTTGAAATGTCTGTGTAATGCAAAATATTATCTCTGTAATGAAAAGAATTGATTCATTGTTGAATTTTATCTAACTTAACAATCGGACATTGTAGGTTTGACAACTTTTTGCCCCACCAACTTTCCTGGAAAAGCTCCACCCATGTACAGTGCACGTTTTATAGAAGAGATGATGTTTCCCCAGAACCCTGCCAGTTCCGAGAAACATCGGTGAGGCGTTTTACCTCGGCGGGGCGACTTGCCCCGGTCTACCCTAATGTACTCGCCCTTAGTTGCTAAAAACGCCGACATACATAAGTGAGTATTTAACGTTGAGCAGTTACATAGTCGGGTTACCGATAGATATCGACCCGAAGGGGGCATTACAGACCGAGACATTATGGTATGTTGTTGCCAGAGCTTTAAATGATTGCTCAATCGTAGACGGCTAGCACGGCGGTCAGCGGCTCACTAGCATTATTAATCAAATCATGGGGAATGTCATAAACAAATAGAACGACCTGGTCGAGACGGTCTCACACAGATCAAGAATTGACTCCAATCCTCATTGGCATTGTAGGCAAGAGACTAAGAGAGCATTTTTATCATCAATATCAGAATAGTGCAATACAATAAATTTTCGAACGGATTATTTCCATCATAGCGATTAGTTCTTTTGAAAGGCCGTTACCGAGAGACTGGAGTCGCTATTCTTCTTTATATCTAATTGCATGTCTGCACAGAATATGTTTAGGTGATACATGTAAGGCCAGTTTTCCCGCCGTAAGCATTCCTGTTATGGCTATTGCCTAGCTCTATATTAGGAATCTCGCGGCATCCGATCCTTTACAGAAGGTACCGAATATTATATTTGCCTACTCTATATCTTTTCATAGCACCTACATATACCACACATACCTTATAAAGACAATTTTCTTTTCTCGTATCGGCCCTCCTCAGTTTCCATCCGCCAGAGCTCCCTGCCGGTCCCATTCGGTAGTAGCGGGCCGCTCGGCCGAGGTTCCAGCGACTCGTCTATTGAGTTAGTTGGAGCCGGCCGTGGTTCTGACAGGCCGGGTGTCGTCAGGCCAGTATCGCCGTCGGGCCATTATTGGTGCACCTGCTGCGGCTGATAGAATTAGCGGCGACAGATCCCACTGTCGGGCGCGCTCCACACGAGAGAACGAGGGCCGAGCTCGGAGCGGGCGCTGGTAACAGAGCCCGACCAAAGTGGCCGCGAGTCTGAGCGCTCCTGTTGGCGAAGTTGTGTCGGGTGATTGTGCGACTGGCGGCTCGTGCATGTTGCATGGACCGCTGCCGTGTGCTGACGAAGTTAGTTGTGCCGGGTTCTATGGATGTCGTCAGATGGCGGCGGTCGAATGATTGATCGATGCTGACCCAGCAAACATGCCCACATGGGTCCCATATGGGGTGAACATGGGCCAGATGGGCCCACATGGGACATGGGCTACAGATGGGCTACCCATATGGGCCCCATATGGGATATAAATGGGCCAGGTGGGCCAAACGCATGTGGGCTGGAGATGGGCATCCCATGTGGGTCCCATATGGATCACCCATGTGGGCCCCATTTAAGTTACTCCAAGTGCATAAAAGCAAAAAAGGTGGCTGTTGTTCATGTGTATTTTGGACTCCAAGTATATCAAATTCATACATGATGCCATATGGGGTCAATGTAGGCTGGCCCATATGGGTCCCATGTGGGCGCCGCGTGGGTCCCATATGGGGCCTACGTGGGCTGGCCCATGTGGTTCCCACGTGTTACCCACTGGTATTCCCATGTGGGGCTCATATGGAAGAGGTGGGGGGGGGGGGCATGTGGGCCCCATATGGGAACCATGTGGGCATGTTTGCTGGGATATGAACATTTCCTTTACTACAAAATTTTGGTAGCTGGCCCGACACCTATCTGGGCTGGATGCGGGCAGCATGTGGGCAGACTGGGCACCAGAAAGCTGGGCACACCCATCCGGGGCCCACATGGGGCCCAAATGGGCAAACTTTACTACAAAACTTTGTTAACTGACCCGACACCTATCTGGGCTGGATGCGGGCAGCATGTGGGCAGACTGGGCACCAGCAAGCTGGGCACATCCTTCCGGGGCCCACATGGGGCCCAAATGGGCAAACGCCCCAGCCAGCATGCCCATGTGGGCCCCACATGGGCAGTTGATGGGCATGGTGGGCTAGGTGGGCCATGGGCTAGAGATGGGCTGCATGTGGGCCCCACATGGGCTGCCCACATTTTTTGGCAGGCATAATGATTGATAATGAGATTGCCTGCACCATGTACGAGGGCATATCCAGGAATTTTGGTGAACAAAGGCATTCACGCGGTGTTCCTGTATGGTGGGCTTAACATGGGCACTGCGTGGGCAGCCCATGTAGTGGGGTGTAGGTGGGCTGGATGTGGGCAACCCATTATTTATTTTTTCACTGTCCAATGTGTATGATATTACAAGAAACAAGAACTCGCTGTTTAGTCTCATGCCTCCAAAATACACTTCGACGACGTGAGGAAGTCGCATAGTTGATGTTTGTGAGACCAGCTACGGCTGATATTGGATAGTCAATGTTGTGATTGTGTCGTATGATTGTGTCGCCTGAGCCCGCCCCTGCGCGGGCGACCCGCCGGCGGAGCTCGGCCCACCGGACGGGGCCTGGGGCCGCCTCTGCACCGCCCGGGGTGGTGACCGGCCGACCGGCCGGTCGGCTGTCGGGGCTGCGGCGTCTGGGCGGGCCAGTTGGCGTTCAGACTCTGAGTGGTGTGCGTGTCCAATAAAGCCTTATTAAGCCACGGGAAGGTCGGCCTTGGGAAGACCAAGCTGTTCCGGGTGATCTTCCGTGAGTACCTTACAGTTTGGTGGTCACACCAATCTGTTCGACCATGGGAATGGGTCATTCAAATAAGTAATTTGTCAATTAGAAAAGCATAATAAAGGTTCCATGCGTGACATCAGTCACAAATGGTTTGACACCAGCGTTGATATTCGATTTAATGAGTAAACATCGCGCTCCTCGTTCCGCACCGTCTGTATCAAAACTAGCCAATGTCGGTCTCTGGTCCTCCGTTTGAAGTGGCTGCGAAAATTACGGGAAACATTTAATGTTTGTTTCGAATATTAGTTAAAGGGACAATGTCATGTTTAAATTTGATATTTCGTAGGCCCCACCTTTCTGTTCAAGGAGCTGAAGACCGATTCTCGAAGTTCGACACCGTTCTCCCGCTATCGCCCCTCAATGTACGAAATGTGTGCACGCTTTGAATCGCATCAATATCCTCAATGTTTCAATGTGTCGCATCAATAATCGCAATAATCGCAATAATCGCATAATCGCAAAAATCGCATCAATATCCTCAATGTTTCAATGTGTGCGCCGTTTCGAATTGGCCTCCAATAACAAAACTTTCCTGGATCTTTTCTTTAAACTTTATAAAGTCAACACGTTTTTCCCACATTATCCTCAACGTTCACTTCCATTAAATACTCGTAGGTATTTCCCAGGACTTTTCACTTCGCAAAAAAGTTAACAAGTTGATAGTGACGGTTCGTTCAAAAAGCTCTTGCAAAATGTTTCCCCGATTTTTGGTCCTCAAACTATCCATTTTTGATTCATGGAAATTCAGCAACGGTAGTAAAATAAGGAGGCTCCCTGGCTTCCAATTTTTTTTTATAATGACTGTCATTTAACGCTTATCAGATAATGTGCTTACATTGTGGCTTTCTTAGTGTGCCCTATTTATTTCACAGACGCTGTCAACCTGAACCCGACGGTGACCTGCCAAGAAAAGGATCTCGAAAAGGCCGTCGGCAAGTGGCTGACAAACTGCCGCGACCGTGACGGCCAGCGATCAGACCGGGGGCGAGGCCGTCCGCCCGCCCAGTGACTTGTGTCTCGATGAGCGCAGAAAGAAATACAGGACTGTGCCTGATGTATGTTGTTTTTATGGGAATAAAGTGCTGGAAGGAAGCATATTTCGTCTCGCATGACATCGCACATTGACGGACAGTGCGAGAGCACCGCTGAACGTCAGGCTGGGAGGGGCACTTTCAAATGGGAGCGTAACGCGGATTGGGTTTACATAGATTCAGGTGGGTGGCGTAAATGGGGCCGGGTGGGGCAGGCATTGTAGGACAGGGCGGGTGCTGAGTGGCGAGTGGGTCCCATGTGGGGCCAGTGTGGGGTAGCCCATGCGGGTGGCGAATGGGTCCCATGTGGGTGGCAAATGGGTCCCATGTGGGTGGCAAATGGGTCCCATGTGGACTCCCAGGTGGGTGGCAAATGGGTCCCATATGGGGTCAGTGTGGGCTGGCCCATATGGGTCCCATGTGGGCGCCGCATGGGTCCCATATGGGGCCTACGTGGGCTGGCCCATATGGGTCCCACGTGTCACCCACTGCCATTCCCATGTGGGGCCCACATGAGTGGCCCACGTGGGACCCATATGTAAGAGGTGGGGGCCCATGTGGGCCCCATATGGGAACCATGTGGGCATGTTTGCTGGGGAGTTCCACATGTTATGCAGTTTTACCTGGTACTGAAAGTGATGCGGTCATTTTTATCTCAGGTCGAAGGCTAGGTCAGTAGAGGTCACGATAAATATTTAGTTGATTTCCAACTTCTCTGAGATTCGACCCAAGGTCACCGTTTGACCTCCACAAACGATCATAATGGAGGTGCACGGCACACCCACACAGCAGCACTGAATGGCGACCCGACCCCATTCCTATCTCGCCGCTGACCGCCGCGCGCTGTCCAATTTGAGCCGGCTGCAGAGCAGTGCTCAGGTCTCCCCCGGGGACGTACGGCAGCCGTTTTCATCTCGTCACAATTTCACGAGCCGCGGGCACCCGACAGCGACGACGGCGCAGCTTAGCGGTCTATTTCCACGGCCGTGTGTCCCGGTGTCGGGCAATCATGACCCCGGTGGCCGCTGTGGTCTACGGTTAGTGCACTGTGCCTGCCACTCAGAGTGATGGCTCACTAGACCGCACTGGAGAGCGTGCATTAATTACAACCGTCTAATTTGGCAGCTGCGGGAATGAAATTACGAGATATAATGGCGGGAGTAGGTGGCAGGTGCATTGCTGAATAAGTTGTTAGGTGGATTCCACCGACTAACTTGATAAAAAGGAAGCTGCAGGTTATAGGGTAAGTGTTCATTACTAACTATACGGTCAAGGACAATGGAAAACTTCACTAAAAAAATGTACCAAGCGTAATGCGATCGCCATACGGGTGAAGCCGAAGCAGACAAGATTTCAACGGGAACTCATAAAACCTATTAACTGAGGAGGGCCCGCGGGGGGTGAGCAAACCAACTTAGTCGTCGACCTGCGCTCCCCCTCCCTCACCACAGTTTACACCCGGTCGTCGAGATGAAAAGGTGGCACCTGGTGAGTGGTGAGGTTTTCCAAACGAGATCATCCCCTGAAAACACGTCCTCCGCTTGATATTGTAGGGTGTTTTCTTCCCGGGGGTTAAAATCAACCATTCACTGCCAAGCACCGTCCAGTTTGGCATTCATAGTGATATAAGCTAGCCCATGAATGCTGATACGAAAACGGGCTCTACTTCCGTCTTTGCTTGTGTTGTGCTAGAATCACCTCGATATTCCGGTACGGTCAGTAGTAGTACGGTCATGCATAATATTCACCACACACCACCGCACGGCAATTTCACTACAGGAGTTCAGAAAAATCCCATTTTTATGCTGCTCTAGTACCTGATTCCCTTTGGCGTGCAGAGTAGAAATATGACTAAAACACACCGACCAGTAAATGCAAAAACTGTATCATGACTGAGCACGTGAACAAATCCCCGTTACAATACGACGATAGCCGCAAGAAAGTACATTCAGTCCTCTGCAAGAATCACTGCACAGAACAGCCGCAAGTCCCGCGCTCACCATAAGGCACTGTTTTTTTTTTCAGCAGCGGAATCAACCAAGAAGCGGGGCAGCCCCACCAACATAATGCCACAAAGGTACAGCGGAGCCTCCCAACAATACAGCGACACTTGATGAAAGCGGTTTTCAACGGTCAACGGGTATTGCATCGTTTGAACAAAGCCTGAGATATCATTAGCATCATAGTGCAAAGCGAGCTCACTAGCCTTTCATCCTCTCCATAATCCCCAACCACAAACAAGATTTTATCGGCACTAATTGAATACGAATCTCGAAGAACCAAAACACACACGAGTTTGCCGATGGCTTTTTGCTAGGATGGAGATCAGATGATAGGCTCGGGTAACGCGTTCACTACCGAATCACACCACTCCGTTTGGACAGTGTACGACAGTTTCACCTGGGACAAAACAATAGAATCATAGAACAGTGACACACTACACACAATGAGCACGGGCGCGACATCTCTTCAGTACCACCGCCTGTTGAAAGGACATGTCTTTCAACAAACAAGCACTGAAGGATGCAATTGTACAAACAAGCCAAGCAGAGCTAACGGAACGGCCAGTCAGAAGCCACCGCGCATGGGTTCGTAATTTTGTACGCTTACATCACTGCCCCAGCCCGAGGGTAGTATCGTCAGAATATGGTGGGAACGCCGTGGCAAGATTGGAACAGACTGTTACCTGCTCTTACCACAGTATGAAAATGCACCCATTGATGAGACGAACTGAAGCAACACTGGATGATACGAACACTGATCATGTACTCAGAAGCTTACTGTTATGACGTCGGATGGCCAGCTTAACAAAGTTTCTAAGACATACTCACCCAAACCTCACAGGGTGAGCCTCATCCCAAATAGATCAGCGACCTCGCTATCGCCTATCACTAAATCAAGAGGACGACGAGCCACTGATGAATGCCTTTGGAATGGACACCCATTTGTTACCGCTACACATCTTTTGTCATTGCACACTCGGGCGTCACCTTCAAGAAGTCTAATGCCCGGGGAATGACATTCTTCTTGAAGCACAGCGCACTACTCAGTTTCACGCAACTCACAAGTTGTCTTCGTTTGATTGTAACATCACAAACAATTTCACACGTCATGTTTCGATTCACTTCCAAGAGTACGGAGCGACGCCAGCTCAGCGCCGACGATCCAGCTCCTCCAGGAAGGCGTCGTAAGCATCGTCGACTTCGTCGTCGTCGTCGTCGTCGACAGCCTGCAGCTGCCGCTCCAAGAAGAGCTGCTCCTCAGAGGAGAGAGCCGAGGTGGGGTCGGCCGGCAGGTAGCCCTGGGGAGACCGGCACGACACCGTGGTCAGTGCGTGGACGAGGGGTGGTCAAAATGGAGCAGCGATGGGACACGTGAGACGGTTAGCGAAAAATGACGATATTATTACAGCTGAGGCAATAAAAAGGCAAATGCAAACGTTTGGTAAATACCTAGAGTGTGAAAATTTGGTGATTTTGCACCAACCTGCTGCTGATTGTTAAAACTACTTTCGAGTGAATTTGTTGACGCTTGAGACTGTTTATAGGCAGTAGAAAGAGGGATATGAGATGTCGGCCGAGAAAATAAGTTGGTCATAAGAAATTTGTCAAGATTTACAAGCTTTGAAGATTCGAGCGAGCCTGAAAGCAGCCAATAAATATGTAATTCGCCACTACCAGTACTCATCACAGCCAGGGATGGAGCCATGCAATACCAAGTGACTTGTAAGCACACCACCTTAAAAATTCAGCTCAACATCTCACATCAAACCTTTACATTCACATTGCCAACCGTCCAAAGAACTATCGGCATCACTGCACACATGTCACAGACGCGACCGAGGTACCAAAGAGCAACAGGCGGCACCGTCGCACGGCCGGCACAATGGAGCTGATTTGGTATTCAAATACGACCGAGCCAGACTGCCGCCGGCGCTCGGTCCCCGTGAAAATGTCACCCAACAGTGGGATCCGTGTTCGCAGTGACGTTCAGAGAGAAAAGTTCAGCGCATCGCGCTCCGGTGAGCCTGGACGGATGGTTGGTGGAGAGAGTGTCACACGGCGCGGATAAAGGAGTGTTCATATGGCGGTGTGGTGGCGCGGGTGACTGCTGGATGTTACTGCGATATTGAGAGTGACGCTGAGTGATTATGTGACGACTGACGTAGTAATTACTGTTGGAAGCGTGTAACTGAGATAAGGAAGAATAATGGCTGCTATAGGTTGATAAAACACAAAAAAAATAACATCAGAAAATCCACGAAATGTTTAACAATAATAAGACCACATGAAAATGAAATTCCATTTAAAATGCAGTTAAGTGAAGAAAAAAAATGAGAAGCATTCCAACATTTATGAGATTCCAACAGTTATAATGCTTCCAATTTTGATTAGATCAGCTACGTCGTTCAACTAGAAAACAGTAATATGCTCGTGGTTGTCCCTACAAATCAATAAAACCCACCAACCCTAGCCCCCACCTCCCGTCACCGCACCCACCTGCAGTGGCCGGCTGGCCTCAGCCGCTGCGAGTCCCGCCTGTGCCGCCGCGGCTGCCGGCCGCTCGCCGCCGCCCCAATGCGCCGCACGGAGTGTGGTTAACTCCAGCAGCGCGTGCCTCTGATCGCGCGGCAGTCTTCCATCAAACGCCGCCCCGCGCACCCGCTCCATGAGAGCGTCCAGCGCGGGCGCCACCTGGCGCTCCAGCGCCGCTCCGGTCAGTTTGAGCGCCCGGCACACTGTGGTGACCCGCTCCGGGGTGACATCGTCCAGGAGCTGGCCGCACAGACCCAGCACGGCCGAGCCGAGCACGGCGATCGGCTCCTCGCCGCCGGCCAGACGCACGTGCAGGTACAGCTCGCAGAACAGCACCGTCAGGTCGCAGAAGAACTGCACGTTCTCGGTTAGTAGAGAGGAGGCGTTCTGGTACAGAGACTGGCACCTGGCGGACGGGAGACGAACTAGCGTCAGAGTTTCTACTAGCAATAAGCGATGTAACCTCATAACATGAGCACAGGCGTCACGCACACAAATCTTAAATAAGCGCGTTTAGCCCGGATCGAGGTAGGTAGCGTAATTTTTAGACGAGCAGGGGAATAAAACGAATAAAGATGCGTTAAAAACACGCTTTCTCTTATGATGGACGAAGACCGTACGTAGCTCCCTAGCTTCCACCCTTCAGAAACAATAACACAGTCCTCATCTCACCCGGTCATCCCTCTGGTCGCAGGTCATTGTCCGTCCCTCACCTGCTGAGCAGTAGGTCTCTGAAGGAGCGCCCCTCCTGGGTGACCCGACACCGAGAGCACATCAGGTGACACAGCTTGGCGCATACGTAACGAAACGACGGTACGTACGCCACCTGAGGGGTGAAATACAGTCAGGATGTCAGTCACACGGAGGGCGAGGAGTTATTCGGGATGTATCAGTTTGACAGAGTGAAACCGAAGCTGAGGGCAGTTTTACCAACGGAAAAATTGCCGGCTGCCGGCATTCTCATTTTTACAGGCTTCCGTACGTCAAACCAACCACGCGGAAAAGGTTTAAATAAATGGCACATGGCCACAAACTACCTACCTGGTTCAACATGAAGTCGAGTACAGTTGATAGTGGAATGCCAGATGAGGGCAGCCACCCGTTCAGATTCTCCACCAGAACACTGCCCTGCCGGTCAAAACTGGGAGAGGCGACGGCAAACAGTGTCAGTATAGCGTCAGTGGACAGCGACATTGGGGGACGTGTAGTGACGGAGCAGGTCTGCAGTGTGAGGTCTCCAAAATGTAATTTGTAATGATAATAATTAAGAATCCTTGTATTCTGGAACCAAATCAATATCGATAAAGGCAGTGAAAGCACATCATATACATACAGCTCTTACATTTCAAATCCAGCTATCGATTAAGACTACATGACGACGCATTATCAGCATTCACCATTCTATCTAAGTTAGCCCTCCATTTAAGGACACACGAGCGACAGCAACAGCCTGTGTGTAGTTATTATCGGCAGCAATCTAACCATATCCCGGGGCGCAACTCACCTCGCTGGAACACAGGCCATGCTCCACAGAGTCTCGGCGAGGTTATTGTAGATCATGCTCTGATAGGGGTCCTGCGGCGGCGGCACCTCCGTCACCAGCGCCGAGTTCACCTCGACTGACTCTGACTCTGCCACGGTATACGACTCCGCCTCAGAGTCGGACTCCCACTCGGAGAAGTCCGGCGTGGAGATTGTGCCTTCTAAAGAGGGCGCCGCCGGCACGAACGGCACGCTGTGCGGGTTCAGGCCGGGCACCGTCTCAGCTGGCCTGGTGACGGGGAGCGGTGCCGGCTCCGGCACGCCTGTCGGGAGAGCGGGGGGGGGGGGGGGGGGGGGTGGACGGTGGGGGTCAGACAGGTCAGTCGTGGAGGCTAGCTTTTGCGAGGGTAACACAGACAAGCTTATTAAATACTGATCAACAATATCCATATCAGTCACATCAGTGATATAGCGAGGGAAAAAATCGAAATTGGTAGAAAAATAGGAATAAGATTCGAAAAAGAAGTGCACAACCAGAAATATGAGATAAAGGAAGGGACTAGTCATGAAAAACAATAAATGCACACGTTGTAGCCGCTCCACCGGCCACCATAACCGTCCATCCCATTCAGTCCGTCCGAACTCACCATGCGCCGCGGTCGCGGCGGCTGCGGGCGGCGCTCCCGGCCGTCTCAGCTGCTGCGGCTGTGGCAGCGCCGGCTCTCCAGCACCCCCAGCCGCTCCCCCGGCTGCATTGCTGGTGCGCTCGCGTGGTCGGCGCAGTGGTGCCGGTGGACCGTTCTCCAGCAGCGCGGCCCGGCCGCGGCCCCGACCAGCAGCGCTCAGCATGGCTCGGCTCAGAGACTGGGAAGTGCTGACTGCTGCAGGTGGCACAGGGGGAAAATGTCAGAATATTATTAAAAAGGAATGGGGAAACTTTCACATGAAGGCATTGGTTGACATTTTTTAAATAAATCTAGCTCAGATGTTTGAAAAATGAGTTGACAGAGCTGAATGCACGCTGAGTAATGGGTAGGTATCAGTAAAGCTGGTGTCACCGTCGGCGGTAGGCAGGTAGGTTAGGTTGTAGGTTGTAGGTTGGTAGGTTGGTAGGTTGTAGGTTGGTAGGTTGTAGGTTGGTGGGTTGTAGGTTTGTAGGTTGGTAGGCTGTATGTAGGTTAGTAGGTAAGGTTAGGTCAGGTTAGATGTTTTTTTTTCTCTAACTACACCTACACGTACACATATACTGGTTAGTGGCCACGGTGACACCAGCTTTACTGATACCAACTAATGCTTGTTGGGTAGGCCTGACCCCTACCATCTGAATTCTGATCCCTCAATTTCAATCCCTCAATTTAGATGCAAAAATTGAATGAGTGTCTCAAAGCCAGACACTGCCTGTTCCACTCGACTGACTTAAATTGGCCAAGGCAGCTTCCACCAACATGCACTGGCAAACTCAAATTCCTCCTCTTTCTTTTGACATTTAATCTGAATGTGTGGACATGAGCCCTGATCGGCGGCCGGCTAGTACTCTTGCCCACGCTCACATACGTGCACGTTACCCCGGCAACGGGCTATTGACCAATGAGAAGCGAGAAAAGTGTTACGTCACTGCGATTTTTCATATACCTGTGCCCCCCGGACGTGACGTAGTGTGCTCGCGCGCGTGCAGGGTCTCTGCGATCGAAAAAGAGCGCTAGCAGCGCGCCACTCGACGCCGCAATTGTCAAAAGCGGCGTGTTAGTATGCTTTATTATGAATGATGTGTGTAAAAGTGAGTTTTTATGTTGTTTATTTGGAGGAAATGGTTGGAATAAATTAAGTTATTTTTATTTCTGTTGGTTGGGGTTTTTATTCAAAAGATTTCGGTCTATACCATTGATATTTACTGAAAATACCTTCGCTTGAATAAATTGCAGATATTTGGCAACTGAAGTGTTAGGTAAGCCTAAATGATATGTAAAAAGGTAAGAGACACCCTGATTATCATTTGAGAAACGAAAATATATGAATTTTCCTTATAAGACTCGCTCAATATACTACTCCGCGGTTTATGCCCCGAGGGTGTCCGAGGGTTCCCGTTAGTTTGTCGTTGGCGCTCGGCTCGCGCGCGAGCCGACGTCACCACCTGTGACGTCGGCTCGCGAAATACGTCATACCCTGCACACAAAATAGCCGGCTGCCGAACAGCGCATGGTCACTGTATGCTACCTGAAAAACTCACTTCTTGTGTAAATGGAAAACTTTTGAGTAGGAGGAATTGCACTTGCTTAGCATTTGATGTTCATGTTTAGTAATAAATTATTTAACGTCGCCATTGCGTGCCATTACAATTAGTCCACTTTGATGAGCGTGGGATGGAAACTGCTGGTTAACCCTGCAAATACCCAAGCACACTCGACGGACTGGACAGTCAGACACTGACACAACTGATCAGACAAAAATATGAAAGTGATTACCGAACAAGCCACTACCTACCTACCCCGTCAATGCAGGGCGGCAATCTATTTCAAACAATGGACAAAGAATTGCTGCAAATAAATTTTGTCTCGTTAAGAACATTAAACCCTGAACCTCAGTTGAAATCACAGAAAGTTCAGCCCCAATATTCTTCAATTATTTTAGTAATTGAAAAAAAATACAGAATTTCGCAAAAGGCTGAGGCAATTCTGTAATTCGGCCTTTTCAGTTGCTAAAATAATACATTCGTGCCATGTTAATGATCAATTTCTTTCTTATTTCATTTACAGTTATCACGGCAAAAAAACACCATTCATTACAATAAATTCTCTAGATCCAATCAAGGGGCTCTGGTATTAACTGGATAATTCGCCAGCTGACGCCGTATGGTGGCGCTAGTGGAGCAGCACCATATGACGTCAGCAGAAAACACCGTGAGCAGCTATGAAATGGGAGCGAGCACCACGGAAATATCGAAAGGTGATGGACATGTACTGACTCTGGTCATTCAAGTACCACCAATACCATACAAAAACCATATAATATCATCAAGACTGATTCTGGAATCAATTCGTTCGGGTATTTAAAACACATAAAAAATGTTTGTTACCAAATTCTGAAACAGTATAAGGATATTCTTGATCCTTACTTTTACCTTGTGGAGTACTTTTACAATACCTTTTACTTGCTTTCTAGTATGCCCATCACTATCTCAGAATCTGGATTGCAACGCTGTAGGAAAACTTTTTTTTCATTTGTCATTTCTTCCACTTTTGAGCAGTGATAATTTATTTGGTTTTATACATTAAATAATGAAGACGGCTCCTAACTTTTTAGGGATCTGCAATGGCCCAGAGAGCAAAATCAGATATTTTCTAGAAACTTGAGGCCACTATTTTCTTATATGCTAGATAATATACAAATATTGACATGTAAAGAATGATACGGGTTCATAATTCTGCAGAAATATAAATTTAAAGTATTCAAAAAATTTTAAGAACCGTTTTAAAATCTTCCATAATGACTCTTACAATACAAGGTGGTAGCAATTTCAGTTAACAATAAAGCAGCACATGGCAGTACCTTGAGGCGCGCTGGCAGTTGCTCCAGGTGGCGCTCGGCACACCCCGCCAGATGGCGAGCCGGTCTCGAGGTCGCGGGTTGCAGACACTTTGTCAAGGCGGCGGTTCACGGCCCCGAGCTGCAGGGCGCTGCGCTGCCATGCACTGCTGCATGGTTGAGCTGCGATGATCCATAACCAATCGGCACCTGCAGGCGGCAACTGCAATTCGATCTTCGAGATGTTCTCTGTTCCCCGACTTTCCCTTTTCGTTGTACCGGGTGAAGTGAATATTCTTTGAATATTCTTCTGACAGTCAGTCTTTAGTCCTACATTATGTTGTCAATCAGATTAAATTAGTTCAAAAACCGTCGTAGTCTGTCTCATTCGCAGTCTACATCTCCACATGCGCACCCATACATGCTCAAAAGTTTCACTACGTATGTACACTGCAGTGTACCCTGATGAAAAATGTTTTGCTGAAATCAGAGACACATCCCAAGGTAGGCCATAGTGTCCATGGACATATATTTAAGTCAAAACAGATGAAACAGATAAACACAATTCCAACCATCAAGTCAACCAGCATCGACAATCTGCACATAAGTTCTAAACCTATTGCAAGACTACTTTGTATTCAAACTTTGTATTGCAGAAGGGTGGAAGCTGCATGGAATTATGCGACAATTTCAGCGTGCATCCACGCTCGAAAGAGCAGGGTTAATTGTAACAATGTCAATACCATAACAATAACGTAATTGTAGGTGTTGTGATTCGGTTGTCTCTTGTCTGTGCTGGCCATTGCGCGGGCGGTCCAGCGGCGGAACTCGGCTTCGCCGCCGTGGCGCGCTGGCAGTTGCTTCTTCTTCTTCTTCTGCATCCCACCGCCAACCCGCTCAGGGGGGCGGCGGGTCGAGCGGCGGCTCGGCCCGCCCAACATCCTCGATGAAGGTGACGACCTTCGTCGCCGGGCCGCCGAGGACGTCGACCAGGCGAGGGTCGACACCCCAGCGGCGGCGGCGGGCCGCCTCATAGGCCGGACAATCGGTCAGTAGGTGCGCCGCGCTGTCGGGCTCCACGCACGCGGGGCATTCGTCGTTGGCTGCCGGGCCAATCTTGTGGAGCGTGTCACGGGTCAGCGGTGATGTGCCGGTCCTCAGCTGGGACAGCGTCACCGACCCCCAGCGCGCCAGGGAGTCGTGGCCAGGCGTGGGGTCCGGGTGCGGGTGGGCAGCGGTTGCCCTCTGTCGCGACAGCTCCCGGACATGGCGCGTGACGGCGGCCCGCGCACTCGACAGGTCGATCGGTGCGCTGTCTTGGTCGCCCGCCGTGGCCTCGCCAGCCAGGCGGTCGGCGGTTTTGTTGCCGTCCAGCCCGGCATGGCCTGGCACCCACTGGAGCACCGTCTCGGTGCCGTTCTCGGCGAGGGTGCTCAGCACTCAGCAGCCTCCACACCTCGGCGGCCAGGGCCATGGTCTGGTTAGCTGGGCCGCGGCCGAGTAGTTGGAGCCCAGACCTTGAGTCGGTGAGGAGGCGGACCGACTTGGTCGATGCCAACTCCCCGTCCTCCAGGCCGGCCACAGCCGCGAACGCCTCGCGCATGGCGGTCAGTTCTGCTCTCAGGCTGGAGCAGACCGCCCCTGCAGGAGCGCGCACGGTCTCTTCTATGTTGAGGTGGTGGAACTGGATCAGCGCCTGCACCGCCCTGTTCTGTCCCGCCGTGAGCCGAGCCGTCCGACCAGAGTGACGTCCGGGTGCGGGAGCTCTGCAATGGCTCACAGGGCAGCTTCCCTGCGGACTGCAGGCGGGTCCGACCAGTGGGTGACCACGGGCAGGTCCACCCTGAAGGTGATGCCGCCGCGGTGGCCCAGCTATGGCGGGTCGCAGCTGTAGAACGCCGAACCTGTAACACAATAGAATTGCAATTGTAACAAAGACCTGCATGGTCAGCACACATCTGCAGTGACTGTCATCCCAAGTTGGTATGAATTGGAACAAAGTTGGGTCACGGTAGCAGACGTAACACAAGCTGTTGTGATATGCCATACCGTAGGACTAGGTCGTAGGTTGTAAATTTTAGGTTTAAGGCTGTAGGTTGTAGGTCAGGTTAGGTAAGGTTTGGTTAGAAAGACCCATTCTCGTGCATCAGGCAGCTTGTGCTACACCTACCTTACCAATACCTAATTTGAATTCCTAAAATTGATGGCAAACAGGCTTTTTGTATAACAAGTGTGGTTAATTGTTCTAATCCCCGCTGCAATGTGAGGGTGACTGCTTTCCTACAATCACAATATTTGAATTCATATAGGTAGGTGTTTACATGTTCAGAAAATGATACAAAATATGACACAATTATAGCTGCAACTGGATAGTGGATACCAACCTCTACTTAAAGTTTCTGCAGCCTTATAACCTCACAAATGACTAAATTGCCAAAATAAATCCCTTAGTACAATAGCTTGACTCTAAAATAACAGAACTTTTCCATGCAGACCCTGGAATGGAGGGTTTATGAAAAGTAACAAAAATAAACATTCACTAATATCATATGTTGTTATAAATTTCATATGTAGCATAAGCGCCAATACTGCCTTCATTTACAATTTTGCTACTGTTTTCCACTCACAAACGCTGCCCTCCGTGGACAGCAGCAGCAGCAGTGAAACGTCACCCGTAGTGTGACATCATCACCCATGACGTAATGGAAATCCAGTTGTTACCAAGGCCCCAATCAAGGCCATCGATGAATCCAATGCATTCGGCCACGCATTATGCAAATCGATTGCTGTTCGACAGATCAGAATTGGCAAAAGAAACCCAGATACATAAATCGTTGCTAGGCAACACAAAGTTTCAAAAGCAGATCACCATGCAACAAGGGGCTGCTGTAAAATCAGCTTCTGCTAGCAAGCTTTTTAGAATATTATACACCTTTTTACGCCCAATTTAGGCGGAAGTGCACACATTTCAGTAATAGTGCAGGTGATTTCGACGGTTCGGCATAGTGCCTTCATATATTGAATCGCGGCACGATATTCGTCATTGTGCACCCCACTCCGTCATAGTGCAGTTAAAAGTGGCTCAGGTTCAGACATATTGGACTTAGTGCAAATAATAATTCGTCAGGTTAATTCAATTTCGACATACGGCATGTGCTTACGGCAACGTTCAAATAAATCCAGCACGGTATAAATCGTGAACGTGAAATGCGCTACACCTTTTTACGGCCAAATATAGAAATAGTGCACACAGTTCAGTATAATAGTGCAACCGATTTCGACAGTTCGGCATAGCGCACCTCTAGTTCGGCCAAGTGCATGATATTCGGTAATAGTGCACACGTTTCAAATGAAGAGCAATCAATTTAGAAGATGGTGCGTTCAAATTCAATGAGCCGTAGGTTCAATTTCGTCATAGTGCACGGTTTCGTCATGTGGCCTGATAGTCGGCGTCCAGCAGAGCGATTTAGGCGATGTTCAAGTGAATTCGCTGCTGGATTGGGAAAATATTTTTGAAAGCCCCTATCTGCCTGTCAAGAGTAGCGTGAATCTTGGTCAAAAACCTGCTCAAATGCAGTTTCAGCTCTCAGGAATTAACTTATCATTAGTCTCGCTCTAAGAACTCGGTGACACGGTCGAGTGGCGGTCACGTGGCATTCAGGGCTTCTGAATCGGGTGCATAACTTCGTTGCTGGTTCAAAAAGATCAGAAATGCTATGGATTCTTGTTATCGCCTTTCAGCATCATAGCGAATTTGATTGAACAAAGCTGAAAAAATATTGCTCATGCCGAATATATAAGCACCCGACGAATTATGTGCACTATGTCTTATATGATTGAAGCTAAGGCACCCAGATGAAACATTAAATACCCTCTACCTTTTGCATCCAGAGCAGTGCAGCTGGCTACTTGACTTTTTTGCGTTGCTGACTGACTACGAGTGTCATTGGAGGCTCAGGTAGCGTGAAATGTCAAATAAAAATTGTTATTACTTATTTATGCAATGCCGTGTTACTGAACAGTGCCTAAATTACATGCGGGACCCCGAAATTGAAACGATCTGACGAATAATGTGCGATATGTCTAATATGCCTGAACCTGGGTCACTTTAAACCTGCACTATGACGAAATGGCTGCAATATGGCGAATATCGTGCCGCGATTCAATATATCAATGCACTATGCCGTACTGTCGAAATCGCCTGCACTATTTTTGAAATGTGTGCACTGCCGCCTAAATTGGGCCTTTTCATTACATTCATTAAAATCTCATTATTTTCATTAGCAGTAAAATTTCAATAATTTAGTAAAATTTCATTAGCAGCTTGTTTGAACAGCACCACGCTACACTTGATGAACAGCAAGAGCGTTGTCAAAAATATTTTCTAGATGGGGCACCGAATTCGCTTGAAGGTTAACTAAATTGCTTTGCGGTACGCCGAATACCAATGCATATGACGAAGCAATGCACTCTGGCGAAACTGAAATCGCAACTACTGAAAATGAATGCATTCTCTTTTAAATTGCTTGCACTGTTTCGGAGCCGTGTGCACTATTACTGAATTTCATGCACTCGGCCCAAGAAGCGGTGCACTATGCCGAACTGTCGAAATGGTTGCACTATTTCTGAACTGTGTGCACTATTTCTATATTTGGCCGTAAAAAGGTGTATTATTTGCTTTGTGAAATTATAGCGCCAAATATGTATATCACGTTTACTTCCATATCTTATTTTTCGTTAACTTAAAGTAAAATGTGAATATTGCACGCATTGCACTTTAATTTATTTTAATTCAGTCCCACGCACAAGGGGGAAAAGCTCAAATTATTGAGCGCTCAAAATATTGAGCGTGTGACGTCAGAGGCTCCCATAGGCGTAATGCTGAGGGCTCAAAAAATTGAGCCGTTTCAGGAACACGTTTTGCAAAAGCAACTCGCAACACCTAGGGAGAAATGGCAACACCCTAGGAGAATCACTAATGATGCAAAACAGATTAGGCTTTCATATTTTTCACTGCTCAAGCTTCAATGATTGGGGGAACACCAATTTATAGGTCGAAATCTTACGGCATACCAGGATGACTTAAAAACAGGCCAATATTTATGTCGAAATAAAAGTTATTTTTTGTCCATTCACGTTTTTTACTAGGGTTCTGTTGGAAAGAGCATTTTTCATACTACCCAAAATGATTGCGATTCAATTTCACATTACCCTTATCGGAGAATATTTTTCATTTGGCGGCGCCGTTTGTTTATTTCGTCGCGACGTCTCCGGTCGCGTGGTTGTCGTCGTCCTTGTGTTGAGGGTAAGTTTTTATCGTTTTAGTTGTACCTAGATGTTAATAGGTACACTGAAAAGTTTGAATATGCTGTGATTTTAAATTTGGAAACACGTAAACGTCAATCAATTCACGTTTTCCTCGATTTGCGTGCAGATAAGTAACTGTCGACGAAAGTGGCGCCATCCGATATGATGTTTTGAAGGAAGGAGACACAACATATTTACGTGAAAATTTTTGTTTTTTAGTGGTCTAAGTGCTTCAAAGAGGCTGTGAATGTTTTCTTCACACAATTTTTCATTAGTTATGATGAGGTAAAAGGTAGTTTCAGTCTTAATTTTCATATAAATGACATTAAAACATATGATAGTCCACTGCTATCAGTGATTAAGTACCTTGATATTTGGCATTTCTTATTAATTTGAATGTATTCTCTATCCATATGTCCTGATAGTAAGTGACAATACTCTGCCAATATGTTTCCATAGTTTTCACATTCATTTTCCAGTCCTTTACTCACCTGTTAAACTCACCTGTTAGGTTTCCACAACCTCGGCTCGTAAAGGAAGGAGTGGAAACCTATTGCGTGCAGAGACGCGCCAATTCCTTGGGTGGGCAGATGGCTGGACCTCAGGCAAGGAATTGGAATGGTGCGTCTGCATTTGGTAAAACACTGGAAAAAAGAAAACTGGTGCGTGTTTTAAGTGCCAGAATCCTAGACAAGATGATCAATTATGTAAATGAGAAAAGAGGGTACCGAAATGTGATACGTTCTCGGAAGGAAAGGTCAGGATAGGTAGCCTAGGTTAGTCCACCCGGTCCAGCTCGAGAAGGGCGGGCAGCAGCTACCTAGGGGGTAAGGGCGGAATATGATAGGTAGCCCAGGCGCGTATAACCCCGCCCCAACTTGGGAAGGGTGGGGCGCTTACCTGGGGGGGGGGGATGAAGGATGAGATGTGAATCGTTTGCCTTCTCTTATCTTGTGTGTTCGAACAATCTACTTCCCAGTGCGGCTTTCAGTCCCTTTTTAAACTGCACCAGGGACTCCTCGTTCACCAGCCAATCTGGGAGGGCATTCCAATCGCGCACGACTCTGTGGGTGAAAAACCGTGACCTTGCATCTATGAGACTCTGACACGTTTTTATCTTTCTACTATGGCCGCGCGTTCTGTTGTCGGCCTCCAGATCCCAGAGGATCTCCGGGGATATCTGACTGTGGCCGTGAAAAATCTTCCAGCATTTGATAATATCGGCTCGAAGGAGGCGTCCCTTCACAGAGAATAGGTCAAGTTCCTTTAGGCGATCACCATATTCCATATTGCGGAGCCCAATCACATTGCGAGTCCAGAGCCTTTGAACAGACTCTAATCTTTTGAGATCCTGTACATAGCCACTGTTCCAGATCGGTGACGCGTACTCGAGAATGGGGCGAATGTGAGATTTCAGTATATGAGTCATAAAGTCAGGCGAGCGACACCTGGTCGATTTCAAGAAATTGTGAGCAACTCCTCCAGCCTTCGCTGCTATGCTGGCACAGTGTTCATGGAATTTCATCTCGTTGTCGATGATAACACCCAGGTCACTACATGACGTAACGCAGGGAATTGTGTCACCAGCCAGTGTGTATGCCCCGGGCTCGAAGTCATGGAATCGTCGCCTAAATCGTATGACGGCACACTTCCTCAGGGGAGCTCAGGGAACTGATTCAGGGAACAGAACAAGAAACTGATTGCCGCCATCAATAAATGAATATTTCATTACATAACATCACAATTTATAATCAACAAAACTCAACTCCTTCATTACCTACTTCACAACACTGACAGCATGACAGACTGACAGTCAACTATTGTGTGGGTGAATGCTGAAACAGGATAGACACTTTGCTGACTGGCTCGCTCATATGAAATAAGATAAAAATGATCCTTTATATCATTTCCATCTGGAGGATCGGAGTCAACGGAAAAGGAAGGCCACTTTCAAGCCTCAAGGTCTAGGCCGCCAGACGCCAGTCGGTAGTCACCACCAAATTTATAATTGATTAATTCATTATTATACTTTGAGACCCTTAGGTCACTGGATCAGCATCACATTTTCAGTTTCAATATAGTAAAGGTTTTTATTTGTATGATGTGAAATATTTTCCTGAATCAGAATTTAATTATCCCTAGGTACCTGGTAGAGGTTTTGGATTTAATGCTCATTGTTGGTGTGCAGTCATGATTTTTTGACAGGTCCAGATAGGGAATCCTGAGCAATTTTATAGTAAAGTGGTCTCCTTATAATCACCACACATTTTATCAAAAGCATTTGCAGAATTCATTCAATGAAGAATTTTATCAATGTTGCACCCATTTCTTAGACGACCTAGGCTGCATCTTTTTTTTTAGTTCCTGTTGTATGACATATTTTCCGTTTTGTTCCACTGCATAAAGAAAAAAATCGTTTGAGATCACCAAACAGCTTTTCTTTTTCTGGCAGGTCTGCACAACCAAGCGGTCGCTGGCGAGGACGTCGGCCGTCTCTGTGGGTAAGGTCATCTGCTCAGCCTTTGTGGAGATCAGCAAGACGTCACTAAGATGAAGACTTCGCTGGAGCAGAAGCCGCTGACCCGTGTCCGATCGGGCAGGTCATGCTCGACGGCACGAGCCACAACTCGAACGACTCGGTGACATCAACAACATGGTGGAGCAGGTGAATGAGTTTGGCGACGTGTTGTGCGACTGCAAGAAGGGTTGTCTGCGTGTTCTGGCCGTCGGAGCGGCGACGCTGCGCAGTCTGTGCTGGCGGTGAGCAGCTGGCCGTGGTGACCGCGCGCGCCCACATGCGCCGACAACCTGTGCGGCTTCGACGGCCCGGGACAGCCCGATGCCGCCCACTATGCGACGCCGACCGCGCACTGTCCGCACGGCCACATGGAGGTGTGCCCGCGCCTTTTGCCCGCACGCCGCTACCTCGCAGCTGGTCTGCAACCACGCCGTCGCCGCCTGTAGCCCGATAACAAAACGGCTGTCTGATAATGCCGCGTGTTCTTTGTGATGTTGCTACTGTGATCGTTGCTACTGCTGGTCTGAGACTCGATGTTTCCATTCGTCTTTTACATGTTAAGGATTTGATAATGATAAGCTTAGTCCGAGCTTAGGTCGTTTATATCATTTGTTATATGGCATATTTTGGATCAAAGCAGTACGACACTGCCTCCTGCTTTTGTGATGTATGCTGGCAAGACGCAGGTTCCGGTCGCAGGTCACCCGGACCCGGTTCCAATGTGGTCGGGCTGGCATGCGATAATGTGATGTTGTTTTGCTCGTCTCTGTGTTCCACACTTGATGATGTTTGTGTATCTAACCCACATATAGTATTTTTGTTTGTTTGCGGCCGATGGCCTTGTAAGTTGTAACCGTGGCAATACAGTTTTTCCTGCTATAATTCTCCAATATTCAAGGGTGGGTGGATATCTCTGTATTCACGTATTCCCTTCTCCCAGTACAGTCAGAGAATATCAATTACAGTATTCATACGGACTATTCAAGCCTTGTATAATTATTTGAGGTGTGCCGAATCCGAAAGACCGATAAAACTACTAGTGGAAAATGTGACACGATGCCATGGGTTTGTGAAAAGTTTAGGTACCACGTAGCATTCAACTTCCTGCATTTCTGTTTCAACTCAGTTTAACGTATTTCAACGAACATAACATCAAAAATGGCAGCCAGTACCGGCTTCACCTGTCACGGAGAACGCTCAAAAAATTGAGTGTAGATGCTGGCCGGCACTCAATTTTTTGAGCGCCAGCTGACTGTTGTCTGTCGTGGCGCTCAATTTATTGAGTATCGCGGTCCCGAACGACAAGTGGCGCTCAAAAAGTTGAGCGTTTTTAGGGCATTTTCTTTCCAAAAATACCGATATAAATTATCACGGCGAGTGTTCGAGAAGAAACCTTGTTGCTCTCTCTTGCCATTGATACCTTATTTGGATACGATATTTGCCGTAGTGTGACGCTAAGCGCATTGTAAAATACCATCGTTTCGCCTATTCCTTCATAATGGGGCCCGCTCAATTTTTTGAGCGCTCAATTTTTTGAGCTTTTCCCCCTTGTGCGTGGGACTGAATTGCGACAACAAACGATATGGATTTATATTCACAAGATGTATTTTGAGCGTTTAAAGCAGTCTTTGTAACTATCAATCATCCTTCAAAACAACTTTATTTGAATAACTGAATGAACATTTTAGACAAAGCAAAGGGAAAATTATCTACATAAATGACGCGGTTGAGACATTTCCCTTCATCGCATGTAGTTGCGTTGGATGCGTAGCGTTGCGTTGGGTTTACACAAGGCCCTAAATACAGGTTTACATAGCATTGCGTTGGATACCTATACGTTGGGTGGGATTTACTGGGATTTACATAGCCTTGGGTAGGATATACAGCTGGGGCTGAAGATAAGACCAAGATAAGAATAAAAATATTATCTTCCGTCAGTATATGCTCTGTTAACCGGCATGAAAATCCAGCGACAGAAGAAACTTAAAAGGCGCCTAGACTTCTTCAAAAACAATTTTGGCTTCTCTGCGCCATACAGCTTGATTGTTGATGGTACATTCTGCTTTGCAGCATTGTCGGTAAGAAATTTTGAAATAGCTTATTATTGTGACCATGCTTCCCCCTTTACAGCTTGTAGGATAATTCACTCAAAAAATCATAAAGGCTTACCCCGCGTTTGATGTCTCTCGGATGACAAAGATTCTATGCCGTTCGGCCAATCACGTTCCATAATCGCAGCCGAGCCCCCGCTGACCTAGAACAGGATTGGCCGGACGACGTAGAATCTTTGTCGTCTGAGAGACATCAGATTTAGTAATTAGTAAGTGACGACCTCAGTACCTTGACCTCATATTGCAGTCAGGCTATTCTAGCAATTTCGACAAGATTTTGTCAGTACATGAGCATTTGGTAGTTAGACATTAGGCAGGTAGGTAGGTGCATAGCTTGGTTGAGATTGATGGTGGTTTGTTAGATATTTGATGTGGTACCTATGCATTTCATGTCAGTAGGCGGAACTATGGTCAAGCGTACCCATTTTCGGGAACGCATTTTCGTTCCCATGTTTGGGAACGATAAACCCAAATATGGGAACGCCATGTAGGCATTATTTAAAACAAGAAAAAGAACCGTTAAATGACGTCCAAAAAATATAAAACGATCGTGAACCGCCTGATATTTGTCTCAATATTGTTGGGAAAGAGTTTGATATTGTAAGGCCCATCGTAGTTTCAAATCGTTCCCCTATTTCTAAAGCAGTCCATCATCCGGGCCGCGAGCCCAAATTTGGGAACGCTCTCGTACACTGGCGCTGCAAGCGTTCCTCATTATGGGAACGGCGTACCCAAAATTGGGAACGATTTCACCGACGCCTTTCAGGGGCTCTTTTCATTAACAAGCATCACGTCCAACGCCGCAAATTATTGTTAACGCAACAATCATCAGATGACCTTTCCGGCAAGACCGTCGCATGTTTCGCCCGGTCTTCTGCGCTTTTATTCCCGTCGATCTCGCAGCGGGCACGCCCCCCTCTGCAGGATTACGTAATTCACAACGCTCAGCGATGTTCAACAAGGTCTTCCATACCTATATCCACCGTCCGCGCTGAGGGTGGAGACATGTCAAGCACCCGTCTGTTTATCACCGATAGTTGACGAGTACAAGGAAGTATCCAAAAATGGGAACGCTGAATATGTTACACCCTCAAAACACCTAGTCCCAATGAAAATCTAGTTTTTTCCTTTCTTGATGAGTGTAAGTGGCAAAAGGCCTGGTAGGATGGGCACGAGGAATTATCGAAATCAGCATAAAAATTATAAATAAGCCACACAGAGCGAGCTATATAAGAGAAATTCCCCCAAAACGATCACGCTTAGAAACACGGAAGACAAAAACCACGCTCATGACACTCCTTATAAAACAACTCTAAACAGCTAGCATCCAAATAAAATATGTCTTTCCGGGATGATAAAATACAGCTGGATAATTTTCAACCGCTTAAACTGAGTTTACAACAGTAGCTCGGTAAATTCACTCACGTTCCACACGGTCGTCCGCCCCGACACAAAAGTCAACAATATTACCTCGGGACCGTCCGCGTCTTCGCGTGCATTTGTCAGCATCTGGTGTCGATAGTATGAAAGTTCATAACCAGGCGAAAATTATTATACTTTACCTCAAACTAAAAAATGCTTCATTTTCCTTAAAATTGCATGTTAAATGTCGTATAACCCATATTTCCACCATTCTGTCATTTTCAAAAAATCATTAAAAATATCATTCCACGGTCAATTTCCTTGTTCCACGGTCAGATTAAAGATAACTTTATGGAGATTTAGTAGATACTTAAATCAGCGTGCACTTTTTTGAGACGTGATGCACTTTTGAGTTTTAGTGGGAGAACGGCCGAAAAATTGCCTTCCGTTCTCATAAATGGGAACGCCCGTTCCCATATTTGGGAACTCCGTTCCCAAAAATGGGAACGTTCCTATATTTGGGTACTCATGACCATAGTTCCGCCTACTGATGTGGATTGGTGTGGGTCCTTATTTGGCACCATGCTGATCTTCTGTGTTGGTGTATCTTAAAGAAAAAATGTTCTGGAGACAGTGGGTCAAGGAAATATATATTTACCTGTTATTGCAGGTTTTCATATTGCAAGTGTAGTTTTCTAAATTTTGCTGTAAAAACTTTTCAGTTTGGTACAGTGATGGTCTAGTGTGTTGTGACCTGGTGCTTACTCCCAGGTTTCCAGCCTGATTGGTGTAGGCTTGACACTGGTGCAAAGTTTTCCCCCAAGGGCATAGCTATTAGCTGGTGTGGCTTTTAGACTGTTTGCCAGGCTCCTTGGTCTGGTGTTGCAGTTAGGAACTAGCAAGTATGAATCCAGCACCAGTAATCTAATCTTGGTGCTCACAGTTACAGCTGCTGTGAACTCTTGGTCCCACTCTTGCTCTTGCTCTCACCTCTCCTCTCTTCTCCTATCCTCTCCTTTCCTCCCCTCCCCTCCCCTCCCCCTCTCTCTCTCTCCCTCTCTCCTTCTTTCATTCTTGTTCTCTGGCTGTCTTGCTATTTTTCTGCATTTGAAGGTGCCTGCTCTTAGCTGTTAACATGCACTGTACAAACATTATTGTGATGCTTATTTATTTCTGCATGTTATTTTCAGCATAAAGTGAGCATAAAAGAGCAGATTCCAAAAATCCTGGAAGACAATGTGAAAATTCTCACAACACCCTGCATCGTAACAGAAGTAGAAAAAATGGGTGAGTTGATAATGTGATAAAATGCTTCATTTATCACAGTATTTCAAAAGAAATGTATGGCTAGTTGCCTTGTTTTTATAGCAATTGATATGGATCAGTCCTTGATAATGCTTGCATTTTGTTTGAGTTTGTATTCCTCAAACAGTTTTCTTTCTCAGTCAGCAAGGTCTAACTATTGATGCAAAACTGATTTTTCCCAGGTCCTGCACTGTATGGAGCATTCACCATAGTGAAGCAGTTTGCTCACCACCAGTGTGGACACACAGTACCAGTAAATGGTGCCAAGTGTGTGAGAAGCATGGTCAAGGGTGGCAACAAGTCAAAGTAAGTCAACAGCAGTCAACAATCACTCAGTAGTCAGTGTATGCTTATTTATTCCATGTAGGGTCCTAAATAAATGCTAAGTTTAGGTTAAACTTCAAGTGTTTATCTTCCTTTTCTCAACTTCTTCCAGGTTCAAATTTTCAAGTTTTGTTATTCAGAAGTGCTGACTTTTCCATGTTCCACCTTGGTTTTACATAACACATAAGATCTGGCCTCCAGCATCTAGCCTTCACCCGTACAATATCTCTGTATTTATCTGGCCTCAGAGACGACCCCGTGAGCCCGCCTGACTCCCCGTGTCGCGCTAGGTACGCGGTGGCCACCCAGGACCAGTCCCTGCGCACTCAGCTGCGTACAATGCCGGGCGTACCGATTCTCTACCTGCACAACTCCGCGCCCACCCTGGAAAAGCCGCCGGAAGTCAGCACGGATCGCGCCGACCGTTGGGATGCAGACAGGTGAGCTTGGGGTATAGGAGGGTGGGGGAGGATGGACCATTTTTGTAGATGGTTATGATAGTTGTAACTTGTAAGCTGATGGCCGTCAATATGGAATACTTCTGGTCCCCACTTCATCAAATTCAGTCCGTGAAAATTCATCTGATTCTGAGAGTGAAAGTTACATGTTGCTATTATTGAGATTTGAGACCAAGTATGTTTTGCATGCTCTCAGCTGAAGCACTAAGTACTAGTTCAAATTTGTAGTTTATCGATTAAACAGCATGAATAGGCATTGCGTGCTGCTAAAATGTCGTCATCCATCGTCCTCAGCGATATTGACGTGCCGCCTTTTCCTGTCAGGGTCGGCCTATCGAAAGAGCAGCGGAAAACCATCACCTCCCTGAAGCGCTCCATTCTGGGCGAGTCTGAGCCGGTGAAGCGGCGGAAAAAGAAGGTAGTCAAAGGCGCCAACCCTCTGTCCCGCCGTCGTCGGAAAGAGCGGGAGTCCGGTGAGCAGCAGGCAGAGGACGGAGGGGAGGCAGAGCGCCGGAGTCGCCGCCGGCGGAGGAGGGTCAAACTGGCGGCGCACGTGAAGGAGGAGCTGGCGAGAAGACGACAGATGGGTGAGCAGGCTGTTTGAGTGAGCGGGGCCACTCTGAGAGACTGTACGGGTGTTTGATTGGGACGGTGACTGAACCCCGACATGTGAGACACTTCCGAAGTCTGAACGGGATGTCGGTTGCAACGTGTGTTACTTTCATGACTCGTGGAGGGTGTGATGCTTTGAGTGTCTTGTCATTATCATACTGAGGTCAGAGATGTCGATGAATTTTAAATACATTGTCAAAAGCAATTGGTGATACTTCACATCAAAGTTTGACCGGAGAGTGGGAATACGCTATCTATGTCAACGTGTCATGTGGGCAATGGGGATTGGGGCGAATCAATTTGAAACGTACCCCGGTTTATAGTGTCCGACTACCAGTCGTGAAACGGAGTTCCCAGAGCATTGGGGTTCGGTATCCCATCTGACAGGAATGATTTGCGGTTCGTTGCGAAAGCTCAGAACATCGGATCGTGACAGCAGACGGAGATACCCACGGAAGCGATTGGCGACTAGGTCAGAGCAGGAGTAACCCAGCAATTCACAGCTAATTTGGAGATTGTTTGCATGGCCTAGCCCAGTTAAAGATAGGGACAATGCAAGGTGCCCTTCACAGTTGCGCAAGGATGAGGACTCGCCAAACCTTGATCTGATTAGACGTCTGTAAACTGGTATTCTCACATCATTGGGGTTAGCCACAGGGCTTCAGAGATATTTTCAAATGGAAAGACGTTCGACTACCGCCTGTCATCTCTATCACGCCAGCCATCGGTTGTAACGTGGGCGCCGATGACCACTGTAGTCCGGGCGCCCAAAAACCCCAATTCACCACCACCACATCGGTTGTAACGTAACTTCAGGCTGCATACATCTCACACTTCGTGCCTAAAAGAAGTCTGCAATCTGCTTTTGTCAAATCAGCAATCCGAAACTCACGACATGTCGGACTACAAAATATTTATTGTACATTGACAAATGGCCATGGAGTGTGGAGGGGAGCCGGCCGGGCGCGCAGCCAGGACCTGCACCCCGCCGACCGGCCGGCCAACTCCGACTGTCCCCTGTCAGCCGGACTGCGTGACGCAGTAAAAACAGTCCCGTCCCTCCCCGTCCGATCGCGCCCGCCAGCCTCCACACGCCTCTCACTATATACACGGTGAACCATAACAAGCGAACATTGTAAAATGACCAAAATCGCGCCGCGCCGGGCGGTCAGCCGGCGGCCTCGGCCCGACCCTGCGGTGCGTGATGAAGGGGCCGCGCCCCCGTGGGGTGGTTTGTGAAAATATGGGTGATTCGTGAAGTGAGGACGGCCGGCGCAGCCCCTAGGCCTCCTCTTCCTCCTCGTGTTTGCGCTTTTTGCCCCGGTTCGTGTCTGAAAACGGGGAAAAACATTATTACTGGAAGCTGTCGCTGAAAAGTCCGTTAGTCTGACAAATGGATAAAACATTTTCTCCAATTTGGTGACTGAGCAAGTAACCAATCATGACCCAAAAATGTACTCGGCTTCGGCGGGTTCCTACGGGCAGGCAGAGCACAGTTGGGGCATGGCACAGCACTAACTGACCAAATACGACTAGCGCCACCTATGTGGAACTGACAATGCCTGGGATGTCGCAGCATCAAGCCAGAGTCCTCGCTCCACTGCCCTGAAAACTCCACTCAGCTCCCCCGTCCTCTCACCTCCGGCTGCCGCCTCGTCCTCCTCCTCGATGACGTCATCGTCCTCGTCCTCCTCGTCCTCGGCCCCGTCCTCGTCAAAGTCCTCGTCGTCTTCGCCGTCGCCGATGTTGTCCTTGTAGATGGCGGACAGGCCGACCTCGTCCTCTTCTTCGTCCCCCTCGTCGTCCTCTTCCTCTTCCTCGCCGTCATCGTCCTCGACGCCGTCTTCCTCGTCATCCTCCTCGCCTGAGGACGGGCAGAGAGGAAGGTCTAATTAACGACGGAAAAGTTAACGAGGACAATGAATGGACTAACAAGCTAAAAGGTCGCAGATTTTACTGAATGCGCAAGCATCAATTTTCTGATCTTTGCTAGCAGATTATTCTTATAGCATGTTTTTTAATAGCATTATGGATCAAAGCCGCATGCATTTATTGTTACGTAGATGCAAATATTCAGTCACGTTAGCATTCTAGCTTAACTGCATTCGAGATAAAGAGGAACATACGACAACAAAAAATAAAAGTGTCAACATCAAGCAGGCGATCGTGCTAGATGACTGAACACCGAGCGGTGTCACATACCCTCGGCTCCCTCTTCGTCGCCATCTTCCTCGTCCTCGACTCCATTGAGCTCCTCGTCAGAGTCCTCCACCTCCTCCTCGTTCTTGTCAAAGCTGGGGCAAGTCGAAAAGTGCGGTGGTTAGGTTTAAAAATGCATTACGTATACGGCAGCTCGGCCTGACAATTAATGTTTCTGAATTCATTTCGTGATTTGGTGAGAATTGAGAAATGTTTTATCTATGTATGTTGTAGATAAATTATCAATATAAATACATGAAAACATGAAGAATAAAAATTATTGTTTCATGAACGTGTAGGTAGTTATTTATAAGGGGATAAAATGTTCCCATTTTGCCCACCACACCGCCCTCACACCACCGGGAGAGACTCACCCGTCCAGTCCGACCAGGCCCGGCAGCATCTTGAACACCTCCTCGCGGTAGTTGTCCAGGTTGGTGACCTCGCAGTGGAACAGGTCCAGGTTCCTGAGGTTCGGCAGCTCGGACAGCGGCTTCAGCGCCTCCAGCTCCTTTATCCGGTTGCCGCTGAGGTTGAGCGATTTGAGCACCGAACAGCCTGACAGCGCGTTCAGACCGCCCGAGATTCGGTTATCGCTCACTTCCAGCTGAAATGGGGAGACAAACGGCACGTGTCAGCCAAGCTAGTTTTTGGGTGGGACAGCCAATCCGGCATAGCTACCGCTTGGCAACAGAAGACCGTACTGATTGGGCATCGGGCTGATGGCGATGACTTGGATGTGTAGGTAGGGATAAGGCATAATGATATCAGCATTTATGAAAATATCTTTAACGTTGTAGTAGAGGACAATTCGAGTGAGAACAGCAAAGCGATGTCCCTGATAAATAAAAGCTACTGTTTCCTACAACAGTTCGTTGCTCGACCCGCAGCTCCACCTGCCCACAGCAGCGCCACCTACCTTCCTCAGCTTGGGCAGCGTCGGGAAGCCCTTGAGGGTGGTGAGGCCGGCGCTGTTGAGACTCAGCACCTCCAGGTTGGAGAACTTATCCGTGAGGCCATCAATGGTCGGCGACTTGCAGTTGTCCAGGTTCAGCTCAGTCAACTGTGAACACACAAATCGGAAGGTGTCAGTAAACGAAACCTAGCAGGCGATTACGGTCAATTTGGAGATAAAATGAAATGTCGATACGTGTTATTCGTTAATGACTATCCGCAGAGCACAGATAACGAAAAGCTACTCAAGACAATGACATGTTTTTGAGGAAATTTACTAATTAGAATGGTTCAGCGTGCGTGGTCGCAATGTGCTCGCATGAAAGGAGCTTCGACAATCACAAGTTCCAAACAAGTTCTCAATTACCCGATTATAAAAATCGAATAAATGTAAACGTTCTTTTGGTCCGAAGCAGTAGATTCCGAGTTATCTTTGATATGGATCTACAATTAAGGTAATCTTTTTCAGAGCCTATACTCCTAATTCATGGAATGCCACCATGCGGTTGTAAAGTGCCTAATCGACCGGCTTTTAAAGGTAACAGCGATTATCGTCACCGATTCAACTTTGCCAAGTCATAAGTGTTGACTGATGCAATGTGGTATCATTCATCACCTTATCAATCCATACATCAATGCTCCTCTTTCAGCTAGCAGATAGCGCATTATCATCGCCCATCAACATGATCTGGTAGTGTCTCGCTATTCGAGTACCGAAGCTAAGGTTCCAATTTCTGTGATGTCGACTGATGTAAGCCTACCACTTTGCATATGAAAGTACAACAAAGAAGCAAATTAAACACTTCGCCTCAATAGTACCCGCCGTAAATATACACGAAAAAATGAACCGCGTGGTTCGCGTCAAGTCACAGAAGGACGATATGAATAAGTTGCATAGATAAAAATGAAATTCAAACGAGGTTACAATCATGATTGTTCGATTTTCGAATATCTGAATGCTGCAGAGTGCAGGGGTCACCAGACCCCGGAAACGATGCCTCAATCCTCATGACTACGCGACCCAAAAAGTTGATAACCCGAATGATAAAGAATGGTCGAAATGGGCCACCCGTTGCGCCCTTCAATTATCTTCGTTGCCACTTTTCACCCGTATCAAATATCCAGATCCGAGCAGCTTGGACGCCGCAGCTTGCTCTCGCTGTCGCGATGATCATCCCGCTTCAGCTGCCGGGCGCTGCGCCGCCGTCCCACCCCATACAGGCCCCCTACATAGTAATTGGGCCTCGTCGCAGGCCGAATTGAAAACCTCTGGTCCGGGCGAAACTGTGGACGTCCGGCAGCCCTCCGACGAGAGCACTATATTCCTGCGCGGACGAATACACCGGCCGGCCGGCCATTGATTGCGCACGGCCACGGAGCCGGCGAGTCAGTGCCGCCCAGCCAAGGACGAGGGGGGCCGCGGCGGGGTATAGTATTCTAGCGTGCTCAGGACGCCGATCAGCCGCAAATATCGGTGACACCGCGTCCCAGTACCACTGGCAAGTATTTTCAGCGCGTCCTGCAGTGAAGTGCTGTCGTAAAACCGTTTTCAGCCGAGGTGAGCCGGGTCCAAAATGGCTACTCGGCCGGCCGGCCGGCGGAACCGAGCGTGGGTACTGTGACGTCATCGCGGCGGAGCGACCGCCCCGTCCCGACATGGCGTCCAACATGCCAGGGGGCGGCGAGCCAAGGTACCCACACGGTGGCCGTGAAACGTTTGCAACATATGGAAAATATGAGAAAAATGCTCATTAAATGACATTTCATTGATATTATAAAGCAGCTAGCAAGCCATGTACCATGGATTTTGAAAAGGAAAGGCTCTATCAAACTTGGCAGAGCTCATGGAAAACACCTTTTAGAACTGTATACCTTATAATAACTGAGTTTCTTACAGGTTGTTAAGCAGCCCTTATGGATGTCAATATTTTCTGAATAATTTTTAAAATGGCTGCCAACTTCCCTGCTTATTAAAAGTAGAAAGCAAACCAAACATGCTGTAACAAAATTGTTACACCCAAACCCAATAACTTAGACAAAACCAGGGCAGTCAAATGCTTTATAATCATGTGTTAGAGTAAAACATATACAATTGAATCAAACAAAATGCAAAATAGATGTATCTGACACCCTAACAAATGACAAATACAGAAAATATATCAAATGACATGGGTGATCGTAACTGATCCAGAAAACCAAATGCTAGTAATGGGGGGAAGGAGGGGATGGAACATAATTTCAACATGTGTAGATGCAAAAATATATCAAAAAATTGAACTTCATACTCATCCCAACAATCATTCTACCCAAAAGCTGTCGGCAGAGCAGCACAGCTCGGAACATGATAAATACAAGGAAGACAAGAGGCTTTGGCACACTGACAGTGCCACTGAGGCAATAGGAAGACATTATTTTTGTTAATTACTAGTATGGATCAAGTTCTAAGTATTCCGAGGGCTTCTGGCTGAAAGACAGACCTTTTTTAAATGAGTGACAAAAATGGCGCGCACTGCCAATAACAGCCGTTCAATAGAAGGCGATCCACTTACCTCCTCGGGTTTCCTGCCCCGTAGTTCAAGCCCAATGCGTTTCTCCATCGTCTTAGCCTTTCTCGACCACCTGCGAACCTTTAAGACTGAAATAAGACTCGTAACAGCACCCAATCGGCGATACTGGCGCCTGTCAACAAACGCATCTGTTTCAGAGACGCTCGCCGCCTCGCCGCCGCTGACGCAGTGGTCCCAAAATCGTTCGCGGCAGAACATTATGCTACCAAATGGAAAGGAAAAATGCTGCTACATGAAGGTTTCGCCCTCACACCATACCGCCAACATTGAAATTTGAAATTAGTGCGCGGGAATGAAATAGAAGCTATATTTCTATTTTATTTACAAAAATGAAAGTTCTACTTATAATTATTCACACAAACAAAATTATTTCAGAATGTTTTCATGAGGAACGACAAATCGATGAGAAAACTGATGCCGAGTTTTTATTTTGAAGGAAAACCGATCGGCTTCATACTCCCATGGATGAAAAATGCACACCAGTGTCCGATCATCTGAATCTGTCGTCATACTCATATCTGTGGTCATATCAATCTTCGTGATCAACTTATGGGTTTATTCATGTTTTGCAATGTTTTGCTGATTAGACATATCCCATCCCGGCCGAGGAGGAGGCACGGGCGTTAGTGCCACCACCTCAAACGCTTATATGGTAATTTCTCGGAAGCATTGGCGATTTGAGCTGAAAATTGGCATAGGTACTCATTTGGTCCCTGATCCAAGCCGGCTTTTCCGACACCAACCACATTTTCAAGTCAGGTCAGGTCACTTACCTATAGATGGTCCTAGAATGTCGCAATTTCCGGAGCCGAGGAAGGAAGCCAAGTGCCAACACTATTGGCCCATAGCCGAACCATGGAGCTGGGACTGCTTAAAAACTTTTTCCTCTGCCTGTGACTCGAGCCAGAGTCATGAACTGTTAGGCGGCTCCGGCGCTCCGGCCTTAGAAGAGATAAGTCATAAGATACTAAAAACGAAATTCACCATATGGAACTGAGCATTGAACGCTTTATTAATACCAGTAAAACGCCTTTTGGGCGAAGAACGAGCGAGCGAAATAGTGAGCCCTGCACGTGCAGAAGGGCGAGAGGGTACTTCCAACGGGCTTGTGCAAAGCACCCTTCTAGCCGGTCGCTAGCGGTGTACCAAATTTGAACGCAATCGGCCCAGCCGTTCCTGAGATCTGGAAGCGGCATTCTGCACGTGCGCACGTGCAAACGGGGTCCAAAATGACTTTTGCACGGCACCCTACTAACCGGTTCCCAACCGTGTACCAAATTTGAGCGCAATCGGCCCAGCCGTTCTCGAGATCTGGAAACGCCCCCTGCACGTGCGCACGTGCAGTAGCACCCTAACCGAAACACATGGGAATGCATTGCCTGGTGGGTGCCTACCTGTATGCCAAGTTTCAGCGAAATCGCCCCAGTAATTACCGAGTTACTGAAATGGGAACAAATTTGGCACCTCTTATTGTTGTATTTTGCACGTGCAGTGGGGGTCACTCACATAGATGAAGAGTATCCGACCTTTGGTAGAAGGGATGCAGCTACCCTATAAAAATGACCGCAAGACAATCGCTCAAGCCGCTGCTGAGATATGGGCCTCTCAAAATCATTACTTTTGCAAAACTGCTTGAACACCCTTGACTTTTCACGTGGCACGTGCCACGGCGGTCACTGAGATGTATCAAAAGTAGTCAATTACGGGGTAGAAGGGATGGGGCTACCCAGCAAAAAAGACCGCAGGCCATTCGGTCCAGCGGTTGCTGAGATATAAGCCTCTCAAAAGCGTTACAGGCCGGGCCGGGCCGGGCCGGGCCGCTCATACTGAGATTTTTCCGTTATATTGAAAAGACTTCGCTTCGCTCGCTGCGCTCGCTCGCTCGTAATCAGCATTTATAACGTTGATTTTGGGATTTTTGGGTAAGGTATGGTTACTAACGAAAGCATGGAATGCCACCATATTTATGAATTATAAGAAACAGCTTTACGCAAGAAACTTGTGTGACGTGTACCTCAAGTTCAAACATAACCGCGCGCTTGTAGGTATCACATGAATAGTTCATGCAGGGTACGGGGCGGCCGCCACGGTGACTCGGCCTAGTCGGTGAGTCAGATCTCAGAAACAGAGTTGGAAAAGGTATGGAGGCCGCCGGGGCATTGAACTCTGAGCTCATGTCGAATATTGAGCCGGAGCCATCATTTTTTTACGAATGATGGCTAATCAGCGCAGGATAAATCAGCGCATGGATCAGTGGGACGAGAGGTGGATCACAGATCAGACACAACTCACAGCTCACATGAACCAGCACCACATTCGTCCCGTGGCGGCGCGTGAGCCGTGAACCCAGGGTCGAGTCGCTCAGGAATTGTGGTTACGGAACGCCTCAAGCTGAGTGGTATGCGGTTGGTGGGAGCAGCCCCGGGCCAGTTGATATCGATGAGTGGGACGGCCAGTGACCGGTGTTCCGGCCAATCCAGTCGCTTCATTTAGTTTCAAAATCACAATCTAGATGTCATCCGTGTATTCATCGCACTTCAAACCTAAGGTTATGGCATACCGTGCAGGCCAACACCACAAGAGAACCGCCATTTGTGAGATCCACAACACAGAGAGTGAAGCGCCAGCATTCCTGAAGACAGAGCGAGCGAGCGTTGCGCACCATCCACCCACCCACTCGTACCCAACTGGCAAGCCATCGAGCAACGAGAGGGAAAATTCGACTAAACCACGCCGAAAAGGACATTCCTTGCTGCAAAATTCATGCATTCACTTCGCCCCGAATTGTACACAACGCACTCGCCCCTGCCTCTATGTCATTCTACGTAAAATTCCAACAGACTACGCCGTAGGTTAAAACAAAACAAAGACCATGGCAAATGTACATACACTTATAACGATAAGCATCCACCTTGAGGGCATTAAGCCTGTACAACTTTGTACTGGTACAGAATAATTACAGCGGAGGGTACAAGACAAAGTAAAAAGACACTACAAAACAGTCATCAATAGTACCCATCGCAAATGCCAATGTATGTACCTCCCAAAAGCACAATACATACGAAAAGAAATCCGTTATACATAACCTTGGCTCAACAACAAATAACATATCAAAGCTTCAACCGAGTCTGCGCATTTGAAAACGTTCTACACAGAACGTTTCGACGAAGCTATCAGGAAATGAAGAGGAAAGTTGATGCAATATGCTAATAACTATTTTCACATCAGCCAAATGGCTTCTGCTAAACCGAATGCACCAGTATCAGACCAATTAGTGGTACGTCAACAGTCCCTGCGTGATACTGAGAGAACAGTTTTCAAACGGACAGCTCGCCGACGCTTCACGCAACAAGCACACTATGTTACACACAATGCATGATGCGTTTTAGTATGAACGATGCGATATTTTGATGTCTTTAAGTTTCATACAGCAGACATTTTCGCGTTACATAATTCCTATAATCGGTCTGACATCCGTGTAGCGGATTTCGATTTGGTGAAAAAGGACAGTTTCCAGTGTTTGTTTCCAGTCTTGTTTGACATCGTTCAAATTAACTGACTATGCCTAAAAAGGACTGATACCTGATACACAGCAACGTCTCTAACGATTCCTAGGCCGGACACTCCGATGCTAGAACTGGCAGTTTCAATATCGATCCTGGGTGTTTTCATCACCTGGTACGTGTGAAACGTCCGTAATATACGACCTCGCCGAGGTAATGATAATAAATAACGTTACTTTGCCTCTCAGTTTAAAGCCGGCGTCCCGAGGCGCCTCCGCAGCATCATAACAACATATCTGTCTCTTCTTTTATGATGAGCATCCCGTTTGCCGCGTTCTCATCGTCTCCATCCGTCGGTGTCCCCTCATCTTCTTTCTCCTCTCCCTTTTTATCAGACTTGTCCCCGTCCTCCGTCGATTTACTCTCCGGCGGGGGCGGGGGCGTTGGAGGTTTCCCGGTTAGCATCTGTTTGGGCAGCCGCACGCCGTCAATGGTGCGATCCTTGACGTGCGGTCGGTCGCTCAGTTTGGAAGGCGGTCCGTGCCGCTCCCGCACATGCATCTCGCGCTGCTCGCTGCGTAGGAAACTCGTCTGGCAGAGGTTACACGGGTGGGGTACGTCGATGGCGTGCGCTGAGCGCACGTGGTGTGCGTACTGGAGCAGCTCGGCCGTGCGACAGTCGCACTTGGGACACCGGTACAGCAGGCCGTGCGCCTGAGCGGCGTGCTCGTTAAGCGCGGCCGTGTCCGGCGCTACAGCCGGGCAGAGGTTACAGCAGAACGCCGAGCGCGAGCGGCCGCTGGGCAGCGGAGGTGGGGTGGGCAGCGGCGCCGGCCGCGCGGGCACGCACGTCTGTCGGTGCTCGAACAGCGCGACGCGCGACGCGAACAGGTGGTCGCAGCCGGAGCAGACCATAGAGTGGTTACGCAGGTGTTGGTCCACCTCAGCCGTCGTGGAAAAGATGAGCGAACACAGCGGGCACGGTTCGCTACCGGGTCTCTGCAGGATCGATTCCAGGATCGGACCACGGGTCTGCCGGGCCGGCGGCTGCGGAGCGTCCGGTAGCAACACGTAATTCCGGCCCGCCTGCCTCTGCTTGGACTGAGGTTTCTGACTGCCGCTGCCCGCCAGCGAACCACCACTACCCATCAGCAGGGTTTTCAGCGTGTTCGGGTTGGCGACAGAGGGTTTGACCGCGGGCAGGATGGGCGGCTGCGGCACGGCAGACATAAGGGGCGCCTGAACCGTGCCACCCGTCACCTGAGTGCCCGGTCCGGGCATCACCAGTCGACCGTCGGGCAGCCGGAGCAGGGTGACAGGGGCGCCGGGCGCGCCGCCAGAGGCCGACACCGCCGGCTGTGTGCCCGTCGGCAGCATGTACAGCTTTCCGTCGGAGCCCTGCAGCAGCACGGGCAGCTGGGGAGAGGTCGTCGTTCCTGACGTCACCGTCGAAGGCGACACGCTGATCACGGGTGTCGGCAGGGACGCTGATTGGGCTACCACCGCTGGTGTCTTGGGCTTACTGGCGGCCACTGGGGAGAGGGACGACGGTGGCTGTCCTGGACCCGGCTTGGGCAGCAGCGTCTTCAAACCGGAGGATCGCGGCGGCACCACGCACACAGACACGTGCATCGACTGGGCGGTGGTTGAAGGCCGCGTGACCACAACAGAGGACGCCACCGGTAACGGTTTCGGTTCGGGACGGGACGGCGGGGTGGCTGCCGGCGATGATGAGCTGACCCCCGTCCGCAGGCGACTCATCAGTCGGGTCCGTAAGGTATTCTGAAGCTGAAACAGGCGAGGTACGAGGTCACACACGGGTCGGGCTAGGTGTGCGGCAGGGCAGCTGGTGCAGAGGGGACACGGCCGCAGCAGGGTCGATGGTAGCCAGCGAAAGAGCTGTCTAAAGCTATGACGATCTAGGCAGGCTAACAATATAAGGCGAGCGAATGCTCCAGTTAAAAACTCAATGACTTTATGGTATGAGTGACTGAACATTGATAATGATTAAAGGGACCCTCCCACCTTAACATTAGATTTGAGTTGAGATAGCCAAAATGGGGTCCCTGGCTCACAATTACCGGTTTTGGCACTCACAACATCGAGAAATGCCTTAAATCGGAAATATTGAATTTCAAAATTGCAGCATTTTGATTCAGAGGGGCTAATGCTTAGGAATACCCCTCTGAATGTGTGACGTCAGCGCAGATATCTAACGATTTTTAATGTTTGACTAAAACGTTTTGTAGCACGCGGTGGTATATGCTATTTGCGCGCAACATCTGCCGCAAACGCCGCACTTCTAAAATAAAGTCGCTAGAAACAGCGGAGATCCCAAAAAAGTAAACAAAAGTAAAAGTCTAATATCTTGAAAACCGGTGAATATTTTTCGGTGAAATTTGGTAGATATTTGTTTTCGCTCTTTCTGAACCGAGCGACATCACTTTCATGCCAATTCATAAACTTTTTTGAAGGTGGGAGGGTCCCTTTAATGGATTGACGCATTAACGATAGTAAGCGTAATTGAAAAGACACGTTGATTTAACAAAAAAAGCAGAAGCCTATTACGAACATGATATGGACGAATTAAAATCAACGCCAATTAAAGAACAGCCATTCATGGAAATCAGCATCGCATTCACAAAAAAGATCAAATGAGCACACGAAAACAGGCGACAGTTACCAACCCCACATTGATCAATTCCCCACTGAAACGATGTAACACCGCCAGTCCTTACCGCTGCCACGTTGACAATCGGAGTGCCCGCCTCATTGCTGCCATCATCGACATCATCCAGGCAGTCTGTCGGAGGACACAACGCCGCCGGTCAGCTCAGAGGTAAATAAGGTGAGTGGAAGACGGAAGGGGACGGAATAGTACATCAGGGATTTAATTTCAGGTGATATTAATGGTGAAAGTGAACACTCCAGCATCGAAAATCCGGGAAGGAATATGCGTCAATTATTACCAGTGAATACATAACTCCAATCAAACATGTTTTGAGCATGCAACATGTAGCAATTCATAAAAACTCAGTTGACCGGCATACCACGCTAACCAAAGGCCTCCAGTCCGCTAATAATGTTGCATTCATCGTCGTACCTCATAGTCTTCTGACAAACAAAGATCATAAGCTACTCTGAAGCTGCAGGTGCGTAAAATTGTGTGATGAAGCTCTGACAAACAAAGATCATAAGCTACTCTGAAGCTGCAGGTGCGTAAAATTGTGTGATGAAGCATGCCAGCGGCATCTTTTGAATACCGACGACAAAGTCTCAGGAGGGACGGGACGTGAAAGATCGTCTCTTCCCCTTCCCGTTACGGTGAGGCCCTATGTCATAAGTATCACGAAACCCGATTTTCAATATGACGCAGCCAAGGTCAATGAGAAACGCCCAAACAAGAGCTTACTTTTAATGGGAAGGATAATTTTCCGACGTAGCAAAACTACACAACGAAATTAGCAAATTGTACGTGCAACGAAATTAGCAAAACAAATAAAGCAGTTCCTAGTCGGTACACGGGGTCAATGCCCGCTGCGGTCAAGTTCAGCGTACCGGCTGGTTTTTATGGCACCGACTTTGGCAGTGGGTACCGGTTCTCAATGTTCCGCCCTAACCATCGCCGCGGGCGCCGGTCCGCCACACGAATGGGCTCTCCGCACAACGAATCATGGGCGGGGCTTCATCTGCGACTGCTCGTTTAATCGAACATCAACCCTAGCTCTGCGGGAAGGGAGGGGTAACGCGTGATTCTAGGGTCGACGATACAAATGGAGCGGGCTACGCGATTGGATTTAGGCTAGAAGTAATTAAATACAATATCAGCATTTAACTGGCCAATCATAGCGTAACAGCATGCAAAATATCGCTGTTCACTTTAGGCATACTTGTTATCGCAATTGATTTCAACTTTAGTGGGTGAAAGTGATATTGGGACCTGTAGCATATTTGTAAAAACTGTACCAAATGTTTAAGACCGCTGTCGTTGATCAGCCAGCTCACACAGGTACGCTGTGGCTTTCTTATCATGGCAACTGAGAAAGGTGGACTATTCAGTATTCACAGTAGCAGAACAGGTGTGAATTTCACACATATTCCGTTACTACACTGTCGGTGGCCGTCCCATTGATCTGTGTTTGGTATCATCATATTTACGTATGGACTAGCTGCTAAGATAAGAATGTATCAGCCAGTGTTGAAGGCCAAGAAATACACCGGTATATATGGTCTCGACAAAACCGGTTATAAGAAATAAACAAGATAAAGCAATTGAGCTGAATAGATACGTTGCAATGCATTGGACGAGACAGTTAACTATGCAGTTACGATAAGACGAGAAAAAAAGATGATGAGGGCGGCGTAGCAATATCCCACGAAAACATCAAGGAGCTGAAAAACGGGTGCATTAAAAAAGTGAAACTTTCACCGCAATCCGCATATACGGAGCTAAATACAAACTGAAAATCCGTCTCGCAAAAACAGTTTATTCAGGTTAACCCGCGCACCGACGGGGGTCTGCGCCAACTTCGCACCGACGGGGGGGGGGGGGCGGATGACCGCCCCCCTGAGATCTCGAAAACGAAGCAAGATAGCGACAAGCGGTAAACGGCATCGGATACGCACGGCCAAGATCTACAATTTTTACAAAGGTCATTTTCAGGTCAGGTCAAAGATGACGTCACAGGGGTCGAAAAAGTCAAAATGGCGGCGCCAATTTGGAGTTTTTCTCGAATAACTTTCGAATTAGTCAAGATAGGAACAAACTAAGGGCATCATCGTGATCCTCTCGTCAATCCGCATCGAATGATATATATGTTGACCTCGAAAGGTCAAGGTCAAAGGTTGACCTCAGGTCACGTGACCTCGAGGTCATCATGTATATCATTCGATGCGTCTTGACGAGCTGAACACAATGAGACCATCCACGCGTCTGTATCTTGTTCCTGTACGGAGTTATTGGCCAAAAACCTTTGGTGACCTTTGATGACGTCACATGACCTCACAGCTGCCCAACAGCAAAACAGACCTCAAGGTAGTGAAGGTTGATCGTATATGAAGTCATGTATGGTATATGGGGCCATTCCGACCCGTTTTAGTGGTAAAAACAGGGAGTTGATTTTTCCCCCATTGACTTATAATGGGGAGGTCGCGAAATTGACCTGACCTTAGGTCACCGATATCAAAATTCCGAGATATACAAATTGTAGCTACTAATGACCTTATAATATCCTGCGACTTTCAAAGGCCTCCGACATCTACTGTAGCTCTGGCACGGTGACAAAGTTGCAAAAAAGTGACTTGAGGTTGGGTCATTCAAAGTGACCTGGTGACCTGACCTTAAAAGGTAGGAGGTTCAAACTTGCACACCATGTGTAAAATTGATGAGGTTATAGTCATACCAAATTTCGCGGCGCTTCCCGCTATTCGCGAAAAACCTCAGGGGGGGGGGGGGGCGGATATCCGCCCCCCCGTCGGTGCGCGGGTTAAATATGTATAAAGTCGGGTTTCGTGAACTCCGCTGTTTCTTACCTGCTAGAGGATCACTGGCTGGAACATCCTGAAACAAACCAGAGGAGCATTAACTGAGAGGAACACGCAGCCGCAGTCAATCCGAAATGATACAATGGTCTCACATCAATTGTGTTAGGCACTTCAGAGCTTTCATTAAACGTTTCGCATTTTGGCTAAACAATGAGTTCAAACACGTACATTTACAAGCAGCCACGTATTGAAATGAAACGGTGAAATACCCATCGCAGTCAAGCTGTATGTGAAACATCTTGCTGACGCTCGTGAAAAATAACATCGACTTCGATATTCCGCATTGAAGTTTGCTTGTTTCATGATTAAAGTGACCATCCCACCTTAACATTAGTTTTGAGTTGAGATAGTAAACATACCACCGGTATTCTGTTACGCTTCACCGAATTATCTGTTTCCTTACAACGGCATTGGTTTCTCTCTTCACCGATACCGATTCCCGTCCACTGATATCGGTTCCCTCCACCGATATGGATTCCTTCAACCTATCACTTCCTCTCTTCACCGATACCGATTCCCCTCCACATAATTGATTCTCCCTCCACCGATACCGGTTCCCCCTCTCCGATATCAGCTCCCCTTTTACAGATATCAGTGACTCCCCTCCAACGAGCCTGGTACCACGACCCCTGACGACTCACCTCATCCAGATCCACATCCTCTCCGTCCGACCCGGCCATCTCCTGTTTGACGTCCACCAGCTCTCCGGCCAGCGGATAGAGCTCGTCCTCGGGGTCCGACGGGCCGTCCTCCTCTGCCGTCGGATCGTCCTCATCGGCCCCCGGGTCGTCCTCATCCTCACAGTCCTCATGGACATCACCGTTCTCCGAGCCGATACGGAACGGAGTCGTCGCGCCGGCTGCGATACTCGCCACGTTCACCTCAACGTAATCAGACTCGTTTTCCGAGTCGTTTCCGTTTCTCAGATCGTCATCACCGTGGACGTCGTCTACGTCCTCACGCTCACTGTCTATCACCTCGGATTTCACTATACGCCGCCGTCGCTTCGAGAGGGGTTCGTCATCATCGTCGTCGTCAGCCGCAGTCGATGACGGCACAGAGGTGGGGATGATAGAGTTCGGTCCCGACGTGAATAGCGGATCGGTAGCGGTCGTCGTAGCCACGACAAAGCTGGAGACGGGAGCGAGCACAATGGTGGACGACGAGACGGCGGACGAGACGGCAACCACCGACGACGAGACGGGGGTCCCGGAGGACGGCGCGGCCGGCTGCGGTGGAGAGCCCGCCGAGGCGGGGCTGGTCGTGTAGCGGAATGTGTTGACCAGCTCGCCCTGGATGGTGGCGGCCTTCTGCTCTAGCTGGCGCCGGTCGCGCTCATACTTGTCCAGCAGCTCCAGCTGGGCGTAGCAGTGGGCGCACATCCAGCGGGAGCGCGTGAGGGCGGACTCCTGCGGGCGTCGGGAGCGTGTTGTTAAAGAGGTGACACGGTTAGGACACGTAGCCATCTCCTAAAAACAGCACCGCTGGATGGTGCTGTCAGAAACATCGACGTCACATCACCGATAGCCGTCCAATCGGAAAATCGTGCATGATTATTATATCTAAGAGAAGCAATTCAAACAAAAGTGACAAGGCTACTTTTTAAGGATCTACAGGGTGATCCAAAAAAATTGGAACCCCTAACTTAAAATGTCTCTAAGTCAGGAAATTTTCACTTGATTGATAAATTTCAAACACCATTAGAAAGAGCGTTCAATCCTCTATAAAACCAAGTTGATTGTACTTACTTATTATTATAAATACTGCCCTAGACATATGCCTATAAAATTTGTGTCACGAAACTCAGTGAAACGGTTTTGAACATTATGCGCAAATCAGTGATTGGCGGTTTGCTGTTCTGACCATGTCGCTTGTTGGAGGTTCATCAATAAAAATAGTTCATTCACGTGCTATTGTAAGGAAAGGAAAGGCTGACAGCCTGCTGGGACCAGTTGTCCCAGAGACTGCTGGCCCGCGCAGTCGGAGCTGTCCCCAAGCAACTGCAGGCCTGCGGGACGGCCCCCGGAGCTCGCGTTGAGCACATGCTGTGATGAACAGCGGAAGTTAGGACGCGTGTATCTGTTCAACTGTGTGCTTCTGTGTTAACTTTTATGAAATAAAACTGAATTTGGAAGTGGTGTTATTCGCAAAAAGACAACAGATAGAGTGAGCACGGATTTCAGCGCATTGTTAAATTGGACGATTTCGTTTCACTCAGTTTTCTGACGCTCATTCCAAAAGCTAATAGTGTGCCAATGCTTTACAACAAACATGCACCAATTTGACGTGATTTTATAGAGAATTTAATGCTCTTTCTAATGGAGTTCGCAATTTGTCAATAAAAGGAATACTTTCGGACTTATAGACATTTTAAGTTAGGGGTTCCAAATTTTTTGGATCACCCTGTATGTAGAAAATCGATGAAATTTACCTGAGCAGGTAAGTGTTCAAAAGACAGCTTGAAATTTAAGACATCGGATATCAGCTACCAAACATCCTGAATTCCGTTTTCTTTCCTAGTGAAATGTCAATTGAGAGCTACAGTGAATAATTACCTTAGTGTTGAGGACTTCGACGAGTACATCAATGGCCTGTCTCTGCGTGAAGGAGAGCTGCTGCTTGAACACAGCTATGTTGCCGGGCACCGACTTCTTCAGAGCAGAACAGCAGAGCAGGCAGGTGCTATCCGGCGGCATCTTGGGCGTGGCTGGCAGCATGTCCGAGCTCTTGGGAGTGATCCCCGTCCTAAACACCATCACATCTCACTCTGCAATAATGCAACAGATAGTGGTAACAGCTGGGAATGACACAGAATCCATATACAAACACTGAACAAGCCTTTCATTCCACAATACAAACAATCTGAACTCGGACCTGAGCGTTATTCGGTCGCCGTTTTTTATCAGCATGCTCCCAATTTTCTCATATAAGGAAGTTCATTGCTGGTATATCCTGACTTTTCATTGGTCAACTGCACAAACCACATTAACCTGACGAATGAGAGGCAAAGAAAAATTAGCAGGCTGCAGCAGGTTCAGCACTGAACAAACTTCTTTGACACTATTTAGGGGAACGAGTAAGCTTTGAGGCAAGCCTTGAGTATCATAGAAAGACAATGAGAAGCGATTTAGTATAAGTTCATGTAGGTTGAGAAATGTTCATATTCATATGTAGTTATTTTGAATAGGCAGGCATCTACATCAAACAGTGCACCAAAAATGGACTTAACCTTCCAGGCGGTGGGGGGGGGGCATTTTTTTGCCTCCCTTTAGTTTTTTCGATGTATCTTGAGAACCGCTGCGCCGATCGTCACCAAACTTTCAGTACCCTCCCGGGAGCAGCTAGCGCACATGGTGACCAATTTTTTTTCCAAAGGCTATGATAGGTTGGCCGCTAATCACGTCAGAGTGATGTCAGTTTTGCCATTTTCGATCCAAAAAAAGGTTTCGCGGGAAGAGCTGTCAGGGCTACAGCTTTAGAGATACAGAAAAATGCTTTAGACATAAAAGGTGTGGAATCGAAAGGGCTACAAAACTGCTATTTCGGTTTTTCGAATTATTTGGATTTTGACCCCTAAAAATCAAAAAATAGATTTTTTGAATATAATAGCCAAAAATCCAAAAAGTTTTTTGAATTTCGAAAAAAACGGAATATATGTGATAGTCCCTACTAGAGATGTCAATCGGATACCAACTTGTTGGTATACCGATACCAAACCGATACCAACTTGGCACTGGTATTTCAATCGTAATGTGTTTGGTATTTTGTTGGTATCATGAACCCTCACTAACGTATAAGAGGCTAAGAAATCGGTAAAAAGTTGGTATTTCCCTCATTTTCCCAAGTTGGTTTGGTTTCGGTATTTCCCCACGGTTTCGGTGGGCATTTGGTTTGGTATCGGTATTCCGATTTTCCGTAATTGAAACCACTAGTCCCTACCGCCTTCTATCCACATACCAAATTTGAGATCGATACCTCTTTTTTTGGCCAAGTTATAGCGAAAAAACTGTTCAAAATTGATTACGTCAAATTTTCAAACTCAATTTTTAGCAATTCTAGACCTCGTAGCGCAAAACAAAGACCACCATTAGACTCCCCGTGACGAGCTGCATCGAATCGATACCCATTTTATGCAAAAATATCAACTTTGAAATTTGACCTTTTTGACCTGACCTTGACCTGACCTCCACCAGAAAGTGACCTAAACCGTACCTGATGGTCTTATAACCAACACCATTGAGTTGAAAATGAAAAACTGGCCATAAAACATGCATCACATAACCTTAGTAAAGTTGGGCTCATGTGGTGACCCTTGGTGATCTGTGGTGACCTGACCTGTGACCTGACCTGGTATGACCAGTGACCTCTAATAGCAACATATGTACTAGACAACTGACGCCTTATCGCTGATTTTCGACAAAATGCGTTTTACTCGGTGTTATAGCGCTTTCCCTAGAAGCCCCGTGAACGGTGAAACATTTTATCTTTGACCTGACCTGTGACGTCATCGGTGACCCCGAGGTCAATGAAATTTGGTTTCCCTCAACAAATTTGACAGGGCTATCGAACGCCGTTTGAATTTTCCGGATCTGTCCAGTAGTTTCGGAGATACGGGGGGGGGGGGGGCAAAAAAATGTCCCCCCCCCCCCACCGCGCGGAAGGTGGCTGGTAGGCCCTCCGCCTGCCGGGTTAAAGCTTGCTAGTAAAAGCATAAAGGTAGCAATGGTAAGGTTATAAGATGAAAATCTATTACCAAAAACACAGAACATAACATAGCAAAATAGCCTTACCTAACCATTATAAAGTGCATCATAGGACATCACTAATATGCCAACAGTTAAGCTGACTTAATAGAAACTGAAACATCAAAGCTGTCTAGGGCTAGTCTGATTGTGCATTACCAAAAATGGTGTGGTAGGTTAATTGTTGTGTGACTTCTATTTTTGGCACTTAATGTAAAATGTAGGTACATAATTGCTAATAAATAGGACGTGGTGAAATATTTGATCCATTTGGTATCATCTGAGATAAGGTCCAATAACAACAGCAGCCTCAGCTACTGCACTATACGATGTTTTATGATCAGCTGATTCTAATTTTGATGCTGGTGTATGCTCCACAATGATCATATGAAAATACAGTGAAATTATGGAAATTGACTAAGGTATCTGACACCTTCAGCCAGGTGGTATGCGTAGGGCTGGTCTTAGCCCCTAGGTTAGGTTGGGTTAGCTTAGGTTAAGTTAGGTAAGTTAGCTGTGTTCTCAGTTTTAAATTGAATGGCATGCTATATAATGCCGCCTGCGGAACTCCGTCAAGGCTCAGCTGGCTCAGGCGCGCAGGGAGTTCCTGGGGCGCCAGCTGCTGGCCTCTGACCGCAAGGAGTTCTGGTCCAGCCTCAGGAGGTTCTACCTGGCGCCCTCCGCTTCAGCACACTCGACTTCAGACAAGAGTGCAGCCGAGCAGCGGGCCCGCGCTGACCGATTCAACGAGTTCTTCGCGTCGGTGGGCTCTCGCATCGCGGCCGACTTGAATGATGACGTCACTGCGGGCCTAGCCCCGCGGCCGCCTATAGTAGTCTCAGCGGCGTTCCGGCTCCAGCCTGCGACCCTACCGGAGCTGGCGCGAGCTGTGAGGCGGATGAACTCGTCTGGGGCGGTGGGGCTGGACGGGGTGCCACTCGGTGCGGTGAAGCGCTGTTTTGATGTGATTGGCCCCCACCTGCTGCGACTTGTGAATGTGTCCCTAACCAAAGGTGTTTTCCCTGAGGCGTGGAAAACTGCCGAGGTGGTGCCGATCCTTAAGCCACGCGGTGATGTACACGAACCATCTAGCCACAGACCGATATCACTTTTATCTCACTTGTCAAAAGTTGTTGAAAAGGTTGTGTGTGACCAACTGTCGCGGTACCTATCGGACCACAACATTTTATTTTACAACCAGTACGCCTACCGATCATGTCACAGCACGGAGGACGCCGTGCTCGACGCTGTCGAATGGATCAGCCAGAACTCAGAGCGGGGAGAGGTCTCCTCAGTCACGGCAGCTGACCTCAGCAAGGCCTTCGACAGCGTCGACCACGGCGTCCTCCTGCGCAAGCTGGAGTGGTACGGGATCGACCCGACCTGGTTTGGTAGTTATCTTGGCGGCCGGGGGCAGCTGGTCAGGGGCGGCAGAACAGTCCTGCCGGTCCCCTGCGGGGTTCCGCAGGGATCCATAGCCGGGCCGATCCTCTTCAGCCTGCTAACGAACGACCTGCACTGCCATCTACCGGACTGTCGGGTGATCGCATATGCTGACGATGCCCAGCTGCTCGATCACTCGCGTCCTGACCCTCAAAATTTAGCATCACTAAAACAACGTGTCGAAAACTCCTTGGATGTCATGAAACACTGGTTTAGCTCAAATTCTCTTAAAATGAACCCTCAAAAGACCGACTTCATTCTCATCGGAACCCGTCAGACTCTCAGCAAGATCGAAAACTTTCATATCTGCATAGCTGAGTCAGTCTTAAAACCGTCACCAACCATCAAATTGTTGGGGGTGACTGTCGACTCGTGTTTGGCCTGGGACGCCAACATCAGTCACATCGTCAGGAGGTGCAATGCCCTCCTCATATTCCTCTCCAAGTTCCGCCACCATTTTGACCAGGAAACGCTAAAGTTACTCATTGAGACCCACGTGTTCCCTCACATTCTGTACTGCATTTCGGTGTGGGGCGGAACCACAAAAAATCAACTCACTCGGATCCAAAAACTCATCAACTTCAGTGCTCGGATCGTGACAGGCGTGCGGCGTCGGGAGAGGATCGGGCCGGCTCTGGCATCCCTGGGCTGGCCCAGAGTGGAGCGGCTGGTGTGGGAGAGGGACCTACTGAAGGTGTGGAAGGCGCTCCACATACCAGCTTACCCTCTCTCCATCCGCCGCATGTTTGTGTCCCGCTCTGTCTGGCCGGGTCACACGCTCTGTAGAAGCTGGCGCCCTGGAGCTGCAGAAGTGTAGGCTCTCTTCCACACAGAGAACGTTTAGTTACCGCGCTGCTGCCGCGTGGAACCGGCTGCCGCCGGCCGTCAGGGAGCAGCCCACGCTGACCGCGTTTCGCCGCGCAGTGGCGGCCAGCGAAGCCTGAGGTCTTGGGGTGCTGTGTTTTATTCCGGTTTTAGTGCAATTAGTTGTCTTATTTTATCTGCCAGTGCCTATTGCCTTCTTGCATTTTACTGTATTGTGCATGACGCTGAATCCTGAAAAACCATGTTATATGGATGGATTTTAGATCAATACATACATACAATGCAAGTGACAATAGCTGTTGCAAGAGCTGTTGTAGTCAAATAAGGCTAAGTTAGGGTAGCTATGCATTGCCAATCATATCTGCTGCACTAGTTATTATTTTTAGGTTCAGAACAAGACATCATTAAAATCACTTTGTACCTTATCTTTATTAAGCCTTATTTCTTCCTTCTGTTAAAAAGTTATATCGATTCTCTTCTCTATATCATTCAATAAAAAAACTCAAACACAGCTTGGAGCATCCAATTTAGCAGTATACTTCACCAAAAACATGGTAATTGCTTTATCAAACAACTTTCCAAATCCAACATTAAGGTTAAGCATGAATCATAACTTCATGGCTGAGCTGACATGACAGCTAAGAAAAAGTCAATCATTCCATCAACCCATCACAACATCTGAGTGACCTAGTGGAAAAGGCACCCATTACCTAGCCTGAAAGCAGCAGGTTATGTTAGAGGCCAGGGTCATTAATTTCAACATTACCCTAAGCCTCATGACACCTTCACAACAGTTATCTTCAGGCCATGAACTTTGCTTGTGTGTTTTTTTTTTTATTACATGCAGTGACAAATCAGTAGGTGGAACTATGGTCATGAGTACCCAAATATAGGAACGTTCCCATTTTTGGGAACGGAGTTCCCAAATATGGGAACGGGCGTTCCCATTTACGGGAACGGAAGGTAATTTTTCGGCCGTTCGCCCACTAAAACTCATTAGTGCATCACGTCTCAAAAAAGTGCACGCTAATTTAAGTATCTACTAAATCTCTATAAAATTACCTTTAATCTGACCGTTGAACAAGGAAATTGACCGTCGAATGATATTTTTAATGATTTTTTTGAAATGACGGAATGGTGAAAACATGGGTTATACTACATTTAACATGCAATTTAAAGGAAAATGAAGCGTTTTTTACATTTTGAGGTCAAGTATAATAATTTTCGCCTGGTTATGAAGTTTCATACTAGCGACACCAGATGCTGACATATGCAAGCGAACACGCGGACAGTCCCGAGGTAATATTGTTGACTTTTGGTCTCGGGGCGCACGACCGCGTGGAACGTCAGTGATTTTACCGAACTACTGTTGTAAACTCAGTTTCAGTGGTTTAAAATTATTCAGCTGTATTTTATCAGCCCGGAAAGACATATTTTATTTGGATGCTAGCTGTTTAGCATTGTTTTATAAGGAGCGTCATGAGCGTGGTTTTTGTCTTCCGTGTTTCTAAGCATGATCGTTTTGGGGGAATTTCTCTTATATAGGTCGCTCTGTGTGGCTTATTTATAATTTTTATGCTGATTTCGATCATTCCTCGTGCCCATCCTACCAGGCCTTTTGCCACTTACACTCATTAAGAAAGGAAAAAACTAGATTTTCCATGGGACTAGGTGTTTTGAGGGTGTAACATATTCAGCGTTCCCATTTTTGGATACTTCCTTGTGCTCGTCAACTATCGGTGATAAACAGACAGGTGCTTGACATGTCTCCACCCTCGGCGCGGACGGTGGATATAGGTATGGAAGACCTTGTTAAACATCGCTGAGCGTTGTGAATTACGTAATCCTGCAGAGGGGGGCGTGCCCGCTGCGAGATCGACGGGAATAAAAGCGCAGAAGACCGGGCGAAACATGCGACGGTCTTGCCGGAAAGGTCATCTGATGATTGTTGCTTAACAATGATTTGCGGCGTTGGACATGATGCTTGTTAATGAAAAGAGCTCCTGAAAGGCGTCGGTGAAATCGTTCCCAATTTTGGGTACGCCGTTCCCATAATAAGGAACGCTTGCAGCGCCAGTGTACGAGAGCGTTCCCAAATTTGGGTTCGCGGCCCGGATGATGGACTGCTTTAGAAATAGGGGAACGATTTGAAACTACGATGGGCCTTACAATATCAAACTCTTTCCCAACAATATTGAGACAAATATCAGGCGGTTCACGATCGTTTTATATTTTTTGGACATCATTTAACGGTTCTTTTTCTTGTTTTAAATAATTGCTACATGGCGTTCCCATATTTGGGTTTATCGTTCCCAAACATGGGAACGAAAATGCGTTCCCGAAAATGGGTACGCTTGACCATAGTTCCGCCTACTGAAATCAAATGCTAAATACCAGACATTTCTGAAAATAACAAGCCATATCAACACGTTTTCATCAGTGGACAAGGCATGTGGCTGGCTTATCTTAATAGCCACTGCATGGTCATTACATACCCACTATGGTGATTTGATACAATAAATCTTATTTATTCTCACTAGCGTGGTTCAGCCCCCTCCCTGCTTTTGCTAGGTCTTCGTCTGATACAAAATATAATATTGTGAATGTGATTTGTAACATCAGGGCCCTGTTCACCGTCCCCATGCTGCATGCGCCGGGAGCTATGGCATACCAAAAACCACATCACTTTGATGCTGCGTGAGCGTGGCAGCGTGCAATCCGTTAGCTTATCATAAATCACATCTGGAAGAGGTCCAGAAGAACTAAGTACCAAAAGAACAGAGGAACAGAGGTGAGTGCGAATACTGCTAGCATGCTACTGGTGCGGGCGCTGCGGCGCTTATGTTTGCAATGAATAATAATATCATGCTTAGTGTCAGAGTGAAGTTTGTTGACATTGCCATGGAAACCCAACGTGCCAACGCGCTGTAGCAGCTAGCGCCCTGCCGTGAAACACTGCCTGGGGCTCGGATGAGTAAAACAAACAAAAAAACAGCCAAACAGAACGACTTGATGCTGAAGCTCTTTGCTCTTCGAAGGCGGTTTATTACCTGAAAAGCTGCTCTGCTCCCAGACAGTAGATCTTTTAATTTTTATACGTCTCACTGAATTGATCAGACACTACATCAACCTGCAAACAACAAACACACAACTGCAAAAACTTATTCCAGAATATCCCTAATTTGCATCCGTGGCAGCGTCTCCGACGGCTCCGACGTATCTCCAACAATTTGCGAAATAAGCAGACGAAATAAGTCAACAGCTATCAAGTTTTGATGACGTAATTGATTCGCAACTATATTGAATACAAAATTGGCTATCTTAATCAAAACTAGCCTTTTACAACATCAAAACTCAAAATCATGAAATCGAGAAAATCTTGAGACTTTGAATAACGACAAAAATAATTATTTTTTTTTATTATTAGTCCCCTGGAATCTATGCGTGGATTAGTCCTTCACTGTGACGTCATTAAACTTTACCTTCTCATTTTGAGATTTGGGCGGTTTGGGTGTTTGTGTTTGGGCTCTCTCTATCGCCTGGATAAAAATAGGCCCCGCCCATCCCAATCAGCTGCTGCATGACGAGTTGATGACGACAACCACTACTTACCAGCAACCAATCTAGGGATAGCGTACGTGACAGTAATGGTGCAGCGGTTGCAAAATATTACATTGTTATTCAAACGGTGTTTGCTTTTAGGGCCTTGTTAGATGAGGATGAGGTTAGATTAGATGAGGTGTTGATGAAAGCAGGTATTTTTTTAAAATATTTTTTTTTGACAATTTTTTGCCCTTGTTTTACTTAATAGCTGAACCCGGGACCACCTGAAGTCTAAACCTTATTTTATATAACATGTCAATGCTGATGCTGTCTTGAAATGTGAAATTTAGACAATGGTAATAGGAATAATGAATAGCAATTTCACCAACAACATTTTAATCTCTAGGAAGTGCAATTAAAATTAAAATCACTGTCTGCCACACTGCTCCATCCTGGTCATGCAACCAACGTTCATGGGTGGTGTTTCACAGCAGAGCACGCACTGCAGTGCTCAGCACTGCAGTGCACTGCAGTGCGCTGCGTGTGTCAGAGCATTGGGTTTCCATGGCAGTGTCAACAAACTTCACTGTGACGCTAAGCTATGACAGCATCCCAGAACGCTAGCACGCTGCGGTACCAGCACCAGCAGCATGCTAGCAGTATTTGAACTCAAACCTCTGTTCTTGGTACGGTTTTTCAGAACCTCTCACTCTGTTCCAAACGCGATTGATCATAAACTAAGAGATCACATGCAACGTCATTTGAGTGATGCTATGGTATGCCGTAGCTACCAGTGCACACAGTGTCTGGATGGTGCCGTGAAACAGGGCCATTATTAATCACATTTGCTTTGCTTTGTTTCAGCAGAAACCTGTCTGCACATGGGAGGAGCGCAACAAAAGCCCATCAAGTTCATGCATGGCAGTGGATCTCAACAGGAGAAAACCAGAAAGAACATGGATGCTTGTAGATTGCAGTTGTACACTGCTGTTATCACCTGATGTGCGTGGCTGGCATTGCTCCTGGCAAGAACCACCTGCAAGTGATGAGATGGTGCCTCAGTCGTTGAGTGTGCTGCAGTGTGAGAGGCGCCCTGATCTCTACTTTGTGATGGGTTTCCATTGGAGGTTCAACTGAGAAGTGAGAACTGACTGTGACCATGCTTGAGCATGCCAGTGGAGCTTTACATGCTTAGGGCAGCTTTTGAACAGATGCTGACCATGGCATGTCCCATCCAGTTATCACGTGCACAGAATGGTGGGGGGAGGGCAACTCTGGGCTCTTGAGTCAGCCCTACTGCACAGGGGGTACAGATGACAGCTTACGTTTGGTGTGTCCTGCACTGCATTATCAAGCCCAGTCTGCGCCACAGGCAATGGGTCGGGCTGCACTAATTTAAAGGCAGACTATCTTGCAAAGGAGGCTGGCATCCTCTCCCATAATGACACACCAATTGGCAATCATCGCTGCGATGATCACGAGGGTGTCTGCTTATCTAACATGGTGAGGTGGAGAGCCAGTTCAAGCTGGCCTGAGGGATGGTTTTACTTCATCTGAGGCCCCCTTTCCCCGCCTGCCAGGTCCGGTCAAACGACCGTTTCACAGTGAACGACTTGCAGTGGATGCCGTCCCACAGCGCAACGAGCGCGCCGACCAGAGGCGGCGGCCAAGAGGCGGCCGCGCTCCCCCAGTCGACGGTCCCGGTGGACGTCGGCAACGCCCACCGCGCGACCATCAGATCGGCTCGCGACAGCGCCGTCGCCGACTGACCGCATGACTGGTATCTGTTCTTGATGTGGGACCGACTGCCACCGCCGGTCGCGGAAGGGCATCGCTCATCGGCCATCGACGTCCGCCAGCTTCGCGTGGGTCACTGTTCGGGCTGCCACCAATACACCGAATCGGATGGAACCCTGTCGGCGAATGCCGGCGGTGCCCCGACATCGACTGCGCGGCGGCCAGTGCATCGCGTGCCGGGAGGAGGCTGGCACCCCCGATCGGTCATTGGTCACAAACCGTGTCCCAGCTCATGACTGCATCCAGCGCAGCTCTGTGAGATGTTCTGCAGCTGCTGCAGTCTGCCGCGTGTGTTGAAAGAAGAATGAACATGAGAAAACCTCAAAACTTTATGCCTATTCGTAATTGACCAGTATTGGAATAAGTTTGGATTTTGAGAATTTGTGTCCCTGTGCTTGTGCCTGTGTGGAAAGGCATGCTTTACGGTGTACCATCTCAATGTCAAATCCCGGCTGCGCTGTGCGGATTTGTGCGGCTGCTGACAGGCCACCTGGGTGCCAACGTATGTGCGAATCCGCGAATACGTTGTGTTTCGTCAGTCAGTATCGTTCTGAAAATATTGACTGCAATAGGCTATATAGCGTATGACGGTTCAGCCCAGCAGTAATAACTGACCATTGATTGGGCGAATTTTGTGTGGTGGTTCGCTAATACATAACCTAAAGAGTGTTTTGCCGGAATCGTTTAGTAGCAGAACTGACCGGAATATAAGTAGAATGCAACGGTTTGAATCGTTAATTTGTTGAAACGATTGTTCTCTGAGACCACTGTGTAACTTTTGACCTGAGAATCACCAATTATAACGACAATGGGGAAGCAGTAGGCTGTACTGTAGAGTGTAGGCAACACTATATAGTTGGCACACTTACGGAAGCACACGACTTACGCAGTGAACATCTGCATCATGCATGTTAAGGTTTACTGGGAAGAGTGAGAAATTAGTCAGAATATAACTGACTAAGGAAAATAGGCGATATTTCCTATTGAGCTGGGGCGGAGAGGGGGAGGGGACGTGTGGTCAGCTATGCCAATAATTCATTCTCTTTATGCAGCTGTGTAAAAGGGCGTCCGTTTTTGGGTTAGACCTTCCCCATCGGCCATTTCCAAGTTAAATCGTGGTGGAGAGTCTGGAGACCTCAGCCTCGGTAGTCGGTACCCTGCGCGCTGCGCCACCTTGCGAAACATAAAGCAGCAGTCCTGACATCTACAGGCGTGACTTTTCATGAAAGCGCGGATGTGTTCGCGCTTATGCGAAGAAAATTCTTCCGAGTATGGTTGATAATGAGATTAATTGTTGTCATTTATTTATTAATTCATTGGCAAAAGTACCCTAATAAATCGGTAAAATAGCTTGAACTGTATCGTATTTCCTTGGGAAAAAATGACGAACTCATCCTAAGACATCCAGATTATTGGATGCGTTCGTCAGTTGTAAGTAGTTCAAGTTTTTGGGAAAATTTGCTTGTGGAAAATCATAATATTTCAAAGATATGCCTATTTTCGAATAAATTATGTATTTATCTGCATTGAAAAATGATTGTAAAGCAAAAGTGCAAAAGATTATTGTCAACTTATTTTCTCAAATCACGATTTACGAACGCACAAAACTCCAGCTTTTAATTTAGTGCGTGTGCGAATTGCGGTCAAGAAAAAATATTTAAACTGTCTATATTCCTCTAAAAACAATGAAGGATGAATGAGGAAAACGCTGTTTTGAACAATTGTATATTTATTTTTTCTTAATTAAGCAAAAGTACAAAATTTTCAACTATTATTACATTTGCTCTCACAAAACCCATCACTTTTTAGCATGACGTCATGTCAGCCAAATTTACTAGCGCCATCTCTGGAGAGCATCTTTCGAAACCTCCAGACGATAGAGAGAGCCTGTGTTTGGGCCCAGTTGAATTGTTGTAAGACTTTTATGCTTATGGGGAAAAGTAGAAATGGTAAAGAGGAATTGATGCAAATTCTGCTGGGGTAGGTAGGCTCGTTTTTGTATTTCATACTCAATAGTCAATAGTGATGTAACAACGCTTTGGCTTTTGGCTTTGATATGCGGAGCAGTGGTAGACAAGGTTGAGGTTGTGGTGAAGTTTAATGGTTTTATTTTCTGACTCAGACCAAGGCAGTACCTATAGCTCAGACCGAAAAGGTTGAACTTGACTTGAGGTGATTTGAACCTTTTTGCATTAGTTGAGACTTTAGAGGCCAAGTAGGTTCTCACTTGGAACTCTCCCCACATAAGGCAACAAGCCGCGTTCGCATGAGTGAAGTATCCGAACAGTGTGAGTGGTTATGGAGTTGTAGATTGAGGTCAGACTGTATTTCAATATTGAGTGTGTTGTCAAACTCTTGTTACTGTGTTTGCCTCAGCTCTATTCTAGTGAGCTCCACATGAAGATCTCAGCATGCCCTATGATGAGCTGGACTCCCCTGCAGCCGAAAAAGAACAGCAGAACAGGCTGGACCTCATCCACCCTCAAATACATGTAAGTATGCAACAATTATTATGTAATCTGAGCTGCATGAATCAATCAGCAAAAGTCAGTAAGGTACTTCAGTAATCAGTATTTTATGAAAGCTGACACAATGTGTCAGCTTCTAATTGTCTAAGGCAATACACATAATTTGCAATATCTTTTTATTATAATATGATAAATTGTTCTGATTCTGTTTCACTTTTTCAGCTATCTAGGATTCCCTCATTCTGTTCTTTTGTCTTCAGGTGGAACTGGAACAACTGAACTGTGCAACAGACTCCATCAACAAATTGGAGTTAGAATTAGATGTGAGTCATGCCACTGAGATAGTTGACGTTGACATTAGTTTGGCCAAACAGGGATATACTGAACACTGAACAGTTATCTTGCATTTAACTCTCAGCATGGGTATCTTATACTGCATTTCAGAAAGCACCATATTATTGTGTTTTGGCATTTGCAAGTTTTCTGATGATCTTGTCCAGCCAGTGTGCCTATCATTGATGCTATCATTCATGATACTTTTGCATATTGCTGCTGTTTACTTATCAATTATCTCATTCTATACTGAATTCTTTTACAGGATGCCAGGGCTCAGTTCAGATCTCTTTTGATTGAGTCCACACAAAAGATTGATGCTCTTGCAAAAAAGCTTGGATCCTGTGTGGATAAGTCCAGACCATATTATGAGGCCAGGATTAAGGCTAAAGAGGTAAGCATATATGGGATCATCAAGTTCCCATTGATAGCATGTCAAACTATCCCACTAAACAAAGTCATCTTTTATGACCAACAAAAATAACCATTCACATCATTTATCACATTTAACCTGCATCAAGTAAATGCAAGTGGTCCAATCATAAAGCATCGTATTCACTTCAGCAGACACTCCACAGCAGAGTGGCTATTACGTGTCCATATGCAGAATATGTGGGGAAGGGCTGGGACAGGAGCGTTTTAGCACCTTTAACTCGTCTCCTGTGCTTTACCTGGCCCTATGCCAGTCGCCGGACCACCCCAGTGATCTCGGTGTCTCTTCGGCAGGCGCTGCAGCGGACCCAGGACGCTGCCGTGTTGTACGAGCGCGCCACCTCGCACCACCAGGCGGCCAAAGAGCTGGTGGCGCTCGCGGAGGAGGGACTTACCAGCCAGGGACACGCGTTCGACCAGTCCTGGCAGGAGATGCTCAACCACTCCACGGAGAAGGTGGGTGCCAACTGCCGCCGGTATTGGAGAAACGTGAACATTCAGATCGACGGGAAAATCGTTAGGAAATTGATTCGTGCAGCGACCGGCCGCTAAAGGTGGTTTTCTGACTATGTACGAGACTGTCAATCAATCAATTTTCCATTAAGATATGTCTGTTAACTTTATCAACAAAATGCTGGTACCCATTTATGCTACATCTTGCGAGGCAGTCCATGATTAGCATTCGCATGACACGATATCACCCGCACCTCAAATTCTGACATGACGCCCATGGTTTTGCGTGACTACCCCCCGCCTCTTTTTACATTGTTGACTCTTAGTGAGATGGTTCTCCCCGTCAGGTGAACCGTGCCGAGTACGATCGAACAGAGAGTGCCAAAAACCACGAGCTCTGCTCCCGGGAGTATCAGCGCATTGACGGCCGCGTCAAGCAGCTTCAGAAGGAGCTTAAACGGGAGATTGCCCGCTCACGGTGGGTGGGACGGTCCGACACTGGACTCGCCTTGCTCTAACAGGCTCCTGCACTTCGGTACAGCTGCTTTGTTCGGTACAGTTTGGTTGTCACACAGACGATGCCAGGCAAATTGGTCGTGTTTTATATATTTGGATACGTTGCGAAAACAGTCGCAGTGCACTTTTTATTTTTGTTCACAGTTATATAGGCGTCTGCTTTGTGACCCACTGCTTTTGTAGTATCATTTATCACAAACATTAATTTTTGTCCGGATATCTGGTGCTTCCTTACATTGTGTGTCGTTAGAGCGTATGTCATGGTCAGCACCGGCCAGTGGTCGTTCAGTCTCGCTCAGTTTCTCTGAATGGGAGACTCACCACCAAAGTCCCAGCACCGGCTGGGGCTGGCCACTGGGGTAGTCGCAGCATGTCGCCGGCCGTCCTCTGCATGTGTGATAGAGCGGCGTTTTCGTTTCGTTTCCGGCCGGCTCGTACGCGCACGTGGAGCAGCATGGGCGTGCGGCGCAGCCTGCTTTCCATCAACACAGTTGTCAACGCGTTCAACCTGCAGATGCTGTAAGTAGAGCACCCCGGCTGCCTGCTGTACTCGCCCCGATAGCACTCTGTTGGGTCGCATGGTAGAAAGTAGAACATAGTCGTGGTCGCTAGTTAGTCACGCTTTGCTATGCATCGTTCTGTTCAGTAGGGCTTATTTGTAACAGATGCAAAAATATCGGTGTCTCTGTAATGTTAAGACTGATGCATTTCATGTTCGTGAAACCCTCATCATGAACTCTGCTGCTCGATCTTGAAAACGAACAGAATGGTACGTGAGGAACTTTGTGCCGACTTGTCTTTTCTAAATTCCTGTATAAGTGTTCTTATAGTTAGCTCACTGCTACATTTCGAGTAAATCGAATTGTGACACGGTCTGTGGTCAGTGTATTTATTATGTTTTGCCACTGTCAGTCCGGTAACAAACCATGCGCCCGTTCTCCAGGCCGTACTTTGAGATGAAGGCGCACTTCAACCAGCTGATGGAGATGCAGAAGCGTCAGGTCAGCGAGCTGGAGTCAGAGGTGCAGGCGTCCAAGCTGACCTACTCGCAGACGCTGCGGAGACTGGAGGAGATCAGCAACCAGATTCACCAGGTGAGGGGTCCGCTCAGCGGACGGAAAACGCACCTCGCCGAAATAGATACCGGTGAGTAACTGCATGGGGTTTAATTATTGATGCGTTGATAGGCGTTATTAATGTAATGTTAGTGTGATTTTATATGATGACCGTGGATTGCAGCTATCTGGAGCAGTGTATCATCCGGAATGGATTGCAGCATCTGGAGAAGCAGCTATGTATGGTATCTAACTGGTTCACTGCCTCGTTAGATAGTTACTATAGATACATGGCATACAGTATGGCATGGCATTAGATATATGTCATCCCTAAATCATAATCATCTCATCGTCATTACCATCCCAGCTGGTAGTGATTTCTCTTGCCGACCCCGATTGTTCGTTCTGACTCGCACCAACCTCTCGTGCTGATTCAGCCCATTTGTCCAGCCCACCCCCCGCCATTCTGAGACCCCGTGCCGTCCCTCCTTCCACAGGCTCGCGGCACGGAGGAGGCTGCCGCGGCTCTCCGCGCGGCCACCGGGGCTGCAGACGGCGCCCGCAGTCCCCCGGCTCTGGAGAACGGGGCGATCGGGCGACTGGGGCCGGCCGGCCGGTCCGGCATGTCCAGTAAGGAATACAGGGATTATGCAGTTTATCCGCATTTTCTGCGTGACTTCGCCCCCACTTACCTTGATTATTTGTGAAGGCGATTAAACGCAATGGTGCTGTGTGGTTGTAAGAAAAATAATGAGTAAATCCTCACTACCATATTCATTACCACTACCTTAGTGATTCTCTGTAATAGCGCGCACCATTAGAGTACGTAAAAAAACGTGTTCGCTCCATACGGCCGACCACCTCACGCGGCCGCAGTGTGTCCGCCGTCACGTGACCGTCCTGCCTCTGTTGTTCCAGCCTCCTCCACCCTGCCGTCTCTGCTTGGGGAGGACCCCCTCGGTCTGGATGACGAGTTCTACCCGCCTCCGTACCGTCTCAGCGGCTCCCGGTCACACCTTCAGGTGCGTGCAGTAGTGAGGCGTGTATGGTCGATAGCCGCTCAGAGGGGATGGGGAGATAAGGGTCTCAGGTTTTACGGGCTCGGGCAGAGTGTGGTTTCGCGAATCTGTCATGAATCAAACGTGAATTTTAAGTTTTTTACGTGTGACCTGTCAAAAGAAGCTTTTTACGTTTTTTTAATTGAATCGTGAAAAAGTATGTAATGCAGATGTTACTTTTTGGCTTAGTGAACTTTACCTGTGTCTTATCACTGCTTGGTATTTCAGGTTGTGTCTGTGATAATTGGTTTTGACTTGCTATGCTGCCTCACGTCTAGCCTGGTTTTGCAAAGTACCCATATTTTGCATTCTTTCACGTCCGTTACTAACCGCTGTCTGCCTTGCTCCGTTCAGCTGTACCGTAACGGCGACTCGGGACGGGAGCAGCGGCTGTCGGTGCCCCGGGATGACGACCGGTCAGACACTGAGAGCCTGGCCAGGTGGGTGAACTCCGCGTGAGACACGCGGTACTGATAGTCTAAACCTCCGCCAGGGGTGGTGGAGCGTAACGTAGTTAGTTGTCAGTGCAAGAGTGAGTGACGTGCCCAAAGGTGTATCTTTACATGTCCTTGGTTTATTGGTGAACGGTGTCTGATAACTAATGGCTTAGCAATGAAACGCATTGAGGGCGTTTTTAGGATAGAAAACACATCGTGATTGGAACTCACTTTCACGTCCTAGGGACGTAAATGGTGACGGTTCTCATGGGCCTCTACTAAAACCGCACTTTACCTTTGAGCGTTAGCCACTCTCGTGCCCTCTGTGAAATTGTCTAACCTGAACGTACAGGCAGCTGGGCCACCCTTTGACACCCTGTGTCCGTCCTGCCCCACAGTGTGTCCACGGTATCCAGCGTGGATCCACTTAGTGACCAGCAGATCGGATACATCGCCCTCGACGACGAACTGCAAGAAGTAGCCGCCGGCGCCACCTGCGTGGTCAACCACAACTTCTCACTCTCGCCACTAGATGGCCCTGGCCACGACAATATCGACCAGGCCGTGGCGCGGCTTTCGGCCGCGAGTTTAGGCGAGACTGATAGAACAGCCGAGGGGAGACCGGTAGGTGCGATGGTTAATGGGGAAGGAGAGCTTCGGGGAGGGACGTCGGCGGTGGGGGCGAGTGGGGGTCAACATGGCCCCCACCTCACCAATGGGAGCCTGGATGTGTCAGACGGGGCAGCGGCGGCGGAGGGAGCCGAGCTCCGAACACCCGTGGCGGAGACGCCGCCGGCCGCCCCCGGCCTGCAATAGGCGCATCTGGTCATGATAGTAATTGCTTCGGTGGGCTAGTCTCAATGTGTTTGTGATGTGAAATACGGATGGTTTGACGCAGGCTAGTCTCAAAGGTGTGGTGTTTATTGGTTGGACGGGTATTGGGAGCTTGGAAAGATGCAGCTTTGCTCGGATATGTGTATGGTTTTATGGGTTTGTTGCACCTGGTCACGATATTTTTGGTTGTGATGTTAACGCATGCAATGAAAGGGCCAAATCGTTTGTGCATATTTTCTGTCATCCTGGTGTTCAAGTTGACAGCCATGACACGCAATACGTTACGCGGGCCAGTACAGCCCGTGGTGCTGTTTTTATTCTCCCGTAGTGTGCGCTTGTGTCTGGGGAGCTGTAGGTTGGCAGATAGCCAGTCTGGCCCGCAATAGTTATTGGTGGCTGACTGGTAATCCATGACCCCGGTCGAACTTCCAAATGTGTGAAGGTGCGCGATGCTGCGTACCGGCGTTTTGTGATGATCCTCTGTTGGGATAGCGTAGTCTCTCCGGCGGGGTGTCTCGGCGTAGAGTCTCACCTGTCGTGAGATTCGTGTCACAGTGACTCGCAGTCCCTCCATGTTTAGAGATGTGAGGTATCCCAAGGTATCGTGATGATGCAGTCTCCGGATGTGTAGAAATGACGGCTTTAGGATGCTGAGCGATAATGCTGACTAGTCCCTGGCTATGCAGGCAAGCTTTGCGGTGCGGTTCGGCAGCTTTGTGATTTTCAGTCTTGACATGAAATGATCTATCGTTTTCCACGACGACAAAGGTATTTCAGGGCTAGTTACGTCGCATAATTTGATTCCCGCAGTGCTTGACAGCTTATTGGAAAGAACTACTTAGCGTGATCGTGAACAGTTTCCCGGTGTCAGTCACGCCAAATGTACAGCTACCGGCTGCAGCTCTCATGTGCTCTAGGACGCTACATCGTTATGACAGTCAATCCAATAGTTTGAAGGATTTTTGACTGATGTCACAGATGCATAATGCATAGCGCACTCCAGTTACAGACGGTGAAATATGCAGTATATTCTGTGTAATCAGAAGCCAAAGAACATCTTTCGATATGTTACGTTGAATCTGAAATAAATAGTACCCGATATGTGGCATATTTTTCTGAGAAACAAGAGTTGTTTCGAACAGTAGTTGTCTCAGTTTATAGCAAAATAACTCGCATGGGTAGATATAGATAACACGGATAGTTGTCGACGCAGTGTTTTATTTTCACGGCACCGCGGCAGAGGCATTGTTCAGCCCCAGGAGGTCGGCAGTTGCTTTCGCTCGTCACTCCCGGCCCGGTCACATATATCCACCCGGTTATCTGCCAAACACATCCGCTGCAGTGAAACCACCCCTGGCCTCCCGCATCTCCTTCCGTCCTGCTCGCGTACGTCACTGTTCTTTATCTGTGGCTGACCACTGCTAACGTTACCGGCTCACAGACTGGGCTGGACAGCAGGGACGATCAGTGTATGCCACTCTATTACAGGGCTGAGCAGTGCGAGTCGAGACTGATTGCCGAGAGCGGATCACGGCTGGTGGGGAGTGAGAAGAAAGCGGGCGAAAGAATGAGATCAGACGCAGACGTTATGGCAACGAATGGTCGATGGCGGGATAGCGAAATGCTCCGCGGTAGCCAGGCCACGATTTTGGACCGGGATATTTTCGGTTTCTTCTGATAATCCGACCGACCAAACCAGCGGTTTAGCCTTCCTCGTTATCAATTCCTAACACGTGTACTAGACCATTATCATAATTTCGATCTAATAACCCATTCGGTAGGCATTCACAGGCCCCATGGCCACTACCACCGTAATAATTCTCCACTCATGCTTAGCTTACAGCTGCGCGGTTAAGTTGCTCTGTCATCCGTACCACTCCAGGCAGGCGCCATCAACCAAGCCTGGTCGTTCCGAGGCGGCAGCGGCGGCGGCTGTGACGGGGTAGCAGGGCGGGGGGGGGGGGGGGAGGTAGTCGGTGGGCGGGGACTGCGGCGGCCGAGCGGCAGCAGCCAACAGTACGACGGCGGCAGTCACGCCGGGCGAGTGGAGTACGGCGGCCCCGCGCTGCAGTCGATGCTGCTCCGGAATTTGTAATTCAGCCCACGGTCGCCGATTCATCGAATCCAGTTGGTGAGTATTGAGTAACGCTGCCTGAGACTGGGGATGGGAAGGCAGTGAAGGGGCTGTGCTGTCAAACGGTGTTATTGATTATGCGTGGTGCTGGCACGGTCAGTTGAGTTCCAAGGCTTGCGGTGTTGCTTTAGAAAACATACAAACCCAGCCGTTTCCCCGTGTTGATGCAAGGATAGAGGTTTATGTAACACGCAGGCAACGCATAGGTTGCGGAGCGATCTTCCTTGCACCCTGCTCTCTCGGCTTTGTGGACTCTGGGTTTACGGGAGCGACGAACTTCGAGGTCAATCGATTGAACGGGCGATAGTTGGTTGGAAAAGCCGCGTGTCATGCTCTGCCCAGCCACCGACATCGTCACCATTAGATGGTTAGTCCTTGGTTTGGGTAATTAATTCACTATCTTTTAACAATCCAAAATTAGCCTAAAATGAATGATTTTTTTTCATTCATTTTAGGCTAATTTTGGATTGTTAAAAGATAGTGAGCATACGGTTATTCTTCTACGATATTCAATCATGCTGCTCATTCTAGTACTTCACCACCTTATTATAATTAATTCACATTTAAATGCGACTTAGTTGTTCTTTACTGGGCGAAGAGGTAAACATTTCAAAGCAATTGAACTGGAAGTGTGTTGAACATGACTACATACTTGCGACCAAATTTGAACAAGCCAAACTTGCGACCAAAAAACAAGTTAATTGATGAAAAATAAGGCAGCTTGACCGTTCATCTCACTGTAGTCCGTTCAGAAGATCGACTTGGCTCGCGGCGGTAAGCATCGAAACCCATGACCACGTGCTGCCAGTGCACCTACAATGACATGCATCTATATGTGTCTTCAGGCATTCTTAGCTTTGGGTATCGGTGCATGTCACGGTTGACATTTGAAGACATCACAGTAGCACAGTCACTTTCTCTTCACAAACACTGTGCGGCTCCGGGGTTCGGGAGCCGGCGACAGGGGCTCGAGGCCGTGTAATGATTCAATGAGCTTCGTCCCGTCTTCCCCAATTTTGTGCCACCCATACTCAGGCCCGCTTGCTTTCTTCTTTTCACACAGCTTTCCACGCATTGGCATAGAAATATCAAGGCAATCTCCTAATATTGACCCAAAGCTCATGAAAATGAATCTTGCTCCTCCATGACCTACAGTTTATGTAGTTTTGTAGGATCGCATTCGTGTCATAACAGTCAACAGTGCCACCTCACCTACGAATCGATCAATATGATCCATATTCCATTGACCTCATCTACGGAATTTCTTGCGCTCAATGACCGCAGAAGACCTACAGAAAACGTCTGACAGCGGCACCATGGACAAAAACCACGGTTCACGGTCAGACGTTCTTCTCTCCGAGTCCGGACGTTCCTCCCTGCGTGTCAGAGTCGGCTGGAGTCACAGCCTGGGGCTATCCTGAGAGAAAAAGTCCCATTAGTGCAGAGGGTCGGAACCGACGGCGAAGGTCAGGCAGAGCGGGAGGAAAGGGAGAGGCCAAGATGGGGTGAGATTGGAGAGCGTTTTAAATTATGGACTGTATCCAAGTGATCAAAGTAGGAATGCAGCCTTGGACGGTGGACCAAGTCAGGGTAAGTAGATATCACGGTATGCATGATAGTCAATGAGCAATATGAACACTTCGGGGCCCATGGGTAGGTACACAGTGCACAGTGTAGCTAAGCTAAGGACAAGGAATCAAATTCGGAATCTTCAATCGGTTATATCTGTGGCGCCCTGAAGGATGTGTTATATCCTAAAACCAGCCTTGCTAGAACTTAACGACGGTGAACCAATAACACCTGTCGATTAAAAAGCCTGCCTGAGCATTAAAGGGAGCTGGAGTCAGAGATCTGGTCACGTAGAAGCCGAAGGACTCGGGCGGGCGTTTTTACTTTTTACCGTTCGCTCCTGTAACGGCCGACTGATCTGGTGACCAGTGACCGAGTGATCGGAACTGGCAGGCGTCACTGTCGGCATTTAAACGAGCAAATCGGTATGCGGTCAGTCGTGGCATGAGATAAAGGATTCGATGTTAGTTAGTTAGAAGTGCATATGCAATGCAAGCATATGCTGCTTTGGTTTGGTAGGTAGTCTGAAACAGTCATAACTCATACAAAAGGTCGCTGTTTGACATAAAACCATCGGGACACTATGAAAGCATGATCTCATATCTTCTCGAAAGTAGATAAGAACAAAAAGCATGTTCATTTCGACAGCATTTAGCACATCAAAAACGATGGCTTTTTGCCTAGAGCCGTTCGCGCCGACCGTTGTCCTTCGTAGCCGTTCTATTGTCCGGCTTCATATAACTGAAAACCATTCTACATATAACACCGTTTTGAGCTTGCAAGCAAGACAGTATTCAAAGAAATTAGATGCAGCGTCAACGATGGTTTTCGCTGAAAACGTCAACATTGGGAATGACAGACCTCGCCACCGCAGAAGGTAAAAACCCAGCCCTAAAAAGAACATTAAGGCCATTGCTCGAACCATCGTGCATGCACGATAGGGATGCGAGGGAATATACATCGGCGGACACGACCATTGGACAGTGATAGAGGAAAAGAGATGAGTAAATGTCACCAGTCATTAAATCATCGTTGCGTCAGCACAACAAAGTCGGGATAGTTTCAATAATCAAACGACGGTGGCCTCCATCAACTGGTTACGCAACTTGATGCCGTCTTCTGTCGTCAACCCCTCGTCCTTTCGCTCCCCACAGGACCTGCAGAAGCCCCCGAAGTGCCGGTCCCGTCGGTCGCGATGGGCGACACGGCCGAGGAGCGTCGACTGTCGGAGGACCGGTCCCGCACCGCCAACTGGAAGCGCTGGGGCCCCTACCTCAGCGAGCGCCAGTGGGGTACCGTGCGGGAGGACTACAGCGCTGATGGAAACTGGTGAGAGATGTCACAGATTACAGCAGGGCGAGCGGGAGTTTGGTGGTCGAGATGTGTGCATGTGCCACATGCATGAACTATGACAAACACCTACATAAGGATTCGGGAACCATACTACCATTGATGATTTGCCAATTTACTGCCACTCTAACAGGGTCACAAATCAACTTCAGTTCAGAAGCAGTTCTTCACATAACACTTTGTCTGATTAAGCACAGTTTGGTTCTAAGAACCGATCGGCCCTGCCGCGGCTGATTGGCTAAGGCTCTATTCTGTAGCTGCTCCCTCCCATGTCTCCTCCCAACAATGACCCCACCCATTGCCGTCAGCTGGGACTACTTTAGCCACGACCAGGCGCGCTCCCGTGCGTATCGCTGGGGCGAGGACGGTCTTCTGGGCATCACCGACCGCCAGTGTCGGCTCTGCTTCAGCGTGGCGCTGTGGAACGGCAAGGACCCCATCCTCAAGGAGAGGCTGTTCGGTGTCACCGGACCAGAGGTAAGCTGAACGGTGGAGAGGGAGGGAAAGAGGAAGGAGATGTAGAGGAGGGAGGGAGAGAAGATTGGCGAGGACAACAGAGGCACTGCATACGAGCGAATTGAGGAAAAACATGAATGTATGATGGTTGATTTCACACATGGTTGGACTTACTCTTGCTGTTATGATTACACATCAATGCCATATTTTTGAAGATGTCTTGATTTTTACATACCGAAGGCGATTTTAATCAAACGATACCACTTATCCTGACTTTGCCCTCAACAAAACTGAGTCGCACATCCATCCATCTCACCCAACCGTCCTCTGCACGTCAGGGTAACCACGGTGAGGACTGCAAGGAGTGCTACTACTACCTGGACTCGACGCCGACCCACTCGTACATGAAGGCGCTGTACAAGTACCCGCAGAGCGAGTACCCGTACCAGCAGCTGGTTCAGGCCAACCAGGAGCGGGGCATCCACCAGCCGGAACTGGAGCTTGAGGATACCGGTACGGGGCTGCCGTGTGCGAACCGCGTAACTTCAATGTTTTAGTTGGGAGTATTATCTGTTGCTTCTTATAAAAAGGCCCGGGAAACAAACAATAGTGTTAACAACAGTGTGGTGATTCATGCTCTGTTTGCCATCAGCCGTGCTCATACGGCCAGACGTCTGTCCTTACCAATATTTTTGCATCCCAACGAGCCGGGTCACTATCAGATGTATCGTACCTTATAGGCACGTTACCGTCCCGTTTCCCACCATGGGTGTGCTACCACGGACACCGTTCCCTTTACCGGCATCGATGTGTTAGGCCGTCACCGTCCCGTTTCCCTCAATTGATGTGTTTCCGTCGTTACCACTCCGTCTCCCATCGCCAGGTGTGTTTGACGAGAGCCGGTACTGGGACGTGACGGCAGAGTACGCCAAATCGTCACCCAACAACGTGCTGATTCAGATCACAGTGGCCAATCGGGGCCCCGAGGACAGCACCATACACGTCATACCGACACTATGGTATGTCGGCTCAACAGTGGCCGGTATGATGGGGATGTATGTTGGGACGGATTGTCAGCCGGTGATAACAAATGTTTGGCAACAATGCATGCTTTTATGCATTGTGAAACCAGACAACTATATGTTTCCCGTGTTCTGTTTTGGCTTATCTGTATTACCCTGCTGCAAAGCATCAAACTACCAGAACAGAGCACCCGCTGACCTTCAATTTCATCATTCCCGATCAGATACCAGACCAATGTAAGACAAAACAGGGAGCAAGTACCGAAGCCAGCTAATTCGACTCCACAAAAAAACATCTGTTGCGTGTCATATTCGATCTTGCCCGAAGCCGCGTATTAGTGCGCGTTTTCCGTAACCACGCACGCACAGCCCACCGCAACTGACAGTTGGATCTACCTCCCCTCCCCCCACACACTCCCTCAAACACACCTGGTCGAGCCCAGGGAAAGTGTTTGCCGACGCTCTGGGCCGGCTCTCCGCTCCGCCGCCCTCGGCGACTTTCCTCCGAGCGCCCCAGGCAGTTGTGGTCGGCCGTCACTCGTCAGGGACGAGGCGGCTGGCTGGCCGGGGCGACCGGGCAGCCGGTGGTGGTGGTTTCTTTTCACCGATTATGGCCGATGATTGGGTGTTGACGGGGGAATTATGGGTAAGGCTAGGGCAGAATGTTATCAGAAAGCAGTCATCGATGAAATGCGTTCGAATGCAGTTTATGCCTATAAGAAAAGAGCAAAAATACTTGTATTATGTCGTTTATTTTGACTTTGATAATATTTATCCAGCAATGCAGCTATTGTTATCCCCATAAACTATGTCTTTCTCCCTCTTTTGCAAGCTACATTTAACCGGCAATAGGATGTGCAATGTGCATGGTTCACTGCAGTCAGCAGCACCCGGCATACACGCACCCACGCAAAACACACACTCCTCCTCCCGCAGGTTCCGCAACACATGGTCCTGGGGCTGCACCCACGAGGGGTGCACGATGAAGCCTCGGCTGGCAAGTGACGGGCCGTCCCGGGTGCGGTGCACCCACGAGACGCTGCACCCCTACTGTTGGGAAGTGGGGGAGCACGACGGGAAGGCGCCTGAGCTTCTCTTCACGGAGAACGAAACCAACCACAGCCGGCTGTTTGGCGGACAGAACCGGACGCCGTTCGTCAAGGACTCCATCAACGAATACGTGGTGCACGGTGAGACGAGCGAGGGCTGAGTCAAGATTTCTTTACTAATAATAGGGCGGAGTGGGATGAAAGGGATCTTGTAGGAAGAAACCAATGACCATAAGCGAGCGTGAGGCCTGAGGCATTTAGAAGCATTATATCGTCGGGAATGTAACATGTCTCCTATTCTTCAGCATCAGGTCCATCTCACTTTTTACTCTAACGTACAGAGTGGTAGCTTCATAGTAACTCCAATAAGCCTACTTATCAGAACTATCACAGTCTAAATGCAAACGCAGCGACATGTACATAATTATACCGTTCCGCTCTAAGAATCTAGCAAATCACGCCGACCTTAGGATAACTCACTGCACACATTACCTGGGAATTGCAACTGATGGCGTGAAATGACAATCAGCCACGCACCTAGCTTCTTGACCGAGCGCAACTAATTCACACATCCCTTCCCTAGGTAAGAAGGAGTGCGTCAACCCGAAGGAGAAGGGGACCAAGGTGGGCGCCCACTACGTGCTGCACGTGCCGGCTGGTCAGAGTGTCACACTGCAGTCGCGGCTCTACCAGGTGAGATTGGAGGAACGAATACGAACACACGTCCCCGTGGCGATTAATTGGTTACTGGTCAGACAGCCGACGGGCCTGTGAGATTTAGTCGTTCCAATGCATAGAGTGGTCAGCCAACAATAATAGCTACGTATTGCACCATAAATCAATGTACATTTATGTAAATTATTACGTAATGCACTGCAAACCTGTCAAGCGATTCGATTCGACTGTTTATTATTTGCCCAACACAGGAGGACGAAGCTGTTACACCAGCCCTAGGGGAGGATTTCAACACCAGCTTCAACCAGCGAAAATCAGAGGCCGACGACTTCTACGCGGCGGCCATCCCGGCGCGGCTGAGCGCCGAGGAGACGAACGTGGCGCGTCAGGGTCTGGCCAGTCTGTTGTGGACCAAGCAGTTCTACCACTATGTGGTCAAGGACTGGCTGGAAGGCGATCCGGACCAGCCGAAGCCGCCGCAGCAGCGCCTGCAGGGCCGCAACAGCGACTGGATGCACCTCTTCAACCGGGACATCATCTCCATGCCCGACAAGTGGGAGTACCCTTGGGTGAGCCACGCTTAGAGACGGTGGGTCGAGAGGGCCGTAAAATGTCGGGGAATAAGGCGTGGGCATTAATCGATGGGGAATATCTTACGCAGTGGGACTGATCCTGATCTTGCAGATAACATGTTACACGTTGCAAACTGTGGCGAAGTAACTCGCGTAAGCTCATAGCTATTCGCTGCACTCGGCTCTCAAGCCCGACGGCAGGTACTACCAAATGTGGCCGATTAAAGTGGACAGCGTATGCCGCTTTAGTATCGGTTTGTGACTTTCTGTGTTCCACTCCACAGTACGCGTCGTGGGACCTGGCGTTCCACATGATACCTTTCGCGCTAGTGGACATCGACTTCGCCAAGGACCAGCTAATGCTTTTCCTCAGGGAGTGGTACATGCACCCCAACGGACAAATACCAGGTATGTGGTTATCCAGAACACTAATGTATCGGAAAGTAAAGAAAAAAAAGACACTTCTACGGATTTCAATATAAGTCCATCGATTTATCTTCCACCAACAACTGCCTGTTCAGATGCGGCATAGTCAATAGACAATGGCATAACAACAATCGTGAATAAAAAGTGGGCGATTTAGCGAATACATTTACATTCTCCTAAATAAATCTTCAACCTCCCCATCAATGGTCAAGACTGAGTTTTCTCCTCAACATGTCCATAAGATTGAGCAGATACCTTCGTTCTCAGCGTACGAGTTCGCGTTCGACGACGTCAACCCGCCAGTGCACGCCTGGGCCGTGAAGAAGGTGTTTAAGGCGACCGGGCCGCCGCGGGAGCGGGACACCCAGTTCCTGGCCCGGTGCTTCCAGAAGCTGATGCTCAACTTCACCTGGTGAGTTGGTACCGTCATCTCTCTTAGCCTGAGAGTCAGTTAATGGCAGGTATGTACCAGAATATCTCGACGATGGTGGTGATGTATTGAGGTTTTAGCGAAGTTGCGGTCTGAAACCTTGACAATGGTGACTTTGGAGTTTCAATATTGTTGTCTCCAATATCCCTGCATCAGTGACTTGACGACGCGTCCACATATCCTTCATCAGTGTTATGTTCTTTCCTTCAGGTGGGTCAACAGGAAGGACCCCCGCGGAAAGAACATCTTCTCGGGCGGCTTCCTTGGACTGGACAACATCGGTATCTTCGACCGCTCCAAGCCGCTGCCGATCCATGGGGAGCTTGAACAGGTGAAATCACACATAAAGTCTAACGACCTACATGTCTCATTCTCGTTATCACGACTGACAGTAACATATTACTCTGTTACGGGGATCTTGGAATCTGGTGTCACTCTTATCAACATCACGATGTCTAATGCTGTTCTCGCTTCTCCCATGCCGTTCGCCAGGCTGACGGCACGGCCTGGATGGCCTTCTACTGCGTCATTATGCTCGACATGGCGCTGGAGCTGGCCGAGGTCGACCCCACCTACGAGGACATGGCGTCCAAGTTCTTCGAGCACTTCATCCACATCATGGACGCCATCAACAGCGCCGGACAGGGAGAGGGTGAGAGAACGAGAGAGAAAGATGGAGGCGAGAGAGGAGAGCGAGGGCGCGTAGTGAGGCTAGATACACGTTGTCGTAGATCACGTTGCAGATCATGAGCGTCTTTATCAAAATGGCAAGCCAATGGATAGGTCGATTCTCAAAGGAGGACAAACAGCTTACCCTAATATCCAGCATCCGTAACGAGGCTCGTACGACGCTACCAGCAGTCTCGCCTATCCAGCTGTCCCCGTAACACCCTCTCCTCCTTCGGCAGGACTGTGGGACGAGCAGGACGGCTTCTACTACGACTTCATCAGGACCGACAGCGGCACCTCGATCCCGCTGCGGGTCAGATCCATGGTCGGACTGATACCGCTCTTCGCGTGTCTCGTGCTCGAGGGCAAGCGCGTCAAGAAACTCACCGGCTTCTGGAAGCGCACCGAGTGGTTCATGGTGAACCGAAAAGACCTCTTCGGCAGGGTAGGTACTGAAGTGGTGAATTTGCCTTTAGAAATCGCGAGAAATGTCAATCCTTAACCCAACTAAAAGAACCATAAGATGCAGTTGCAGGCCGGTGTTCAAAATATCGACATTTTTAATATTGAAAAAGCATTCTTATATCAACGAAACCATCGCAGTGTTTGTTCGATCCAAATAAAATATGTTATCATGCCTCTCGCTGACGTCACCATTCTTCAGGTGGCGTACATGACGTCATCAGAGGACGGTCTGGGTAACTTCCTGCTGGGAATACCCACCGAGAAGCAGCTGGTGCGCGTGCTCGGCTACCTGCTCGACGAGGAAGAGTTCCTCAGCCCCTACGGCATTCGGTCACTCTCCAAGAAGCACAAGGTATGGTAATCATCTTTGTAGTGTGGAGTCACCATGGTACGTCACTCGGCTCTCCAAACTTCTTCAACCTTCAGGCTTCAAGTCTCCATTAAGTCATTAGTTTCCGAATTTGACTGACCGTTTACGTTCGGTCTGATAAGGAACGAATCACTGTAGGAATTATCCTCAATTAAATCCACCTCACCCATCTCTCGCCCCCAGGACCACCCATTCGTCGTGCACCTGAACGGCGACGAATACTCCGTCCCCTACGTCTCCGGGGAGTCCAACACGCACCTCTTCGGAGGCAACTCCAACTGGCGCGGTCCCATCTGGCTGTGTGTCAACTTCCTGCTCATCGAGGCGCTCGACCGCTACTACTTCTTCTACGGGAAGCGGCTGCGCGTGGAGTGCCCGGTGGGCTCGGGGCAGCAGATGACCCTGAGAGAGGTGGCCTGTGAGCTGGCGAGTAGACTCATCAAGCTGTTCCTGCCCGGCCCGGACGGAAAGCGGCCCTGTCACGGTAAGAAACGGCGGGAGAGGGGCTGTTCAGAACGCAGAGGGTATATTGTGGTGGATGCTAGGTATTTTTTTAAGTCCCAACAAGAGGCAGGGAGGAAGCATCTCCCATGCGGTCAAATACCGGTAGACGTGTTAGTAAAAAATGAAGGAACCTGAAATGGTTGCCCTTTACATTCGACCCGAGTCTAAATTGTATGCCTGCAAACATTTCAAGCTCGAAATAGACAGACCACTAATTATTCCAAATTTCCAATAACGGAACCTGTGCCTTCCTCTCCTTCCGTCCGCAGGCGACTCGAAGCGGTACGCCGAGGACCCGTTCTGGCGCGACCTGGTGCTCTTCTACGAGTTCTTTGACGGCGACAGCGGCCGTGGCTGCGGCGCCTCGCACCAGACCGGCTGGACGGCGCTGGTCGTCAACTGCCTCATGATGAAGCTCGGCATGAGACACGCCGGCCTCGCCTGGCGCTACGATCCCGTCGAGTGACACGCTGAGTTTCCCGCCAGGTCAGGTCACCAGTCAGTGATGAGGATGGGCCCGAAGGACTCGTCATAACTAGTTCACAGGTCGGCTTACCTGGTCTAGACGAGGGAAGTAGTGCGATAAATCTGAAGACCGGCGGCGGCGGGATGACAACAACATATCGATTGAAGACGACGGGACATGGGAAGAGCGCCCGGAAAGGTTCCAAAAGTCGCGGCAAATATGGGGGCCACTGGACTCAGACTGAAGTGATCAGGGCAGTCCAGACAAGGTCAGAAACATGCGACGAGACATGGCGGCGTTCACTTACAAACAAGAACAGTGCCAAGGATCGCGTGCCTTCATTCCGTGGAAAGAACATTCCTATTCAAACCGCTATAGGGTTGGTCTGAACGTCTCTGTTTTAGACATCTTTAGAGTTTAGGTTCTGTAGAATGGTAGGTTTTATGCTGGCATATAATCGAATTGTATTGAGCGCTGAACTGGAGTCTTTATATAGTCACCAAGCTTTTAAGAGTGCTAGATTATATCACAGGGTGTCTATGGCAAGTTCAGAATGATGCACTATATTGCAGTTTTCTGCGATGGTCCGCCTCCAATGATTCTTGCTGCGCATAATAATGTTGCCGTCGTTGTAGATTCTATTCATCCCCAGCATGGTGTAGGTGGCGGGGTGACGGTATGGCGGACGTCCCGCGAGTAGTTCGATCGATTTCCGTGAACCTTGTGCATCATGTATCCTGATAGCGACTTGGACACCGAAGACATGACGCTCGCTGTAGCAACAATACAGTATTGTGAAATTTAGAGGGATGTCGTGCAGGCGCCGATGCGTGGTGCGTTGGTGCGCGTTCGGGGGGGGGGGGGGGGGGGACGTTGGGTGGCATTCGGATACGGCCTGCGGGATAGTGGCCAGTGAGAGCCTCCCCGTCACTCGACTCGATGTCATGTGATGTAATGCCCAGGCAGGCCTTATGTAACGTCATGCCATTTTCCTACCGCTACCCCACCGCAATCAATAGGCCTGCAAGCACGCTTAAAGGGACCATCCCACCTTAACATTAGTTTTGAGTTGAGATAGCCAAGTTTGCGGCCAGGCTCAGAAACCACCATTTATCCTGGTCGCAACCCCCGCAGGTTTATGGTGTTCAAGAAATTTCTTCCCTTTACTTGCAGGGTGGGACCAGCTTAGTCCCTATCTCTTAACCATTAGCGGTTTTTCGATGACGTCAGCAGTCATTTCAACGCCCGCCATTCCTTGAACCCGAGTTTTGCTGACCTTGAGCTCCCTTTTTTATCAACGTGAAATCCGTCGTCGGCGCTGACATGAGAAGCCCTAACCCACAACAACAACAACAGCTGACATGAGAAAGCCTATTGCTTTTCATTTTAATTTGAATATTAGAAGATACCCACCACTGGAACTTGGACTGATATTATACCAAGGCCGAATATGATCAAGCTGCCTGCTATATCTGGAGCTTGGTGTTCAACTTCAACATGGAATAAAAAACAAAATATCAAAGCAAACTGGATATGGTACTGCAAGTGAAAGTCCAAAGAAATTTGAAGAGCTGACAATTGACATTAATTCTTTTCCTGTAAGGTTTCCATATGGAAATCACACCATGAAGAAATATGTTTGATGTTAACAGTTGAAAGGGGATTGATCTTCCAGTTTTGACGAAAGACGCTGCTGACTGTCTTTGGAAAAGGATGTCGGCATGAGGTGCAATTGTGCTTGTGAAGTGGTTATAACTGGTCTTTTCACAGTATTAAATTAAATGTGCCATTGCAGCCAAGTGTGTTATCATATAAGGTAAAATCAAAACTACAATGTTGGTTTTACGAGCATTGAGAAGGCTGGTAGGTAACACCTGCCTGTGCTCGTAAATCACATGCTGCCAAAGTATTCTAAATTAATTTTATCATACACTTTTGTTGTCCAGAATGGTTGCACTATTGTTTGGTATCATATTATTCCATGTAAATATGGTAGTGTAAAGTCCGACCAACATGTTACCAGATTTGAAGCTGTTACGTTACCTAAGTACCTGTTTTTTACTGGCGTGGTGAATGTCACCTGGATTTTGTTTTGAGGTGCAGACCTTGTAACTCTGACTACATGGGTTTGAAACTATTATCTATTCTGTTTTTACTGGCCTGGTGAATGGCGACTGATGTTCGTGGATGGCACTGAAACAAATTTTGAGTGTCATGTACAGTGTTTTAATACAATGCTGAGGGCTGAAAGTTGTCTTGTTTAGAGTGGTGAACGTTCAGGATATGCCAGCCACCATGGTGGGTCAGAGTTAATGTGTTGCAACTTGCAGTCAGTTCGGCTTCGGCAAGCACATGGATGGGCATACGCATCAAGACCTGCTCTGCCATACTTTCAGCCAATTTTACCTAGGTAAGTCTTTTCTTTTTTTCTGCCAAAAGCTATGACATTGTGAATTTCAGTGCTGTGGCCTGTGTGTAGCTTTCAGGAAAGCAATTCTTAATAAAGCTCTGATAAAGTGCAAAATCAGCAATGCAGCCCTCTATTACATTTTCTACAACATCTTACTTGTTCCTTGCATGGAGAGAAAAATGCAATGTTATGAATTCGTTTATTCACATAATTTGACAAGCATGCAGTTACCTGCTACTATCACTGCACAAAACAGAGCAGAAAACATAAGTTGATCAAACACAAGACACAACAGAAGTTTACAACATAGGGCTGCCGAACCTGCTTCCTCCCACCACAGTTGATGCCATTTCCTAGCCTGGCTTGATGTGAGCACTGAATAGCTGCTCTGTCTAATTACAGCTCACTACCATTCAACTTAAACTACTATCTTTAAAGTAAGAGTGAGAGCGTTCAGTGTTCATAGCAGCTCGACAGACGACAGACAACAAACATCTTGACAAACCAACCAGTATTTGATTTGGCTAATGATTTATGTGCTTGTTGTATCATGGCCAAACTACTTTAACAGCAATAATCCCTGTTTCATCTTGATCTTGCTTTTATTTCCATTTGAACTCAGATCTTGAAACAATCATCTGAAGTGATATCATCTACTGGCTTCTGTTTCTCTTGAAAGAAAGTTTAAACAACAATGATAAACTAAGGCAGGAGATGTGAGTTGTGGCAGTAGATTTTTGATTCAACATATGTCAACCTTATATTGCTTGAGACCTCTGTGACAGACAAACAAATATTTATAGTTTTTTGATAGTTTGGATTCTTGGCTTGATTTAGCAGATCAGCTGTGAACCTTGACTTTGAAATCACATAAATGTCATGGTACCCGAACGAATCCTCGCATGACATTTCTTCGTAGCACAATTTTTCGTCCGCATTTCTTCGTCTACAAATCTTCGTCGGTGCATTTATTTGTCCCTCAATGCTTACTTTTGCATATAGGTATTTGCGTTGAAGAAGAAATGCGAGCCGATTTTCATATACCCTGATGCGAGACAAAGTAATGGGATACGAATAAATGCCCTGACGAAGATTTGCAGACGAAGAATTGCGATACGAAGAAATGCCATAAGAAGATTGTCCTGGAATCCTTTATTGGCCATCATATATTGACCTTGATAAGATAAACGCATCATTCGCGCAATATTTGTCGCACTTTGATACCAAACTATTGCTTCCAAATGCCGACGTAAAGAAAACCTTTACGTGACGTCATAGAAACAGCGGAGTTCCCAAAAAGTAAACAAAAATAAAAGTCTTATATCTCGAAAACGGGTGAACATTTTCCGGTAAAATTTGGTAGATGTTCATTTTCGCTCTTTGTGATTCACGCTACATCACTTTTATGCCAGTTCATTAACTTTTTTGAAGGTGGGAGGGTCCCTTTAACCCTTTCTACGGATGAAATTGGACACCGAAGTCCTAACAGGGCCCGGATAGCTCAGTTGGTAGAGCGTTAGGCTTTTAACCTAACGGTCCAGGGTTCGAGTCCCTGTTCGGGCGAGGTTTTAATTACAAAATACGGTGCCCTTGGAGACCAAAAAAAGTCACGGGGAACGCCCATTGCCTCCGCAAAGTCGGTCCCCGTTCGGTCCTCCCACCAAAGCATGGCGAACGCCGGTCAAGAAAAGAGCCCAGTCGCTCCAGCGCGTCGTGAAAGAGGAGCTTCAGGGGAATTGTGGAGTAATGCATTTGATTTGCGTGAAAGCATGGCGATGAGAGCGTGGTTCAGAAATCCAAGTTTAATAAAATGGGGTAGGTTATAGTATGAATGGCGCAGACTGGAATGGTCTATCTTCAGGCAAACTGGTTGCAATAAACAAACATTCCCAGGCTAGTTTGATGAGAAAAAACCTCATCAACAATGTTTAAACGTTCTAGCAAGATGGTCTAACAAAGCCACACATTATATTCGCTCTTGTGTAAGACGACTTAAATTGGACCGTGACAACTACGTAAAATATCGAAATACCAGGTAACGTTTTGATTTGACGCTATGCGATGATCTAGGGATTCTTATGAAGGTCAACGCAGCAGCGACACATTGAGGAAGTAGGTAGTTTGCGATATATTTGAACTATAGAGCTTCCTGTGGCATGGCATGCATCAAGTAACACCCATGATGCATATAAAAGCGATGCAATGCTACACAGCTCAACGGTCAGGTTGACACAGGTCGCAAATGGCAGTGAAAGGAGCGCAGTACCACAGTCAACAGGCTAACATTTACAATATCAAGTGGTCCAATACGATTGCCAGGCGACGGCATGGAAGCGAGCGAGGTATAATAGTAGTTTTTATAGTAGTTTTTTTTATAGAAGCTCACAATAACTGAACACAAATTACACCCGACTTATACAAACGATGTTTTAACCAAGAAATGTTTACAAACAAATGCACCGGCAATTGAACTTCGATATCGTACTTCGATTGAAATTATTTTGTACTTTGAGTTGATCGTCTGTGTTGCAAGCTTGATGAGAAAAGTTAAATTCGCTGTGGCCTCAATTGATTTCCGCATTCAGACTAGCCTTCGTTCGTTTGTCGATTGTACCAACCATTTGGCGACTTGGTATGGCTCATGGGACACTCGGCAATGGACAGTATCACTGGACCAACGACATCATCCAAACCCATCGGCAAACATTCGATTCAGCAAACATAATAATCGCTGTCAGCTACGTTATAATGCGACAGAGATTATCCCAATAGGACTAAGTCGACTTGGGATCACACAACCCGTTCCCAGGCTTTTGTGCGACCTCTGGCAGCGAAGCAACTAATCTCCTTCTCGTTATCCAACAACTTCTCTGACATCGCCCACCCCACCGACAACCTCGGGCCTATCACCCACCCCGCACTCGTGCTGACCTGACCTCAGCTGACCTCGTGGGCCGCTGTGAGCGAGCTGACCTGACCTGGGGTCAGTCGGAGCACCCGCTCGCCGGCCAGGTGTCCGAACAGCCGGGCGAACGGCGGGTACGTGGTGAGAGCATCACGCCGACCGACCAGCACCAGCTTGTGCTTGGCGCGTGTGACGGCTACCGTCAGCCGCCGGTGGTCGCTCAGGATGTCCGTGGTCTCCATCTGAGGTCAGAGGTCGGGCTGTTAGAGGTCAAAGGTCACAACTTCAAGGACAAGGGTAATGACTAGGGTCATATTATGCTAGATTTCAGAAGTCCTGGATCGGAGGTACGAGAAGAGGTAGGACGCGGGACATTATTTTCAGACGACAGCGCTAACCGTCGCCGTGCCAGATTCGCAACTACTTAGAGCAATCCTTTACACGATCAGCAGCAGACACACGACAACATGAAATAAAATATTCCGTACGTCATTATCAACACTAGAAATCCCTTTTCCATTTTAGTCATTTTATGCGCATTTTAACTGAAAATAAAGGGAAAAACAAAAGACCACACCCCTCCCCTCTCCCCCTCTCGTACTCACGCCGTCCGCTCTGTCGCCCGTCGAGTCGGTGCGTCGCGCTGCGGTGCGGGTACACGAGTACAGTATGACCGACTTGTCCCGGCCCTGGTACTGGTCCACGGTGTTCACCTCCACGGCGGCGGGCAGGGAGGCGCGCAGCAGTTTCACCTGGCCCCGGTACGGCGCAATCACACCCAGGTCCGCGGCGGGCAGGCCGCGCTGAGGGACACAACAGGGCGTGGTTATGGCAAGAAAAGCGGGAAAGCGGATATTTGGTGTAGCTTCAGTCAGTATAAAAATCGTAGACGTAGATCAAGTCTATTTATTTACTCTATGCCACTTTTTTAAAGATGCATCAATAATAAATCAACATCATCTAGGTATATGTATGAAGTGAGTAGACGTGACGAAAACAAAAATGATTTCACTGCAAAAAAATTAATTCACCAGGCAACCACAATGTACGACCGTACGCTTCCACCGAAGCACAATCTTCAAAAATCCTCCCTAACATCAGTGACGTACCCAAGGGGGGGGGGCACGGGGGCCAAGGCCCCCCCCCTGAGCGCCTTCGGCGCTCAGGGGGCCCCTCAGGCCCCAGGATATTTTTTTAAACACCGGATAAAACGTCTTTTACTCGGAAGAAAAATTGATATTAAAGTTTCATTTATGTGCCCCGGGTACCCGAGGGGCCCCTGCAGTCATCCAAGGGCCCCCAGTTTCCTGGGCCCCTGGTCGCCTAGGGGGCCTCTGGTAGCCGGGGGCCTGGTCTCATGGGGGCCCCTGATAGCTTGTGGCCCCTAGTCGCCTAGGGGGCCCTGGTCGCATGGGGGCCTCTGGTCGCATGAGGCCCCTGATCGACTGGGGGCCCCTAGTTGCCTAGGGGGCCCTGATAGCCCGGGGCCTGGTCGTATGGGCCCCTGATAGTCTGTGGCCCCTAGTCGCATGGGGGGCCTCTGGTTGCATGATCTTGAGGCCCCTGATCGCCTGGGGGTACCTAGTCGCCCAGGGGGCCCCTGGTAGCCGGGGGGCCTGGTCGCATGGGGCCCCTGGTTGCCTGGGGCCCCCAGTCGCCCCTAGTCGCCTGGGGGACCCTGGTCGCCTTGGGCCCCTGGTAGCCTGGGATCCCCTGGTCGCCTGGGGGCCCCTGATCGCCTGAGGGCCGCTGGTCACCTAGAGGGCCCCTGGTCGCCTGGGGGCCCCTGGTAGCCGGGGGCCTGGTCGCATGGGGTCCCCTGGTCGCATGGGGCCCCCTGGTCGCCTGGGGGCCTCTGATCGCATTGGCCCTTGGTCGCCTGGAGGGCCCTGGTCGCCTGGGGCAGTGGGGCCCCTAGTCATCTGGAGGACCTGGTCGCCCTGGAGCCCCTGGTCGACTGGGGGCCCCTGGTCGTCTGAAAGTACGCTTATCACCTGATTGATCCCAAATCATCTGAGTGGCTACTGGCTACTGGATATAAGTAGTGACTGGAGTAGGCACTCATCTGAAGGAATCATCTGAGTGGCTACTGGCTACTGGATATAAGTAGTGACTGGAGTAGGCACTCATCTGAAGGAGCCAATATCTTTCACGGTGCCGGAGATATCACAGAAAAACAAAAAGGCTAAACTGAATACCCCCCAACCTTGGCCCCAAAGGCGTCATTGGCTAACACAGGGATGTGGGTCGATTTGCAATCGCATTTCCTCCTAAGTCCTATTCCTCCAATTAATACAGAGTGTCCCAGAATTACCCAAACATTTATTTTCTGGCTAAAAGTACAATTGCGCTCGATTCCTAGTGAAACATATAATAGCCGCGTTTACATAGGGCTAGTTGCCAGATAGTGGAATTCCGATAACGAGACATTTATTCCCCACTATTATATTATATACCTACATATCCGGAATTGGAGGATGTTCAGTAATTGAGGCGCTCGCTCATAAAATGCCGTGCGTTTCATGCACACTCCTCAAGCAAAAATACTTTTACTTTCCAATTTTCCACATTTTCTCAAGGCTTAGACCGTTACAGAGACCGTTTTAATTGACTTTGATGAAGTTGAACGCGACAAATCACAACTAAATGCTACATTAGGTTGTAAAGAACTGAATTGCGTTTTCCCACACACGTGGCGTTTTCTCACCTACGTCTGCAGGAGAGACCGGACCCACTATGCCCCCCCCCCCCCCACCATCGAAAGGTTCTTCATGACTCCCGGGGGCCCCCGGGGAACCGGGGGGGGGGGGCGCTATACACTGTAGGGGGCCCCTTCGAAAGCAGGTGGCCCCCTCCTGGGCGAAATCCTGGGTACGTGCCTGCCTAACATACCAATATTTTCCTATCGCCCGAACCCACTTCCCAACACATCCTCTCCAGTCCCCACTCCAGTCCCCACCCACCTCGACCATCTCGGCGGCGATGTGCGCCACGAGTGCGGCCTCTGCGGCGTTGGAGACCGCGCCGTGGGCGTCACTCGAGTGCCGCCAGTCGAGGTCGGAGGTGTCGAGCATCAGCAGTGAGCGCTCCATGGACGGGTGGAGCGCCGACGACAGCCACACCGGGTCAGATGGCTGCAGGCGGGGGGCGCCATTGGTGAGAAATAATTGACTTACAACGGACACGTGCACAAGTAAATGGAAATTACGAAATGAAGCACAAGTAAGCATATCTGCTTGTAATGCTCATTTACCTTTTGTACATGTGATAAAGGGTGGCCGGCAGTAAAAAATTATGTAACGAAAGGGAAGATCCATCTTATCCCGTCTCCCATCTACACATCTCTCCCTCCCATCACCCCATCTTTTTTCTCTCTCTCCATCCCTCCACCTCTCTTCACTCACTCTGCTCTCCATCGTCCTCACAGTCGCCGCATCAACCGTCTCCGACCCACAGCTCAGTCTCCCGTCATACGTCAGATGATTCGCCGCCGCCGTAAGGGCGCGATTCATACGGTACTGCAGGGTCAACTGGACCGTATTGCCTTCGGCGGCCAGTCGACTGAACAGACATTCGTCCATACCCCTGCGGCGCGCTGCCGGACTCTGTATGACCGGGGGTAGCTGCTCGGGATCGCCGACCAGCACAAAGCGGCCGGCCAGCAGCGCCGGCGCGATCGCCGCCGGCTGGACGATCTGTGGACCGGGCGGGACGGGTGAGAGGGAGTTCTTAGTGGCGGTGGGGGCTGACCGTCAAAATGGGTCAACATACATGTAGAACCGCCTTAAAACATCACTTAGAATACGCCAGTCCATAACGGTCACTATAGACCACGATATATAGTGGTCTATGGCCAGTCAGATGCAGAGAGTCGGTGGTAGATCGGAATCTTAGCTATTTGGAGACCGACTTCATACACAAATCGCACCTACTTCAGTTACTACGAAAAGCAATGCAACCGTGCGCCGTCTGATAAGCTTGGTTTGAGATGTCCCGTTACCCCTATGAGTTTCAGTGTACCTGTGAGGCCTCGTCGATGATGCAGATGTCGAACTTTCTGCGCTGGAAGACCGGGTGGTTGGTGCCCAGACACGTCGTGGCCACCACGGGCTGAGGGAAGACGGCATGTCGGCCGTCAGTTCTCAGAACATGTTCGTTGGCAGCAGGTCGACAGAATAATTTAACAAGCTCAACCAGTCAGGCACCATATTTTTCTGACAAACGGTATAACATTAACAATTTATGTATGTAAAAGCAAGAACACCGAGGGTTGGAAGAAATTTATGCATATAAACGGGGACTAACTAATTAGCTATCCAACAATACTTATACATTTTCGCATCGAGTAAGGAAACTTTATGCGTGTACTCTCGAACACATCATCACCTTGGAGTCGTAGAACTTCTCCATCTCCTCCGGCGTGGTGAGCGACTGTGTCTGGATCTCTGCGCTGAATTTCTGCAGCTCGGCGTGGACCCGGCCCGGCCGACCCAGTCGTACAAAGTCGGTGAAATGCTCCTGGAGTGGCGAATATGGGGTTCGGTTAGTGAACTGGTCAGCAGGTTGAGGGTAGGGAGATGCGCCGACACATGTGCAGCAAAGTCGGCTGAGACCAGGGACAGAAGATGGAGGGAGGGAATCTCGGTCGACCCGCCCCCCCCCCCCCCCCCCACCATCATTAACGGCTTTGTGCAACGAGAGTTCTAGACTCTAGAGTAATGCCTTAAAATCCTTTGATGAAGTTCGTGACTCTGGTGGCAGACGCGGTGGCAACTGACCTTCAGTTTGAGCAGGACGGTGTCCACGGCCGAGTGGGTGTAGCTGGCGAGGAGCACCGAGCGGCCCATGGTCACCAATAGACGCACCAGCGCCACGATTGTCGACGTCTTGCCTGCGCCAGAATACAGTACATAGTCACCAGCGCGTTACGATCGGCGCCTGCTACCTGAGCAAAATACTGAGTGCAGCACACGATTGGAAGAAGATTGTACGAGATAAATAGTGAACAACAGGACACAACCCTGCGACTTCCAAGCATCCAAGAAATAAACGTCAGTCGTAATTCCGCTTGCTCCACTCGACCCTCACCCTCTTACAGGTCTCCCTGACTCCCATTCGTTCCGAATCTTTATCTAAATTCCTGGCATGCCCTGTACGAGCAGCTGGTATTCTAGCCACTCCCTGTCACTATCTTGCTGTCTCTTTATTCTGCCTCACCTGTGCCCGGCATGCCCTGAATGAGCAGGTAGTCCTCAGCCATCATGACACGCAGCAGGGCCCTCTGCTGCAGTTTGTTCAGCGGCCTCAGGATGTCACGACACTTGGTGATGACCAGACGGCCCAGACCCGGCAGGAACGACGGCGGACGACTGAGGGTGGTGAGAGAGGGGGGGGGGGGGGGTGAGCTGTTGACGGCGAATGTTTTAGCGATTGGTGGGGCCCTTCGAAGACACAGAAACAGGTCATGTTTGAAGAACTTCAGATCAGAGACCTCTTGCACCAAAATCCTCTTGTACCAATGCTTGGATTATTTTGCATCGTAAATCCAAGACTCAAATGTGACAATTTGCGTGTAAGATTTACCAAGCACCTGTAGGATTGTATTGGGCTATTGCAAACAAATTTACCACCGTTTGATTAGCTTATTCTGAAACCGGTTTTTCGATTTTACCTAGCTAGGTAGTTTGGTGCAAGAGGCCTCAGCTTTATATTTGTTTTAACCCGCGCCCCGTAGGGGGGGGGGGGGGCGAAACGGCCCCTCCCTGTCCTTTTCCGTCGATATCTCCTAAACGACTGGAGATATCGCCACCAAACTTTCAGAACCCCTCCGGACATCAATTTTACACATTGTGACCAAAAACTTTTCCAGAGGCTATGATAGGTCGGCCACAAATGACATCAGAATGACGTCATGTTCTGTCATTTTCGACCGAAAAAAAGACCTTCGCGAGAAGACCTGTCAGGCCTACAGCTTTGAAGATACAAAAAAATGATCGAAACATAAAAGGTGTAGAATTGACAGGGCTACAAAACTGCAATCTCGGATTTTTGAGATTTTTGAGTTTTGACCCCCAAAAATCAAAAAAACATTTTTTGGATATATTAGCCGTAAAATCAAAAACGTTTTCTGAGTTTCGAAAAAACGGAATATATGTGATAGTACCTACCGTCTTCTATCTACATACCAAATTTCATATCGATACCTCGTTTTTTGGCCAAGTTATAGCGAAAAAAAAAACGTTCAAAAATGATGACGTCAAATTTTCAAACTCAATTTTTGGCAATTCTAGACCTCGTAGAGCAGAACAAATACCACCATTAGACTCCCCGTGACGAGCTGCATCGAATCGATACCCATTTTATGCAAAATATCAACTTTGAAATTTGACCTAATTTGACCTGACCTTGACCTGACCTTCATCAAAATGTGACCCAGGCTGGCCCCAAAGGCTGCCTAACCCACATAATCGCATTTGTCATGTAAAATGGACCATAAAACATGTATCACACGCAGACTTGTAAGCGATTCAACTCTGATTGAATCGATTCTCATGAATCGCTTGAAAATGCCGACTCACTGTGATTGAGTCGGTTGAATCACCTATGTCACCATATGAATCCTGATTGAATCGGTCACACATGGAAACTGCAAGTGATTGAATCGGCAACTCATCGATTCAAGTTGATTGAATTAACAAAATGATTCAATCACCATGTGCTGGAAATTGAAGTTGTGACCATATTTAGTACTATATTATATATAAATATATGTGGCATTTGCATCATAGTCACACATAATGCACTGCAATTTTTTTGGTTTTTTTTTTTTCTCATTCCATTTGTGTGTATTTGGTCACATAGTTTACATATAACACATTTTTGACTTGAAGAAATAGCACGTGATATCACCATACACGATTTACACGCACGCGCGCACACACACACGACCGCACATACACTCATACGCAAGTAGGCGGTCAGGGTCGTTCCGCCGCCGGTGCCGCTCAGAACCTGTGCCCCCTGCCGCGTCCGTCACAGTGCCCCGTCAGCACCCTCCACGCTGACTACTTGGTTGCATAGGTCTTTGTGGAGGTAAAAGAAAATATAGCCGTTTCTCTGGGGTCCATTAACCAGAACGTCGGTCTCGTCGACACAGCTGACTCGGCGATCGTCATAGTGGAACCATCGGTCCCTGCCGACGCTGTATACGTCCGACACGTAGTGTCCGGAGTGCGTGGCGCTGCCATAGTGGCTGACGACGCTCACCAGCCGGTAGGTAAAGTCGCCGGCCAGGTCCACTGAAGAGAGAGACTGGTCGTCTTTCATGGAGTCGGCGTCCAGCACCACACGCTCGGCCTGCGCTGACGGCGGCGGCGGCTCGGCACCGGTCGTCGGTGACGGGGGGCACGTCGGTGCCGCGACTCTGGCCGACCCCGGCGAGCCGGCGGTGGCGGTCTCTGGCAGGCCAGCGGTACCGGCCGGCACTGACGACGGTCCACGGGCGGTGGACGACGGCGACGGACCCGAGCTGGGCGCCTCAGACTCCTCGAAGTCGGAGAGGGTGTACAAGGGAGGTTTTGTGCACTTCCACTCGGGAGGCCGGGTGACGTCGTCCGCGACGTGCTCGTTCAGCGAAAGGAACTTGGGAATGCCGACATATGCGCAGATTTTCTTCGAGTCCTCCCCAAGGAAGGCGTACCGGTTGAGCTGGAGTATCAGCGTCCTGGGCAGCTGGCTGATTTTGGTGGTGACACGGCACTCGTCATGGCGGCAGTGCTGACAGAGTAGCTCGCGCCGGTCAGGCTGCATGCTCAGCCGCAGTGCGTCCTGCAGCGTGGGCGCCTCTGTGCCCTGACGGCGCGGCACGCTGACAAACCAGCTAATGTCCTCTTGCCGTTTCAGCACGGTTTCATGGCAATTGGTGCACATATAACTCTCGACGGTCTGGTACTGGAAGTTGTCTCGCACCGGGTTGTCGGTTGTCCGCCGCGCGTCGATCTCTTCCTTCATGGTGTCTAGCAGGCGAAGCAAGAACTCGTTGGCGTCCTGCATCTCACTCCCTTGGAACGCCGGGTCGATGTCGGCGAACACGTTGCGAAGGTCATTAAGATGGTTGGCGACTGATTTGCTGAGCGCCTTCTGGCGCAGCACCATCAGTTTGGCGACGGCGCGCATCGTGCGGCCCTGGCCGCTCTCGTCAAAATACTCGTTTGGTATTTTGTCAGTATTATAAATGCGCACAGCTATCATTATTGAAAAAACATAAAAATTTTGTTTTAAGTTTTTTCATCAAACTGTAAACATAAAATTATACATGTCAATGCATGAAGATGAAAAATGCATGTAAAGTTTCTTTCCATTGCCCTAAAATCAGTATAGTAATCAAGTTAACAGTAGCAGTAAGCAGGCGCACATTGCTCAACACACATGTTTTAGATATCATGTTAATCTTTATATTTTCAATACTCTGTTTCATCAGGACATTTGTGAGCAAGCAAAACATATTGATGAATACACAATGCATGTTCACATTATAATTTGGTAACCTTAGTTACTGATTTGATTTTGGGCTAAGGGTCATAAATTGCTTGATCTAACCCATGGATTACACCCATGGTCTTCTCACTCACTTTACATTTCCCAGCAGAATTAGCAATTACCTATCAACGTAACTAATTGGAATACCTTGGCTTATGAGCATTGATGGATCTGTCACATATTGCCGTGTGGTGGCTCCCAATTACATAAAAGTAAAGATACGATGGCAAAAAGTAGATACATACGCTACTAGGTATTAAAAAACAACCACCTTCCCATCACCTCCACCATCAGCCAAAAACTATTGTTTTGATAGCTCAACAAACAATCATTATCCGTTTGGTGTTCTTCACCTTCTAGTTTTGAGGACCACTAACAGTTTTGCATTCGATGCTAAATTCGGGTTAGAGATTTGCCAGACTGCTCGCAATATTTGCCACATGCAAACCACGCAAAATACGCTTTTATGTCGCAGCTGCGTCAATATACGCTGCAACTACCTAGTGCTGGGCTAAATACATATTGCCAAACCAATTTAGATTTTTACTGTTGGGTATTTTTTCTTTAATGAATTGGACAGAATAAAAACTGTTTTACACGCATGCATAAATATGCTTAATTGAATCTAAAAATATAAACGTATTTTATATAGTTAAGTAATCCATGGTTCTGCTGCTAAATTAAAGATGGCTGCCCACTTAGCGCATGCGTACTTCAGTAGGGTAGACCGGGGCAAGTCGCCCCGCCGAGGTAAAACGCCTCACCGATGTTTCTCGGAACTGGCAAGGTTCTGGGGAAACATCCTCTCTTCTATAAAACGTGCACTATACGATCATTATATGAGCAGACTGGGAAGAAATTGTGATGACGCTTTAGGGAGATATAGCCAAAAATGTGTTTTTGGAGTGATTTTTATGTTTTGTTGTCAGATTATGCATCATGGCGTTCTTTTATCGTCCACATCAGGTAACGACTTTTATGTATTTTGAACGACTATTGTCTAACGCTTATAATGCCGGGTTGGTTCGTGTTAAATTATGTCTTCCTGGAGTGCAAGGCGTTGTTCTCTGACCGTACTACGTGATGGGGTAACGCCCCAGTAGGTCGCGGGGCAAAAAGCCCCATGGGGCGTTTTACCTCATGTGTTGTTCGGACTACCCACTTCCTAATGTTCGGTAGCTGGCGAACGGCATGTTTCTATGCATTTATATGTACTTTTCTCAGCAACTGGATGGCAAAGAAAGTATTTTGTTAACATTTGCATTGCAATAATTTATTATTTGGCCTTCTGAGGCAGGTGAAAAAACTGCTCACACAATAGTGTCGTAGCTGAACACCTGATAGGATGGAAGGTGCTAACTTCAGTGCCGTGCCTCCCAAGGTCTAACGGACCTCTCATATAAGATTTATTCAACTAGCATGTTTAATCTTTAATCTAGAGCATGGGGCTTCTTGCCCCAGGCCGTGGGGCGTTTTGCCCTGGGGTTGGGGCAAAACGCCCTATTTGCAGTTGCTTCACAAATCACTTCCTAGCTGGGAGTCCGATCATAAGTGAATGAATTTGAGGGGTGGAATTTAAAGTAAAATGTCCAAAGAACGCATTGAGCACAAATTTGACCTTCCAGGTGATGTGGGACAAAAGTTATGTAGCAAAATAAATTATCTGGGGCATCTTGCCCCAGGCTACCCTACTAAAGGCCTGGCTACACTACGCGTGTTCTGCGTGCGTTTTTTGCGAGCTTGCATGTTTTGCGTATATTATATAAACGTTAATAAAACCTTTTATAATAATTTAATAATTAATTTTTTTTTACAAAATATATAACAAAAACAAAACATAATATCGTTCCTTTCTAGAACCGTATTATGCAAATCACGCAAACTCGCAAAAGCAAAAAACGCACCCAGAAAACGCGTCGTAGCCAGGCCTTTACAACTTGCAACTCAGCTCCGCCCGTACGTATGATGTTTGGGATGTTTGGTGTCGTGGGGCGGGCTTGGAATTGTTATTTTGTCATTGAAGATATGGATGGTTGAGGTAGTTTTATCATAAGAACATTCAGTTTATATTATGTAACTATTGAATAGCTTCGTATGTGTCGATATTCCATATTCTTGATAGTAAAGAAAACTTGTAGCACGCCGAAAATGTCTAGTCCTGTGTAATGCTTTACCGGCTTTACCACTGCTTCATAAAGTATCAATCAATATTTATTTTTTTTGAATGGCTGATCACCAGCTATTTTAGTTTGGGTACCACAATTGATTTGCAAATTTTGGTCCTTTTCGATGTTGCTGATAATATTTTTTTTTGTTCTGTGCAATTTTGTATGTTTCCTTTTGCAAGCGCCAAGCAGATAAATGAATTTTTAAAAGTCCTCTGGTAGTTTCATTTGTAACAGAACTTGTCTTTTCTGTACTTAAATTATCATCTTTACACCGTATTTATATAAATATCTACAACTTTGTTGAGTTCAGTATAGATTTAGTACTTTTCGGTGTTTTTTTGGTATTTTCCTAGTGTATTTGGTTGGTATCTGTTTGGTATCAGTTTCCAAAAATGTCTTAAATTGATATCACATATGTATATATTTTATATAACATCTTGATTGAATAGCGTTGAGTTAAATCATGAGTTGAGTCATTCCCTGAATCACTGATAATGGGTTGAGTCGTGATTGAGTTGAATCACAAGGTCCATGAGTCGTGATTGAATCGCTTGGAAAATCAGACTGTTTGATTGAGTTATGATTGAATCGGTCATTTCATCAAGTGAGTCGTGATTGAATTGATTGAATTTTTTTGAATCGTTTACAAGTCTGAATTCACACGACACTTTCATATTGTGACCCTCGGTGACCTGACCTCGCTGTGACCTGACCTGTGTGTGTGTGTGACCTGGTATCAGTGACCTCAGATAGCAAAGTATGTGTTTGACGAACAATGTACCATCGATGGTTTTCAATAAATTACCAATTTACTCGATTTCACAACACATTTCTTGAAATGCCTGTGAACGGTGAAAATCCGACCTTTGACCTGACCTGTGACGTCATCGGTTTGACCTAGGTCAATGAAATTTGGTCACAAGGTAGTTCCCCGGTGGGGCTATCGAGCACCGTTTGAATTTTGAAAATCGGCCGGTAAATTTCCGAGATCTTAGGGGGGGGGGGGGGCCGAAACGGCCCCTCCCCTACGGGTGGTAGGGTCCGCCGATAGCCCTACGGGGCGCGAGTTAACCCTATTAGTGGCAGGGGGGGGGGGGGTTGTTTTTATCCACCCCTCAGGTTTTTCGGGAATATCTCCGAAACCGCTGAAGCTACGATGCTGAAATTTTCTGACTTTTCCTAAAACTAAATTGGGCACATTCCCTAAAAATTTCAAGTTCATAACTTTACCAGGGGCGGCTCCAGAGCACTGGGAATTGGGGGGTCCTATTCGTGAAGCGAGTCATTTGGGCGAAGATCACGATGCTGCACCAGTTTTACGAACAGTGAATAAAAGGTATCATGTGATAACATATACAGTTATTGTGCATCCTCTTTTGACACGTTTTTGCTATAATAGGCGGATCCAGGCGTCCAAAAAGGGGGGTTATGTTTTACCTCCCAACATAGGTGCCCTGACACCGCCTATGCATTACCAATACAATTTTAGTCGTTCTCTCATAAGAAAATTATAGCATAACAAGACCATTACCACCCTTTTTAGAAACAGTACCAACAAAAACCTTATTTACTATACTTTTTGTGTACCCCCAATCTCAATGATCTGTATCCGCCTATGATTTTTGAAAATGCATATTTTTGGGATCCATGTGAATTCCTGGTTCATTCTCTATCGATCGGCAAAAGTTGCGTTAAGATTGGTTCAGAAACCTGGCCGTGATAAACAGTCTAAAATGTATCTGCAATTTGCCCGTTTTTACCCCCTCTACCCCCCCTATTGACATTTTTTTATTTTTATTTTTTAGAAATGTAGATCACGTTGAGCGAAATCGAATGCCGTTTGAATTTTGAAAATCGGCCCGTTAGATCTCGAGATATCAAGGGGGGGTCGTAAACAGCCCCCCCCCCCCTGCCACTAATAGGGGGTAGCCAGGAGCCTGCCACTAATAGGGTTAACACGCGCGGCAGTGGAAGGGTTGCGAGTACTACGCCCAGTGGAAGGGGGGCGGATGTCGCCCCCTTAAGATCTCAGCTCCCACTGCAGCTAGAAAGACGAAATTTGGAGGGTAGGTGAGGGCCATGGGGAACTCTGTTGTGTGTGAATTTCATGACCCTAGGTCAATATCTTCAAGGTCAAATGAGGTCAAATTTGGTCAAATCTGCCATGTTAGCGACTTTTTTGCGTTTACACGCCGATAACTCAAAAAATTACCGCCCGATTTTCTTTAATCTTTCACTATACGAAAGAACAAACATTTGTGAGTATGTATGGTGAATTTCTAGATAATCCAACAATAAATATGGCAGTTAGAAGCCTGCTAAGGGTAAGATGTCGCCGGCTGAAGCGGGATCGGCCGACGCGGGAAACGCGGCAATCACAATTTTGTTGTTGGTTTGTTTATTGGGGCTTTAGGGCGCGCCGTTTACACACTCATAACTCAAGTTGTTACCGGCCGATTTTCAAAGTTCTTTGACCATATGTTTGCCTGTACATTTCTCAGTCTTCTCACCGAATTTGACGTGAATCTAATATAATCAGCGGTAAGGAGCGCGATGTAAAGACGGAACCGTCCCGCCCCGGCACAGTCTACAATTCAGGCGGCGCGTAACGGCTAGCGCCGGCCGCCGCGGCGGCAGGATGTTTGACTTTACACCGCTATTACTAGAAAAGTTGTGAACCGATTTTCTTACTTCTTGCACGAGAAGATCTGCAATTCAATTCTGGACAGGTAGCCGAAATTTCACATTGATATTATGCTTGCGGCGCGAGTTATTGGCGAAGAACAGGAGGGGTGGGCGAAATCCGCCCCCCCCTTCCACTGGTTAACCTTAGCGACAAAGTATCGTGAAAAAGTTTAAAAGCCAAATGCCAAAAAAAAAAACGATTCAGCAGTAAGAAGTAGCATATCATGGGTACCTAGTACCGCAGTATGGACCCAACATCAGTCGCTGTTACCCATAAAGTAGACAGCACATGGAGGCTGAATGGCAACATCAAATATTTTGTACATTAAAACCGTCTTCCTCATTGATCTGCAGTGCATCCCAACAGCACCGTCATAAACCAAGATCTTCTTGCCCTCCATCAAAAGTTGGCACATTTCTGGCAACCCTATTAATTAAATCTGAAGCTTCCTCTAAAAATCTAAACACCGGCGCTCAAAATTACCTCACCCAAGCTGTCCCGCCTCTTCCGTTTAACTCACCCCACCTCTCCCGTTCCTCGCCTCACCGGTCTATGAGCAGCTCTCGCAGCCGCCGACTGTGCTCGTTGTTGTCCAGTAGCCGGGCCAGACTCGAGAAGTAGGTGCCCATGCTCGTCTCCACCTGGTACTCGCACTTGTCCACGTGGTACAGCTCTTCGGCGCCGCCAGGGTACGAGGTCAGGTCGCTGTGGAAACAGGTCAGATTAGGTCATGTCCCTGGCACCAAAGGCGGGTCAGACCGGGTCTGGTCAGGTCACGAACATGGCCGGGAGGTCAGGTCCGGTCACTGGCACGGGGAAATCGAGCTAGGTCACTGGCGTTATGTCAACAGTATTAGGAGCGGCTTTTATTGCCCTCACAAAACTGACGCGTCATCTAACATGTCTAGCGAACTCTGTCCAACAAACCCTGACCTTCCCCGCCACAACATTCCCAAAGCTCCCAAAGCTCCATCAGCCTTTCCCTTTTCACATCCCCAAACTGCTCCTAACCAGTAAAACGCCTTTTGGGCGAAGAACGAGCGAGCGAGATAGTGAGCCCTGCACGTGCGAAAGGGCGAGAGGGTACTTCCAACGGGCTTGTGCAAAACACCCTTCTAACCGGTCGCTAGCGGTGTGCCAAATTTGAACGCAATTGGCCCAGCCGTTCCTGAGATCTGGAAGCGGCATTCTGCACGTGCGCACGTGCAAAAGGGGTCCAAACCGACTTTTGCACGGCACCCTACTAAATGGTCCCCAACTGTGTACCAAATTTGAGCGCAATCGGCCCAGCCGTTCTCGAGATCTGGGAGCGCCCCCTGCACGTGCGCACGTGCAGTAGCACCCTAACCGCAACACATGGGAATGCATTGCCTGGTGGGTGCCTACCTGTATGCCAAGTTTCAGCGAAATCGCCCCAGTAATTACCGAGTTATTGAAATGGGAACAAATTTGGCACCTCTTCTTTTTGCATTTTGCACGTGCAGTGGGGGTCCCTCACATAGATCAAGAATATCCGACCTTTGGTAGAAGGGATGCAGCTACCCAACAAAAATTACCGCAAGACAATCGCCCAAGCGGCTGCTGAGATATGGGCCTCTCAAAATCACTACTTTTGCAAAACAGCTTGAACACCCTTGACTTTTCACGTGGCACGTGCCACGACGGTCACTGAGATGTATCAAAAGTAGCCAATTACGGGGTAGAAGGAATGGGGCTACACAGCAAAAAAGACCGCAGGCCAATCGGTCCAGCAGTTGCTGAGATATAAGCCTCTCAAAAGCGTTACAGGCCGGGCCGGGCCGGGCCGGGCCGCTCATACTGAGATTTTTCCGTTATGTTGAAAAGACTCACTTCGCTCGCTGCGCTCGCTCGCTCGTAACCAGACTCCCAGCTCGTCTCATCGATCCCGCACAGCGGCCGAGTCATAACTCATAGCCATACCCTGACCCACACTTCCCCTCTGCACACGTCTGGTCCAAAAGGCCCACTGAATGCCTAATTTCCCCTAAGAAAAACTTCCCCGCACCCCGCTCACCGGTCGAGCAGAACCGCGGCCTCCGTGTCGCTCAGCTCGGTCAGGTTCCCCATACAGACGGCCAGCCGGAGGTCGGTTCCGACCATCACCAGGTCACCCACCGCCAGCTGGGTGGCCGGCGCACCCGGCGGACGCTGCACCCGGTGCACCCAGCCGGCTGGGGTGCGGCGCGCACCCAGCAGCCGGCAGCGGGCCAGCGCGTGGCCGCGCGCCTGCCGCTCGGCCGCCGGCAGACACCAGAGCCGCGCCATAGAGACCTGGTCGGCCGAGTGAGCAGCCTCGAGGCGCAGTAGAAGGCTCCAGCGCAGGAAATAGGCCAGGTGGGCCGGGGATAGGTGTGAGGCACCGTCCGGAACCGCGTGAGGAGGATCGCTCGGTCTGAAAATAGTGAAAAATTTGAGTTCACTTGTCAACATCTTCAACAATCGACATAGGATATTATATACGGAGAACACTTAGAAAACGTCATCGAACTTAACAAATCCCACCCAACCAGCTTCAGACCCGAATTTTACTGCCGCAACAAAACATAACCTGCCCTGAACATCTATCACTCCACTCTCCCCACAACCCTCTTCCCGCAACTCACCGCTGGTAGGCCGAGCACGCCACCAGATGGGGACACTTCTGACAGGCCCGCTCGTTGCCAATGACCTCTGGCAGCGGAGGCAGCTCCAGCTCCCCCAGCGGGTCGACAGAGGCGGCGGCAGGGTCGGCAGAGGCGGCGGCGGGGTCGACAGAGGCGGCGGCGGGGTCGACAGAGGCGGCGGCGGGGTCGGCGGGGGCTGGGGCAGCGCTCAGGAAGTAGACTAGCTCGTTCCGCAGCTGCAGCAGATCTCTCTGATTGTGCGGCCCGGCCGCCACCTCCCGCATACCGCCCGTCCTGAGGTCAGGTCAGGTCATGTCAGATCAGAGAAGGCTGAGGCAGAGCATGTGGGACATAGTGACACCACGCGACGGCAAAATTACACGGCGAAGGGCGAGGGTTATGTAATAGCGAGCTCCTAACGAGAATCATTTTTCCACGCCAAATGGTGATTTTCCGATCGTATAACGTGCACAATGCAGATGCTTTAGAGCTACAGATGACCGTTAGATAATTAAATTGATAACATTGAGGGGTGGGAGCTGAACCTGGTTAATTCAACTGCGGCAGTACTGACCGGATACTTAACTGAAAGTAGACATTAGGTAAATTATAAGCACTGAGGGCTCAGACGTGCATCGTCCCACAACTTGGAGCAGGATCCACACTGAAAGCCATCCCACACTCCTTCACAGGAGTGTTTTTTTTTTTAAAGTTTCTACATCCCATCCGGCCCAGCCGGACCCACCTCAGGTAGAGCAGCAGTCCCGCGCCGGGGTCGGGCCTCCTCTCTGACGTCATCATGGAATAGAGCGTCACCTGACCCTGGTGTTCGGCAGAGAACGTAGGTCTGCCAGTCTTCAGCTCCAGGGGTAACACCTGACGGGGAGGGGGAGGGTGTCAGGGTGACAGGGCAGCAGCGGAGGGGGGAGGGGCAGATCCCCGCCGGGATGGAGAGAAGCATGGTTATCAGAACATTGAGTTGAGTCAGACTCAGTCATATAGCCAGAATGCGTGTGCAGTACACCAGTGAATCCCATTGGATCTCGACGGGCAAAAAGTACGTCGAACAACTTCTTATAAACGATACTCTGAGCCCTTTCAGTGGCTGTAGTGAAAGCATTTGCGATTGAAATGAGCGTTATTTCGAATCAAGAAGAAACTTGCCTTTGTAGGACGTTTTCTGCACTTGACTTCAACAGTCAGATCGATTTTTCCCTTGATGCCGAGCCGTGGTGACCAGTAGTTCTCTTCGATATCCTTCAGCGCCGTTACCCGGCCGTCCCAGATCTCGTCGCTGCGTGGCGCTGGCGTCGCCACTTTTCCCTGTATAGGTGTCGCCACCTCTGCGTCTCGCCCCCACTCAGCGTAGCGCCGCACCCAGGCCAGGATGGGCGCCACGAACTGATCCAGCTCCTCTACCAGCTCGGCGCTGGAGAGATTGCCGCCGTATGCGGCGCTGACGGTTGAGTTCTGGCGCAGTAGTTCGGAGACGCGCGACCGGATAGCGCTGGCTGTACAGAGGCGGTTCCTCATCACCTGTAGGCAGGAGGGGAGGGTTCAGCGGGTGATTCACAGACCGGGAGCCTGCCCTATCTTTAAAAAAAATGACCGTTAGATTTCAGGGCACCGGAATGGCGGCAAGTATCCGAACCTTATCATGCCACGTTATTGCAGGAGGGAACACTGAAGAACGATCGTGCGTCTTGCATTAGCCAAATTCAGTGTTGCATGCACATAAGGTGAAATAGCAATATCCGAACGCTAAAGCAGTAGCTTTCGCTGATCATAGTACTGCGACTCGCGATGATACATAAACACGAGGCTACACAATTATAATATTCTCCACCATGAAGGTCAGCATTTCAGGCTAGTGCGTCACGTCCCCTTCTGGACGAAATAATAAAGGCATCTCCACCAGGCGTAACATCATCAAGATAGTCGAAGAAACATCCCCAGTGAGCATTAAGCTTTGTCCAACCATTCTGCCAGTGCCTGTAGCCACATCAACAGTCCCCCCCCCCCCTCCATCAGGCGGGGTCGGCCCGTCACAGCATGAGTCAGGCTTCTCACAAGACGCCGGCGACGGTTTGGTCAATACGTGTCGCTCAAGGAGTCACACCACCACTGTCTGGTACGACCTGGGTCGGACGGGAGGGGACGGGGACGGGGACGGGGGCGGGGTGGGAGGGGGTGGGGTAGGTGGGGTCCGGGACGATACAGTGACACATGAATGTCTGCGTTGTACACGTACTATCTCGCAATGGCGAAATATTTGAAATGTGTATTTTCGTACAGCATCGATAATGCCTGGAACAATGTGTGTTGTCAAGCTCGCCGTGCGCAGATAGTTCGGGAGGATAAAAAGCAAGATTAAGTAAAAAAAAAAGGTTTTTGACACGAAGAAGTAATATATAATAAAAAACGACTCACCTCTCAGCAAACCATCGAACCACCACCATGGATTACCTACTACCTCATCCATGCCACCACCATACAGTCACACAAAGCTAGTAGTCATGATCTAGTTCAGCACCTCTCTCAACACTAGAGATGTCAATCGGATACCAACTTTTTGGTATACCGATACCAAACCGATACCAAATTGGTATTTGGTATTTCAAGGCGAGTGCATTTGCTATTTTGTTGGTATTATGAATCCTCACTAATGTAAAAGAGGCTGAAAATTTAGTAAAAAGTTGGTATTTTCCTCATACTCCCAAATCGGTTTGGTTTCGGTATTTCCCCATGGATATTGTTGGTATTTGGTTTGGTATCGGTATCACGATTTTGCGTAATTGACATCACTACTCAACACGCCAACCCGAGTCAAGGTGAACTGATAAGACCCTCCTCTCCCTCCCCACAAACTTCCTCACACTCCCTCCAATCTACTAACCTCCTGAAACAGCTGGTGAACCATCGTTCCGACCAGCATGGCTTTATTTCCGGGCTCCAGACCACGGAACAGCTCAGAGAGCACGGCCTTGCGGGCACAGAAGACGGCCGAGACCACGCTGGTGCCGGAGAGGAGGCGGTCCGGCCGCACCACCAGCTGGCCAGCCAGGTTGTCGATGACGTCACCATTGGAGGTGTGTAGCACGTGCACAGTGTCTCCGGCGGCCACACGTGTCGAGGACCTGTCACGGAGGAGGGAGTGCTGAAACGATTTAAATACGAATTTGGAAGCGTTGAAGAGGGTGTCGTAAGGTAACTAACTTTAATACGCTTGAGTTCTTTGTCGGTTTAGCAATGAAAAATGAGTAGAAAGAAACATTGAATCAAACCTACATCACATTGGGAGAAAATGTTTGAGTAAAATACATGAGCTTTGAAAGACAAATGCGTTCGTTTTCAGTAAAGTAAAACGCAAGCAATGAACTGATTCAGCCTTTCAACCATTGGAATAACACAAAATTAGGTGTCACTGTGCTGTACAATCATCTAGACATTCTATTCAAAACAACGAGATATATTTTCCTTGTTGACATTTATTCACCGGCAGGCAATCATAGCACAGTATTGTACAATGTGCATTCAACAAAACTACATAGGTACTTATTTATATGCTCATTCACAAAATAAAGAGCTTCGAAATGCACCACCCATAGCGTTAAAACATCCGTCGGTGCTCGTACAACATCCGGCATTCGTAAGTGAGTATTTTGAAACGGTACTGAACGACAATGAAGTCGTAACGACTAAAACAGCTCCTACACGGAAACAGAACAGCCCATAATACCAAACTACATATATATACGCCGTAAACATCAGATGCCGAATCACACACAGACACAGTGGCAAGTCACCGTTTGATAATCGCGAGAAAAGTTGCTAAGCTGCACGAACACTGCAACACAAATAGCACATCAGCCTCGAGCATTGGAGTCTAAACCTGAAATATGCAGCAAGCTAAAATGACGCCTATCAATAGAATACGTGATAACTGCACGTCAGTATTACAGGGGCAGTACCAAGCAAAACAATAAGGTAACAACCACAACGTAACATAACGTAAGGCAAGGTAATGTTTAGCAATGTCACACACACGAAACAAGTGCGGTCGTAAGAGATTTCTGGGATGATATCATCAGCGCATGTCAAAAGGTAAAAACGAAAGCGAATGGCATACCGCTCGGTACACCTGGGCCTCGGCACACCCGTTGTTTCAAGTTACACATCCCTAACGGGGATAAAACAGAAATGCAAAAGCACATTCCCAGCCATAATCGTACCGGTGTACGCATTGACGGTAAATTATAAAAAAGTCAACTGCAAATCTCACGTAGAGTTAAAAATCAAGCAATTCACACAGTTGTTCGTCAGAAATACATAACTATTATGCAAGCAGCTCATCCAAATTTTACAGCTTAATGCCACCTAAGGCAGGCGCCGCAGCCATGTCCAAATTTAAAATATTTGTGGCCCATCAGCCATGCTCATTCTGTCCCCATTGGGTGAGCTATCGCACACACGCGTGTTACATGGGATTAATATTTAAAAATGTCTATTGCATTACCTTCCACAACTAAACGTTTTTAAATATCACACTTTCACGTCATGATGAGATTCATACTGCGCCGAGCTGCTCGCAGCCATTCAGTCCCTGAGTGTTCATATAACTAACACACTGCCAAGCATAGCACACAACATTTCAACTTCAGTGTCATGATTAAAAAACTTTTCCTCAGGATATGTAATTAATGTTTAATGTTTTTTTCGAAGTTGTTCAAGAGGATAAGTAAAAATATTACATTTATTCAGATATTTCGGTACCACAACGAGTACCGAAATATCTGAAAAAATGTAATATTTGTACTTATCCTCTTGAACAACTAAAAAAAAACATAAACATTAAGTCCAACTTCAGTTACGCGTGAGCCACTCAAAGATCGTTCCAAACATTTTACTCCCCGACACTTTTCATTGAATTCCTCCAAACTCCGGTGCTAGTTCACATCACGCATCGCTCGCAGTCCATTCAGCCCCTAACTTTCAAAGCACGCCTAGCTGGCAGTCCCTTCAGTCCCTGGTGATGTTCTTTCCGGCCTTGGCGTCCAGCACCTGCTGTAGCATTCTCTGGTGGTAGTAGAGCGCCGCGAACACGGGACCCTGGGTGCTGCCGCCGTCGGCAGGGTACTCCACATCCCTGTCGTCTAGGTCGGTCACCTTTCCTCCAAACAGTCGCATGAACAGGTGACCCGTGCACATGGTCCGCAGCGCGGTCGGCTCGGTCAGCAACACCCCGTCCACGACTTGGACCAGCGCGCCCATCATGTTCCGGCCCAGGTTCGACACCATATAAAGGTCCGCGTCCTCGAAGAACGCCTTGCGCGCCAGCTCACCGGCCTCACGCGAGTCGATGGACATGCCGAACCGCTCTGGGAAGGGCACCATGGGCGGCGCCACGGGCAGCTGGAGGTTGTTGCCGCGCCCGTACAGGCCCCAGTGGGTGAGGTTGCCGGTCAGCACGGCAGCCATCTGCGGCAGGCCGCGGTACGTCACGCAGACCGATATCAGCGCGTCGCGGCGGCCGGCGCGGCGCACGTCCTCGTGGCTGTCGCTGATGGGGGACAGCCAGAAGGTCAGCTGGTCGGCCGGCAGCCACTGGTCAAACATCACCACCTTGTGCAGCTCGGATTGATATCGGGCCGGCAGCGGCAGCGGCGCCGCGCCCGGCCGGTCCGACGGAGACGTCTCCGGCGCGATGATCCTCGCCTCGGGCATCACCTGCTGCAGGGTCCGTCTGAGCGCCCAGTACTGGTCGTCAGATTCCCGCTTCAGGTGATCGAACCGATCGGGTCCCTGCAGCTCGGCATCACTCGCCGTGACTCGATCGCCCATCGCGCGGACGAGTTCGGCGAGCAGCGACACCAGCGCCTTGCCGTTCACGTGGGTGGCGTTTCTGTACTGAGCTGTATCGTCCAGGCTCAGTTTCATAGTCGCTAGATCGTCGAAGTCGGGTGTCGCGAACGGCGCGCGCACCACGAAGAGAACACACTGCGCTAGCACGACCATCACACAGACGCGGACAGCACTGGCGGCCGCCGAGCGGGAATTGAGCAGCTCACGAGCTGTCTTCGGCAGCGAGCGGCCCGACATGGCGCGAGGCGGGGATAATACTCGGGTCTGGTAGGATTGAGCCGAGAATTGAGCAGCGGCAGACTGGATGAGTCTCTTGGATCAAACGATCACTGATTGGAACGGAAAGAGCGGCAGGACAAAACCGGGAACGTTTGGAATACGGGATATGCAAGATTTATCACAGGACGGGCTAAGTTAACCGGGGAACCACGATCCAGCCGGGTCCAACCACGATCACAGCCTTCCAACCACGATCCTTCTCCTTCCGTGCTGCGTCCGACTATCTTCCCGCTGTGAGCTCACGGGAGACACGCGCCACACGCGGCAGAGCGACCGCCACTGGAGGACGGAGGCTGGGCGGCCCTCATCCCGGCCTCCCATGGTCCGGCGGGTCATTCACCTCATCTCTCTACCGCTCCGTTCTCCTCACCGGCGCGGCGGCCGCCGCTGCCCTCCGGCAAGACTATTAAGCATGGCCGGCGCCAGGTGCCAGGTAAACACTGACCGTTTGCTATATTTTTTTTCCTGAGTCTAGCGACTTTATGAGCAATCCTGTGAAAGGACAAGGTCAAGGTAGTGTGTAGCTTTATGCGTATGTGTGTAGGCATGTGTATGGGATGTGAGGGGAGCGGTGAACTCCTTACCACGAGCCGCGCAGGGTGACGGAGCGGTCTCGCTGGCCGGCCTCGGTAGCCCGCAGCGACAGCACGGTGCTGCCATCTGTGAGCCGCTCCACGAAGCTGACAGTGTAGCGGTCGAACCTCTGCCAGGCGGGAACGCCGGGGTCGGAGGAGCGGAGCGGCGCGGTGACCTCTGACCTGAGGGCACGCGGGGAAGGGGGGGGGGGGTCGGGAGGGGCGCCGGGTGGGTGGGGGACCATAGGGGACGTCTGGGGCATTCCACGTCAAATCAAACACCGAAATCCGTCATCCCCTTCGATTTTTCTGAAAATTTGTAGGCAGACTGGGCATGGTTCAAAACTGAGTTACGTAGAATATTTTCGAAATTTGATAAAGTATCGCTGAGATATAAGTCATCGAATATAGCCAAAAATGCCACACATCAATTTTTTAAATGTCTATAACTCTGGTTCCTTTTCTGGTATCAAAATGATATTAACAGGGTCTTGTAGGCAATTGATAAGGCTTTGATTTTTAATTATAAAATTAAATTGAAGTGACCTTGAAATGCATTTGACCTTGAATTAAAACAGAAAAATTTAAATAGCAAAAAACACGTCACCTTCGATTCGGGTAATTTTTACATATTATGTCCGTCACAATGTTCCTAACCATCTGTGAAAAAATTGGAGTGGGCCATTCATAACTTTCGCGGCAAACGCCGTTTTCATGCATCAACATCACGCAACCGCGCGTGACCTTGAAAGACAGAGTCAAGACATGCTTGCTTGTGTACACTTTCTAAAATGAATGATTGCTGATTAGTGATATCCCAAACTCTGCGAGAATGGAAATACATAGTCATCGTAGTCAAGCATTCAAGTTCCATAGTAAAAGTGTCTCAGGCAAACGGTATTTTGCGGTGAATTTTGAGCCGTGTGGAAATGCATCATGAAGCCAAAAATTCAACGAAAACATTATCACGCAACGATATCTTCACGTCTTTTTATCTTTACTATACGAAAGAATATACATTTTTGAGTATGTATGGGGAATTTCTAGTTAATTCAATAATAAATATGGCAGTTAGAGACCTGCTAAGAGTAACATGTCGCCGGCTGAGGCAGGATCGGCCGACGCGGGAAACGCAGCAATCACAATTTTGTGTTTACACGTTCATATTTCAATTGCTTACCAGCAGATTTTCAAAATTCTTACACCATAAGATTGCCTGTACATTTCTTAGTCTTCTCACAAAATTTGACGCGAATCGAACGTAATCAGCGGTAAGGAGCGCGATGTAAAGACGGAACCGTTCCGTTCTGTCCCGGCACAGTCTACAATTCAGGCGGCGGCTAACGGTCGGCGCCGGCTGCCGAGTCGCCGCGTCGCCGCGGCGACAGGATGTTGACTTTACACCGCTATTACTAGACCAGTTGTGAACCGATTTTCTTCTTGCTTGCACGATGAGATGTGCAATTCAATTTTGGACAGGTAGCTATAATTATTTTCGCATTAATACTATGAGATATTGGCGAAAAACAGGAGGGGTGGGGCGAAATTCACTCTTCCCCCTCCACTGCGCGTGCTAACATACTGGTGAAAATCTGCATATGTGCCATTTTCTTCAAAACTTATGAATGGCCCACTCTAATTTTTTCACAGGTTGTTAAGAATATGGTAGGCAATAAAATATATGAAAATTAGCCAAATCGAAGGTGACGTGTTTTTTGCTATTTCAATTTTTGTGCTTAAGAACAGAATTAAGCAAATTTCAAGGTCATATATTTAAGAAGGTGCAATTCTAAACAAATGCTTAAGAAATTACCTAAACAGTAAGGTTTATTTCATTCAAATCAAACAAGTACAACCAAAGTTATGGTCGTTCAAAAATATAAAGATGCAACATTTTTTAAAAATTCGATGCCCTATATTTAGAAGACCTGTGGTCAGAATGTGCAAAAAACATCAATGTAATGTTCGGGGCGACACAGGAACTCGCTCACAAATTTATAATGAAATCGCTGATGGTAAGGTGCAAAACAGCCGATTTTTGTTCGATTTGACGTGGAATGCCCCGTCTGTCTGCCAGTAAATGACCAGTAGGAGCTTTCATGCCCACACATACGCCTATCATTCAGTTGCATCGGCATCCGAGCTCTATTACATCAATGTAATCAAATTAACAACCGGCAGAGACAAAAAGTCACAAAGCTACGAACTATCGAAACAAGGGATGCCACGCTTTTTTCGTCCGGCGTCAATGGGTTTCGACCCCTATCAGCCAGTCCCGCCCCCGGCAGATTCGTTTACCGACCTTGAACGCGGCCGGCGGCCCAGCTGAGCGGTTCGCCCAGTGCCCCGGGGCATGTCGGGCGGCTCTCCTCACACGGTCTGGGAAGCGCCAGGGACGGGGAGCGCGGTGGGCTGCCAAGTACTTTTGATAATTAACCCTCGCCCGTATTGGTGTTTTGCGATCCACGAGCGTATAAGAGGGGGGGGGGGGAGGCCGTCCTTGCCGTTTCGCCCCTGATCGAGCTAGTGCTTCGCGGAAAAAACGAGCGTGTTGCCCGGACGAGAGGAAGCCGATGGTACCCAATTTTAAGGTCCTAGGTCACTGGTTGACCTTCCAGGTTAGGTCAATAATCCAAAAGTTGGGAAAATCGGGACCTGTTAAAACGTCGTAAAGTGTGGTTGCTCTGAGGTTTTTCGGGGTGCTGATCACGAATATCATGTTAGTTTTGATCACAGATGATGATTTCTAGAGATGTCAATCGGATACCAACTTTTTGGTATATCGATACCAACCCAATACCAACTTGGTATTTGGTATTTCAATCCTAATATGTTTGATATTTTGTTGGTATTAAAAAAAAACACTAATGCAAAAGAGGCTGATAAATTGGTAAAAAGTTGGTATTTTCCTCATTTTTGAGGAATATACCAACTTTTTATATTCCTCAACTTTTTAGTTGGTTTGGTTTCGGTATATCCTCACGGCTTTGCTTGGTATTTGGTTTGGTATCGGTAATCAGATTTTCTGTAATTGACATCATTAATGACTTCTGCACTTAGACCAGGTCGGGTCATGTCAGGTCAGGTCATATAGGGGTCCTATACCGGGTATTCGTAGTAGGTGTCAACCGCCTCTGACAGCTTCGTAACATGTTACAAAGGCACCAAAACTACTTCGTAAATGTTCAAATGGTTGCTAAATTCGAATTCAGCTCCAAAAACTAGCTAAGAAACATGCAGAACTTAAAAAAGTGAGCCGAGGTCATCAAAGGTCAATGAACTGACCTGACCTTGACACACACCCTAATGCATGGGACCAACTTCTTATCACATGGTTGAACTCTTGAAACCACGATAAGACTGCAAACGCGCGACTAATGCGAGCCGACATACGCCGAATATCATAATCCCGGCCAAACATGGTCTCGAAAAGTAGATCACAGGTCAAAGGTCACTTGGGTCAGGGTCATGAAATTTTCAGGGTAGGTGTAAAATTGAATAACGCGAGGGTACTCATAGTTTCGCCGTGATCAGCCGCTTTTTACGCGAGTTATTCGCAAAAAAACGAACGGGGGGGGTCCGTTCGCCCCCCCCCATACGGGCGAGGGTTAACCCTATTCCTGGCGGGCTCGGGACAAGAAACTGGCGGGGGGGGGCCGATTCGGCCCCCACCCCCTTCAGATCTCAAAAACTACACATCGCAGCGACAAACGGCAAACGGCGTTTGATAGGTCGTTTAAAGATCTACAACTTTTACATAAGACATTTTCAGGTCAGGTCAATATTGAGGTCACCAGAGGTCATCAACGATAAAATGTTTTGGAATTAGTTACCTATATAACTTTTAAACTAAGAAACATAGAGACATAAAACCAACACATTTTTTTGTTGCTCTCGCCGAGGCGATGCGAAATAAGTATGTGATGACCTTCACAGGTCAATTTGAAATTTGACCTGAGGTCAAGGTCAGGTCATTCATCAATGAGGTTGTGGGGTATGGTCATGCTGCATACCAAACGACGCGCCTTGACCAGGCGAGCAGTTTGGTACCACTTACAAGTCTTTAGCACCATCATGTCGTGATTTATTGACAGAAAAACGATTTATGACGTCACATGACCTCAGATGACGTTTGCCGGTGCCCCTGTCGATTAGCGGCACCAGGATCATCACCGATGAGATAATCTTCTATAATACTGAAAGAATTGGGTGGTTTTGACTCGTTTTACACGAAGCAGGAGGCGTTTCAATATTTTCCCATAGGCTTGTAATGTAAAGGTCACGAGTCTGGCCTGACCTCAGGTCACAGATATGAAAATTCTGAGATATACAAATTGCACATACTGGTACCCTAACTAAAACCTGAAGAGAAGAAATTGATCGGTCAAAAACTCTAGCTCTGGCGTGATTGCAAACTTTTCTGAGGTGGGGACACCAAACCGCCTCTGGTGACCTGACCTGACCTGACCCGGCAACTTTTTTTCGTCAAAATGTGCGCAATGAATGTATAGAAAAAGTCACCGAGTATGAGCTTTCAGTGTTGCGCCGTTTGGCAATGACACAAGAAAAACCTGAAGGGGGGCCTTAAAGGCCCCCCCCCGCCAGGAATAGGGTTAAGTTTGTGGAATAAGACCTTTTTTCTGGTCCCAAGCCGATAAAGATTGTGTTCTTAGCAAATATATGCTGGCACATTGAATCTTCGAAACTGTTCGTACCTGTCTGTGCTTAAAAAAATGTTTTATTATATAATTTGTATTATAGGATTAAATTGGACTTACTCCACAAGAGAATCGTTTTCCGTCGGAGCTTTCGACATGTATTACATGTCCTCTTCAGCGAAGGTCGGTAATCGGGGCGAAAATAAAACGTTCGGGTCGAATCGAATCGCACAAGATGTCGAGACATCTTGTCGAGACATGTCTTGTGATGTCGAGACATCACAAGACATCTTGTGCGATTCGATTCGACCCGAACGTTTTATTTTCGCCCCGATTACCGACCTTCGCTGAAGAGGACATGTAATACATGTCGAAAGCTCCGACCGAAAACGATTCTCTTGTGGAGTAAGTCCAATTTAATCCTATAATATCTATTTGCTCTCCACACTAACATGTCTCTAAGTCTATATAATTTGTATATATCCCAACAGGCACGTACCCAGGATTTTGCCCAGGAGGGGGCCA